GTGCGTCCAATGTTGCTTGAACTTCGTGAACCAGGACACGCTGGGCAGTAATCAACAGCCGAGGGAGTTGCGTTCTGATGTTACTACTGTATGTACTGTTACTACTACTGTACACTAACTACTCTGCCCGGCTGTCCCGACGCGGGCCGAGGCGCTGTGTCAGTCCATCTCACCATCTCTTTTTTCTGTTCCTGTCGTTGAGCATCCATTGCTCCCTCGGGCCGCATGGTCCCTCCAAACCTTATCGTCACGAGGAAACTAGTGTAACGTTAGTTAATAAATTTGGCATCGGTAAAGGTTCACCAGCACACCGATGAGCCCATGTTCTCGCAATTCGGGGGCGGTCTGAGGCGTGTTGTTGCTTGGAACTGATGGGTCCTGTCTCGGATTTCCCTCGCCGCCAACACCAAAGGCGGTACGAAATACACTAGAGCAATCTATTTCCGGTTCTTCCCCCTCACGACGGTCAGGGAAATGGCGTTATTCTCTGTATCTGCTCTCGCCGCCGGACTTTCCTTCGCATGTTCGTAGTGTAAAGCGGAGTGCTCCTCTCACATGGAAATGTGGGGCCCTCGCCAGTTGAGATGAAACCTTCGTGGCCCCAATCCTCACTCTCGTGATGGTCAAAAACTCGCCTTCACACTTTCATTGAGGTCAGTATACAACGCCTCCGGGACGTTATCACCGCCTCCCTCACACAGGCTGCATAGCTTGTCTGCCTCATAGAAAAGGAGGGCAGGCCACAAAAGGAACTTTGGTTTCCCCGCGCTGCAGGGAGAAGCACGTAACGGCGAAGAACGGTCGAGACTCGGGCCCGTTGGTGGACTGGGGCCTCCGGCCTTGCGGCGCTCACGCCGGCGAAAGAAAAGCCTCCCGTTGGCTATCCAAACGGGGTTCCTGTTTGCTTCCCCGTTTCCCCCTCCTCGATGATCTCTCGATTGGACAGCAGCATGACCCGACACGATGCAACTGACGCTCATCGCAGGCACCAATCTGCAAAGGGGGTTGTCAATATTACGACGGCGAAAGTCGGGCTTGCCCAAGTGCTACACCATCATTTGACAAGGAGGTGTTCAACTCTCAGGGTCGTCGGCGCTAAAGTGAGTCCAAGCCAAGCTTCGGAGACGTCCGTCCCGAAACGTCCATCACAAGCGAAGCCCAGAGCCCGCGGTCTAGGCCCGGCCACGTTTTTTTCGTCGATGGGGGGCGGGCGCTCCCTTACGACACACCCAACACTTTGTCTCACTTGCGCCGCTCTCCGATAACCAACTTCAACGATGCCGCGAGGACTAGAACATGCCATCTCTCTCTTTCTTCTCCGCAATTTCCCGCAGCGAGACAGCCACCTGACCAGCACTGACGCCCCCGCGGCAGTATATATCCCCTTCCGTGCAGTTTCGCCATCAACATGCTGACTCTGCCCACCCTTCCCGAAACATCTTAAAATATCCCGTACGGGGATTGTACGCAGAGCGTCCTGTGCATAAGCTAATTAATTAAAGCCCACGCGCACATGGGGAACGTCGACGTGGACCGCGTGTCCGGCCATCCCTATCCGTAAAGCAAAGCGCGGGATGGAGCTCATCAAGAGACCATAATACTCGGTGGTGTAGGAGCATGTCAGCAGCAGCGTACATATTCAGCCAAGATCGCATCGATATGCACATGGATATTCCAAGGGTTGGAGACTGCGTGTGCTTTTAAGCTCATGCGTTGTTGCGGCGCCACCGCGCGCCGTCTCAAGCTTTGGAAGCGGGCTACCTTGAAAAGGCAGGTCGTAACGTTTGACTCGTGAAGCTGCTCTGCGCCCCCGGGCCTGGGGCTTGTCCCAGCAGAGCGGTTCGGGATCGCCCGACCTCAACCCCAGGTGCCGCCGCTGCCCAGCTTTGGTTTGATTGTTGGCGACTCGCGAGACATCCACCATCCGAAATAACCAGCTAGAGTACTAGAAAAACGTGACGGTGAGTGTGGTTCGCTGGTGGGAGTCTGAATATTTATCAAATGGTAACTAGACTGTACCTAGGTGATTATCGAGATGAACTCCTCCCCATCGGAAATCAGGGAGAATGGGGGATTCCTTCTCTCCTCTCTCCCGACCCGCCCCCACCATCCCATCCATTATTGACATGGATAGCTTTCATGACAGGCCCGAGATTGGTTCATGGGGAAAGGGAGGGGCGGGCCAAATCCCTTGGTTCGGCCCCCCTTGTTGGCGATGAGGTTCCCTGATTCCAAGTGCAGCAGCACGCAAAATGTTCGTCTGCCCGCGGCCTCCGTCCAGGGGCGGTTCTTGGGACGCGATCCCATTTTGGCAGGTGGTTCCGAGGATCTGGTCAACACGCGACCGGATCCAAGCCACAGAACTTAGCTCACGGTTGACCCCGTCCACGATCCACAACCCTCCTAGTATTCTGGATGAGCATGACGAGGCAGATGCGCAGATCGGATCTTTGAGGCCGAAGGGCCTGTTCGAGCTCAACAAAAAAGTGAGCCCCATGCGCCGCATGCCCGTCCGGTCCGGCGCCTGGCACGCCTGGTCCCGATTTGCGGGTAACAAGGCAACTAAAAATAAGCTTCCGTCCTCCCCGCAAAAGCCCAGCGCGGTCTGCTACACTAAAACACACTCTAGTGTACATCACCAGCAAAGGCGCAGTCGTATCTAGAACTACTAGTGTATGAAGGCCTAAAGCCGAAGGAACTGATTGAAAGGAACAAGAAGCTTTTCTCTCCTCCCTTCCCATATCCCCCGCCATCTTGTCCGACAACCCCAGTAAACGCGTTGAAGCCGAACGGGTTCAAATTGACCGTCCTAATTTTGTTGTCTTCCACCACAACCCGCTAGGGGGGGACAACAGGGTGACCAAGAAAGTGAACAAAAAGTGGTCGCCGACCATCCTGCAGCAACTCTTTATCTCGGCAGACGACCTCCCCGACACGGGAGGCTGGGGCCCGGGGTAGGATTGGGGACATGGCAGAGGAGTGATTTTGACTGGCCAAGAACCGCGCGCCAGCAAATCGCAGCAAATGGGGCGATCCGGGTGCCACGCAGGGTGTTGGTAAACGAAGATCGTCCACATGCCGTCCCAGTACCACACCGGCCAGGGCCAAGGAAGGGAAGCATTGTGTGACGTGACTGTTGTGTGACGATCAGCAAATGACCCTGCAAAGTGGCAGACCGAATTACAGTATTAGTTAGTTACATGGTACAAAATTCCTACGGCACCACACACAAACACCGGGGGAAAGGCTTCAGACCCATCCGCTTGAAGCTACTACACAGTCCTTCGTATACCGGGTCATTCATTTTTGTTTCTCCCGAGGGCATGGGGGACATGTTTTTGACAAATCCCCATTGGTTGTGCTGAGTCCTTTTCTCGCTAGGAACCGTCTCCGGTCGGGCTTGACACATCAGATGCCAGCATTATAACTTTCGTTTATTGACATGGATGATGCTCATGATTACTATGTAGACGGCTGTGTGAAGCAAGTGGTCGGGTTGTTGGTGTTGAGAGACAGATGTATTCGTAATATTGCTTGTATGCTTCTTGCTTTCTCGAAGACTGAAGTCCAACCCAGTCCTCATCTTGCCTAGGTAAGTTAGGTGCATGTACTTGTACCTTATAATTCGCTATTTAGTGTTATTTAGGTAGTCAGGTAGACAAAGGGGCTTATCCTGGCTGTTGTCCAGCTTCAGAGTACTATCTATGACCCAGGCGCAACCTACTGAACGTCGCAGATGCAGTATTAAGCTGTAAGTCAAGGGTGATGGATTGTTACTTTGCGGCCCCGTGACCAGTACCGTGGATAAATCGGTTTGGGCACCGTGGTGTAGCGAAGATAGAAGACTCGCCCATACAGAAACATATTGTTGTGTATCTGGGTCCAGTTAATCAACTCCATCCTTAGCCGAATGGTGTTTTCCAGCTGTGTACACCTCCCCGCTACGATCCTTATATCTTTATGGCGCCCAAGTGACCGCTCCCGTCGCCAAACCCACGAGTCCAAGTGACCATCACAATCTAGTCTAGAAAAGGGACGGAAAGAAAAAGGGGGCTTGACTCGTATGTGCCATACAATGCCAAAACTAAGCAGACTCAAGTTCAGATGGGACGACAGAGACGAAAGATAAATGAAGCGTCCTGGTTCGTGATGTCGTAATATCCAAGAGAACCTGCGCAGCTCATATATCCATCCATACTGCCCCTAATCCAACGCCATCAAGCGTCACTCATCAACATCGCAAATCCCGCGTGGAGTTTCCCACCCGACCACCCTCTGGGGCCTTGTTGTCCTTTTAAAAAGCCACACGGGGTCGAACGAGGCTATCGGCTGGGGCGTGCCGGTCAAAACCTGCAGAGATGAGGACTCGTTCCCCTGGAACTTTGCTTAAGGTTGATAATAGTACTATCAAGGGTTGGGGGGGAGGGTTTACGCCGACGGACAACCCAGTAGCATAACTTGTCGACGGCCCCGGCCAGCGAATCTCAACTGGGAAACTTTCAACGTAGACGGGCGCGAGCCAGCACCGGTGGCTCGCCAACGAGGAGGGAGCTGCCATGTCGACCAAAACGGACGCGAGAAAAGTCACCATCACATCACAGCTAGGTTTGTGGAAAACTGATAAAAAGCAAAAATGATATTAGCCTGACTAGCTGCTACCTCTTTCACATCCGTGTGTTTTGTCTCCAAACCCATCATGTTTCGTGTAAACAGGCCTGCTCGCCTCCATCCCAGTCCATGCCAAGTAAAGGACAGGCTGTTTGGATTGTCATTTACGACATAGCCGCTGTGACTTGGGACGATGAGGGTGAAGGGAAAGCAACGAGCAGGTCCCGTGAAGATGCTGATTCACATCACGTTACTCTAGTCACACACATGCTGAAGATCAAGCCCCAAACGCCATTCGCCGCCCAGACTCAAACAAGCCAACCGTCCAGTTGAACACCAGCCAATGTGAGAACGCCCCGGAAAAAGAGTCAAGAAGCACGCCGAGATCAATCTCAGTTGGCCTCAAACTCCTTTTGCAGGTAGACGCAAGACACCATGGCGTGATCACGCTCGTACGGTTCTACAGGTTCAGTTAGTTGCTGCGGGCCGGATCAAGGTGTGACATTGTCTTGGGCTTACCGAGAGTGAGCTGCTCCTTGGGGAAGAACTTGTCCTCACGAAGCTTTTGGACTTCGCTGGCAAACACCTGCTCAGGAGGGGCTGGAGAACTGTCAGCAAATGTCAAGCTGAGAATCGTTCACAGCGCGAGACTTACCAGTGCTGTCAATGCAGCTGGCCTTGATAGAGATGAGAAGACCACCACCCTGCTTCAGGAACAGTTTTGCGTTGATACCGACAATACGGGCCTGATCGGGTTGGGCAACATCGGCGAAGATGACGTCCACCATGGGGAGAAGCATGCGGTATGCCATCGGCTTACGAGCGTCCTCGACGATCCTAAGTTGTGTTAGTGGTATGGGTGCGATGCAGTAACGTCAAACTCGTGGCTTACGGGATGACATTAGTACGACGTGTCTGTCCAGTGGTTAGCATGTTGGTTACGGGTTTGCGCTGGGAGGGGGGGGGGGGGGGGGGTTTGACATACAGCCATGTTGATAAGATCTCTCCCGGATCGGTGCGAAAATTCGACAGCCTAGATGGATTGTCAACGGAAACCCAATACAAGTCAAAGTAGCTTGGAACGTACGTAGACAGCGCCAGTTGGGCCGACAATATCGGCAACGTGGGAGACGGAGGTACCCGAAGCAGCACCGAGGTAGAGAACCTTTGAACCCGGCTTCATGTAGATGGTTTCCAGCCCACCGAGAATACCAGCGGCAAGCTTACTCCGGCTTTTTCAAGTTAGCAAGGAACATCTCGAGGATAGGGGTGGGGCGACGAACAAGGGGTTCCAAATCTGCGAGGCATGATACGTTAGCGAATGCTTCACCACTTAACGCCCACAGCGCGCCGGATTGGGACTCACGCGGTACTCGGTCTTGGTGGCAACGGCATCCTCACCCTTGCCCGAGTTCTCGACGGAGATTCTCTTCTCGCCGTATACGGACTCGCCAGGGACCAGGTTGGTCGTCGCAAGAAGATCCTCCTTTCCACCACGAGCGACAAATACACCCTTGTGACGATGGGGCTCGACGATGACCTTCTTGCCGCCTTTCGCACCTCCGGGACCACCACCCCGGCCGCCGCGACCGCCCCCACGAGGACTAGAGAAAAGTGTTAAGGAACGGTTCAATTGGTTGTTTCAAAGGAGAGAACGTACGCGCCACGACCGCGGCCGCCAGGGCCACCGCGACCACCACGAGCAGCGCCACCACGACCGCCGAAGCCTGCGAAAATCCGGTCAGCGATCAGCCATCAAGATGGATGAAGGTTCATGTTGCGAAAGGCTAGTTTTCGCAGAGGCGCCGAGGGAAAACCATCGAATCTCGCGCATACACTAAGAGAGTGTGGAGGAAGATGAAAGAGGGGGAACATACCACCGCCGCGACCACCACCCCGCGCGCCGCCGCGACCACCGCGATCACCACCACCACGGAAGCCACCACCTCTACCGCCGCCCCTTCCACCACGGTCGAAGCCCATTGCGATTGATTAGTGGGTCCAAATAGGGAGTATGGGTTGTTTTTCTGTTGTACTCCGCGATACCGGGTGTGGTGTTCTGCACAAACGGCTTCTGAGGACACAATGGATACAGATGCGCGCTGGTGTTGAACTCGTCAAGAAGCTTGATGGAGCTGGATGCAAAATTTCCTTGAGTGTCGAGAAAAAAAAGCGGGGGGACTTTTCTTGGCTCTGGCCTCCGTGAGCCGAGCCGGGGTTTTCCCTTAGCTGAGTGGTCAGATATGTGGGGATGTTTCGAATGTTGCTACGATTACCTTTTTAGCAAACAAACTACATATAATTTAGTTATAGAGCTTATCAATAGGTCCGTGTCCTCCACTCTGCCGTGTTTCGTGCCTCAGGCGAAAATTCCGCCGCACAAGCCAATCAATCAGAACCCACAGAGCCCTAATCGCGAAAATCGCATTTGGCTCTAAAATTTGGAACATCCATCATTCTCGAATTCCCAACTCGGTCGATCCCGTCCTCACGTCGACAAACAGTCAAGATGGTTAGTTACCCCTGCGATCTCAAGTTAATTACGGTTCCTCAAAAATCGACGAATTCGAAAGCCCGACCCCTCAATTTGCGAGTGTTGGAGGGGAAGAGCAGCGTTGGGTTAATTTTGGGGAGGCGGGCGGAGAGTATCATGGGACAACGCTGACTGGAGTCATGGCGATGTTTCTTTTAGGTTCGGTACGCAGCGACTGAGATTGCGCCCGCGAAGTCGGCCCGCTCCCGTGGGTCGTACCTCCGTGTCTCGTTCAAGAACACCCGCGAGACCGCCCAGGCGATCAACGGCTGGAAGCTCCAGCGCGCCCAAACTTTCCTCGAGAATGTTGTCGAGAAGAAGGAGGCCGTCCCCATGAGGCGCTACTGCGGCTCCATTGGCCGCACTGCCCAAGGTACGACTCGAACAACATAAGCCCCCGCTGGAACTCGAATCAAGGATCCGATACTAGGCGAAGACGGAGGTTGGAGGGCGAGAACATCCAGCAGCGCGAGTGGCGATGGGGATGAGCGGGGATATGAGGCATGGTGCTGATAGTTTCGGGTTTAGGCAAGCAGTTTGGTGTCACGCGCGCCCGTTGGCCCGTCAAGTCCGCCGAGTTCCTCCTCGGTCTCCTCAAGAACGCTGAGGCCAACGCCGATGCCAAGGGCCTCGACACCGGCAACCTGGTCGTCAAGCACATCCAGGTCAACCAAGCCCCCAAGCAGCGCCGCCGCACATACCGCGCCCACGGTCGCGTACGTTTACCCGGTCAACCTGACGGCATCGGAGAGGACGTTTGAACACTAACATGTGACGCAGATCAACCCCTACATGTCGAACCCTTGCCACATCGAATTGATCCTCACCGAGGCCGATGAGGCCGTCCAAAAGTCGGAGGCTGTTGTTCGCGAGGAGTCCCACCTTAGCTCGAGGCAGCGTGGTGTCCGCGTCCGTCGGGCTATCACCGCCGCTTAAGTGGGTGGCTCGTTTGGGATGAGTTGGGGCATGCGGGATCTTTTTGACTGGGCTTGGCTTTCTTCTGGAACGGTGTACGCGAGCATGGCATTTTCGGGTCAAGGCTACGATTCCACAAAAAAAAGGAGTCGGTCACGAACACTCAATAAAGAAGCATTGAGGACCATAATGGTGCACCCGGAGCCGGATGGGATTATATGGGCGCTTAACCGAATACCATTACTTTGACTCGATTGCTGCCGCAGCGTCCCGCTTCAATCAGGAAGATACGCAGTTCTGCTCATTCAGACTCGGGCATGTGTCGGTGGAGTGCATGATGCATAAACCCTCGGCCCGTCGGGCAATCGAATGGTGTCAATAGTCAAAGTGGCCGTCGTCGCCGTATCAACGGCTCGATAATGCTGCCCCCGTATGACATGCCCAAATGATTTGTGCACTTAGCGAACGAGGTACTCTGAAAAAATAAAACCGAGTTAAGACGCCCACCGCCCACTCCCTGGGCAGTTACGAAATCGATGTGGAAGGCTTACTCTGCATCGAACCCCGGGGCGAGCATTCGCGGTGTACTGCCCTATACCCCCCTTTCCATGGCACTTCATAACTTTGAAGGACTGGTAACCCTAGGCGCCAATCATTATACTACCATCTCGTGCTAAAACATATATTCGCACCAGCATAGTATCACGCTTGATTAGTTGCTTCACTACCCTATGCTTATTCCAGGCTACCCAGCCATCTCAATATCATCTTCCGCTCCCCCAGAAGCACCCGCTTTTTTGCGTTCTTCTATCCTTTTAAGCATCTTCTGCTTCCCCTGGTCGATCCACTTTTCATACGCCCCATTTCCTTCCTTTAACTTGTTGGCTACCACACTCTTCAAAACCTCGGCGGCGAAACCAACAAAATTATGCCGCCTCAGGGCATTCTCAAATTGCCAGTCCCGCCGCTTACGCTCTTCCCTTGCAAGAAGCTCGAAGTCCCCTATTTCACGGGCGCGGATCCGCAGGTCGCGCACCATAGCTAGCAGATTGAAGCGAATCTCCGTGGCATCATACCGAGCGATGCGGCGCTGCAGGACTTCCATAACACGGGCGGGGAATTCGTCGCGGGAGCAGGCGCCATGGCTAATGGGCGCTGGTTGCAGGCCATCAAGCTCGTAGAGGTTGCCGCCAATGGGGGTGTAAGCGATGAAGTGGAAGGCATCGTTATCGGCCTCATCGGGCTGGCGCTGCGTCTCATCTACAAAGGGGGATGACTTGGCGAAGCTATTATGAACGTCACGGATGAGCTCGCTGTTGGACAGCGCCTCGCCGCGGTACTCCGGGGGTAGGGCCATGGTGAACTCGCGGAAGTCGGAGAGCGTCGAGCCGATGTCAATCGTCTCGTCCGCTGGTAAGGTGCCATCGGCCGTCTTGTTGAGAAGGACGCTTAACAAGGCCTGGGTACCGCAGGCGTTTTGTATCGTCTGCGTGGCAAAAAAGAGGCCTTCTGAGGCATCCCGGTCAAAGGTACCGTCTAACGGCTTGTCACCGGCACGGTAAGGGGTGTCGGTGGGGAACTTGAACAGGAAGATGACACCGTAAATTGGGTAAAGCTCCGCGAGAGCGCTGGGGTCAAGTGAAAGCAGTTCCTCAAACTGGACATCTTTTACCCCGAGGTTGTCGAGGAGATAGGTGAAAACACCCTGAAGGTAGGAGTCAGCAAAAGGGGCCCCATACTGCAAGTCCGTGTGGTTTGTTAGTGAGGGGGGCTCATACCGCATCGGATTCGACTATGATTCGTTAGATCCCAACCGAACGCAGCAAGAAACCCAGATTGAATGAACGTGAGGCTTACTGGTATTCCAACCACCACTCATTTTGAGTGCCGGTAAAGACGAGGCGCAAGTAAACGTGCTGATATTTAGGCTTCTTTTGATGTAGTCTCGCCCTCCGCAATATTGCGCCGGGTAGAAGGAAAAATATGCTGCGTGGTAGTTTCTTGATTCCCAGCTAGCGAGCGTACTTGGGTGACAAAGTTGCAGTTATTCCTTCTACCAACGGCCCGATGATGCAAGTTCCAAGCTGCCTGCCGGTGCGATAAGATAAGCAGGTAGCCTGTGACCCACTTTAGGTTGCCCTAGCGCCAAGGGAAAATACAAACAAAAGGGGCCATCAACTACAAGAAGCCAACCAGCAGCAAACAGATCATATCACCAAGTCGGCGCCTTACATCTCGCATACCCCGGCAACTTCCTTGATTCTCTTCTCGTCTACTTTCTTTAGTCACTTTGTCACTCTCACAATTTACATACTCCGGAACACATTCCGGAACCTCCTGGAATACACAGATTTTTAAACACAAACACATCAGACCCGGCTGTGGCCGCCAAATTCCCGAGCTTGCTCGCCGGAGCCGTCGATCCATGCTCGGTGACATACGTGAAACTCAGATCCATTATAAGCATCCTTAGTATGGAACCTCCCACGCCCACCCTTTCGGCCCTGAGCGCCCCAATCCATCGCTCGGCTCTTGCCTGACCTAGCACCCCTCACCCAAATGTAACTGGGCTCGACGGCAGCTTTCCACTGTGAGAGCTAATTGAGGGCAAAGATATTCAGTACAGCTGGCGCAGTGGTTCAGGCGTCGGAATCCTCGGAACATCATCAGCACCGGCCCCTCCCTTCGAGGCTGTGTCGGATCTGTACCGGTCGGCACCCGTGAAGTCGTCGCGCGAGTTTAACGAGAATGAAGCCTCTCGATCTCGACGGTGCCTGACCCAGTCGATTCCCCACATGGAAACTCTGACGATCCACGGTCTCTCTCCTGGCGGCCGCCAAGTCCAGTATTCCTTGAGCTCGTAGTTCTGGGGTACGATAGTGTTTCCCGAAAGCCGAACGATGACATAAATCGCACCGTTGATGACGACGTAACAGAGAATACCACTGCATACAGGAAGTTCCCCGTTAGTAGAAAGATCACCATGATTATGGCCGGTGTTATACTGACGCGATTAGCCCGTAAGCAACACTGAAGCTAAAGGGGATGAATGCCAGTGTGATAAAGGACGGTATGGCATCACCGGCATAGCCCCAGTTTATCTTGGTAACTTGACGGATCATCATACAGCCAACCTAGAAGGCGTATTGTCAGCGATTGGGGGAACCGCACCAACCCAGCAAGAAGCGAGGAAAAACTCACCAGAATAAGGGTGCTTCCCGTTGCCCAAGGCGGAATTGAGGCAAATATCGGGGCGAAGCAAAGCGAAATTAGGAAGCATATTCCAGTAACCACCGCTGTCAGCCCGGTACGACCACCCTCGGCAATGCCGGCACTGCTCTCGATGAAAGCGGTGACTGGCGAGAGTCCAAGAAGCGCGCCCATTGATATGCAAAAGGCATCCACACAGAAGGCCATTGTCGACCGGGGAAAGTCAGCTTTATCACGACGTGCCCTGCTGCAGAACCTGGCCATAGAGTACAGCGTCGCGGTACAGTCTATGATGTCCACATAGAGGAAGGTGAAAAGGGCGATGGCGAAATGGGAGCCAGCTGCGCCTCTCAGGTCCCACTCCTGCTTGACCATTGTGTGGTGGATAGGATGAAAGTTGACGATCTTAGTGAAGTAGCTGAACCTTTCGTCGCCGTCGGGTGTGTTCGGAAAGTACGTCAAGGGGGTATTCCGACTGTTAAAGAGTGTGAGATAAGTGCGAAAGGGTCGAAAACGTAAAGAAGTAGCTTACGGCCATGACACAGCAGAAACAATTATGATGCCAATGATGATGGCCCCCTTGACACGGAAAGACATCAATATTGTAGTGAGCATGCCACCGCAAACAATACCCAACCATGTCTGAAGCAACAAGTCAGTAAGTTCTAATCAGTAAAAACACAAAAGGGCAAAAGGTTACACATACCTTCGAGCTTGTCATGAATCCGGAATTGCACTCCCCAAACTCGTTGAGGTCCTCGATAGGGCACCCTCCGATTGCGAGCGGTGTACTGATGCTTCCGGTGATTAGGCCAAGCCCTGAGGTGTACGACATGCCGATGAGGGTCAAGAACAGCCCGATGCCAGCCCCACTCGCGATCTTGATAGTTCCAGGAATAATCTTGACCAACCAATGGCGTAGACCGGTCAAGGCGAGAAACAAAAATATCCATCCCTCGATGAAGACGGCCGTGAGAGCAATGCGGTAGTCCACAGAACCCGTGCCTTTGACACCAACAACTTGGTAGGTGAAATAGGCGTTAAGGCCCATCCCGGGACTAGTGATAGGAGTGGTTAGTGAAGAGCTCGCAAGTTTTACGAGGAGGTAGGCTTACCCGAGGGCAACAGGGAGGTTGGTAAAGAGGCCGAAGAGGATGCTGGAGAAGCCAGCAACTGCAGTTGTAGCGGTAATCAGATCAAGTTTAAGATCTGGTCAGATTGTTAACTACACGAACGAGTTATTTAGTGAGTTGGTAACCAACCATCATAGCATTTGGTCCAGTCAGACTTATTGACGCAGTTCCCCTGTGCGTCCAATGGCTTCTCACAGTAACAATCATACCCGGATTCGGCAAGTATGAAGGCCTAGAAAGAATTAGTCAGATATACTAGAAACAACTCATCAAAAGATCCAGGTTGTACATTTACGGCAATAACATAGGCCATAGTCGCAAAGGTTGTGACGCCCTTGGATATGTGTCAGTCCAACTCATCAAATCTTAGCTCCAGGGGAACGAACAGCACGAATCTCAGTCGAGAAACAGGCATCTTCAATCTCTTTGCTCTATAAACACCAAAACTGCATTAGCTAGGCCTGTAATAACCGGCTTATTATGGTTGGGATCAAAACCAACCAAGGTACTTACATGGCCACAACCCCTAAGCCGAAATAGCCGACCAAACAATGAACTTCCAATCGAGTCATCTACGTGATGGACGGAAGTCCGGACTTTTCGTTGAAACTGCCTAAACCAGTTTGGCTTGTCGGCGTGCGATAGCTGGCGGGCAGGCTCTGGCATGCTTTGTGCTGGGTGCATTTCTATGCCCTCGTTCCTAACAAGATTGCAAACATTAGTAATGCCTATTGGGAGGAGGCGAGAGAGCTATGACCAAGAAAAAAAGACGAGAAAGGTTGTTAAACTCAAAGTCGAGAAGTCTTTGAAGGAGAAAACAAGAAAGGCCAAAATAACACGCAAATTCCAACAAGTTAATTGCGTCCCCGTTTGTAAAGGTTGTTGTCCCACGGCAGTGGGAGGGTAGTCCCGGCCCATTGCGCTGCAGGTAAGGATAACGACATGCTTCCTCGAGAAAGTGCGCACAAAAACTTGTGTTTACATGCATATGCCGTGTAGACAGAAAACAATGGGAGGTGAGTTTAGCAAACTGCCTGACGTACTCTCCCAGGAGGGGCGCTGGGGTGAATATTCCAATCTTGTGAAATAGACGGCGCATGTTTTCTGAGTTGATCGGTCCTTTCTCATGGAGTATGATGTCAGACTTGGTGAAGGGGGTAAGAAGTGGCTTAGAACGGATGTTGTTCGAGGGAAAGTGTAGAGTAGGGCTGGCGGTTGGAGGAAGCTGAATTAGGATCGATAAAGGGTTAAATGAGGAATTGGGGAAGGAAATGTAGGAAGTCAAGGTGAATGAAGGGAATGGATGAAGTTTTCATGAGGGCCACTGTGGTCTAGAAACGCTAGGAAGGAATGTGCGCAATTATTATACAGTAAAGGTGGAACGGCTTTTGAAACTACAATTTTGTTGACGTGGAAGGTACAGTTCCTAGACTCCAACCCGATAGAGATGCCAATGTGCGGCTCAACCAGGCTTGTCAAGAAGCCTAGTGCACATATTTGCACTACCCATTTCTCACTTTCATTACCACAGTCAAAGTTATGTTTGTTGGGGTGGCAAGACCGGGGAGAGTGTTGAAGAAAGCTAGCCCTACACATATAACACGGGATTAAAAAAACATGCTTTCTACCGGGGATATGAGCTCTGGCATACAACTTAAATCGACATCCTACGGGCATACAGCTTTTGACCAGCCCCCCGCCCGTATTATTAAACAGAGAACATGATTACAACAAGGGCTCATGACTAAATACGTGAGGACATGCTCTTGTCTACCCTGATAGCAACATCATATGCTGAGCCCTGTTGCCCGGGACCCCGGTTTCTTCCTCCCCCCCTCACAGGGAAGGAAACTCGGTGCATAAAGGGACAGCAGAGAGGTCGAGGAACCTGGAAACTCAACTCTGAGTTCCTGTTATGGTATCGATGTTGGCTTCAATCCTTCAATACATCACTCTTACTCCAGTCCCAAGGACGAGTGTAGGTTGGTCCTACCCCTTAGCAAGCGTACCTCCATGTAAGCGCAGGCCCTCCTTCCTGGCGGTAAGACAAGCCAGCCGTTTGGTGTTCAAGACAACACGGCGTCCCGACACAGCAGGTGAGAATGCGGTTCCCGGTAACAGGAAGAACAAGTTGTGGGTCTCCCGCCACGATGCCCTTTTCTCCTAGGATCTTCCATATATGTTCTGTTCTCAGCATGCACACGGCCCATATCTTCGTACATCTGTGTCAGTTCTCGGCCGATTGGAAGTCTATGAACAGAAGAACAAAGGGCCGAATCCATTTGTTGGCGCTAATTTTGGTTCTTCAATTCCCAGCTCCCCGCCGCTTCCTTCAGTCCCGTTTATCTTTCAGGGCCTCGTTATGCAGTAAAGAGTGTTGGGAGAAATAAGGCGGACCAGCCGAAACCTGGAACCTTGTCGGGGTTCGGGACGCCTCGGCCCGCTCCAGGAGCACGCGACAATGCACACGGAGGTGATAGCTCTTGGCGTGGGGATCTTCAACGTCGCGTCACCATCAGCGTTTACGATTCGCGTTTTCCTTCCCTCTTTTCCCGGGTACATTGGGCGATACATCCAAATTAATCTACTCCTGTAGGGGGGATCGAATTTTGGTTTAGTTCGAGTCTCGAATCGGCCCGGACCGTTTGAGGGTTACTGGTGACCGAATCCCCCCCCCGAGACGCAACAAATTTGAACGCTATGATGTGATGATCGTTGGTGCTACGTAGGGTGTGACACCAATCACTCGATGAGGCCAATTCTCAGCAAGCACAGGCATGATTGTCGGTAGGACGACCCGCGCCATCTAATGACATACCCCCCATCTTGCCGAGATATGGGTGCTCGTCTGGAAACACGGGTAGATCACACTGGTTTCCCCGAGAACTCAGACGGTCGAGTCCCCAGGCTAGACTGTTCGTGGTTTGTTGTACATAGCCCAAGTTGCGGCTAGCTACTATTGATGCATAGGCTACGTTATGGTGGAGGAGCAAATGGTAGGACGTCCCCGTATATTTCTCTGTCCGAGGAAATTATCGCACGCTCAAACCTTCGGGTCAACCTGTCTTCTGTGGCCGGAGCTTTTGTGGCACAGCACGGGATTATCCCATGGTCTGGTAGCTATCATGTAGCCTACCGTGGACAGCCGCCTGGGATATGACCGATCGAGGCACGGCAGCATGCAGCTTTAATTTGCGACCGGCTGTGCCTTTGATTACAGTTTTGTTAATCTTCGAGGAATTTCACGCTCCCAGGGCTGGCGATTCCTTAGGAGGTAACACAGGAGGTAACTGCGTAACCCCCAGGTTGCGTGACATCGTAAGGTCTTTGAGCAAGGCGCAAGACAGTGAGGAAAACTCCCACGCCAACCCTCGTACGACCTGCCTTATTTGACAATAGGCTCTCCCCAAGTAATTACGGGCTGACCATCTGATATTGACGCCCCAAGGAGGCTAACGGCCGAGACAGCTCTGACAAGCTATACCTGGACCTGTACCTCATGTACCAGATTACTAGACACCTATGGGTGGTGGTCTGGCATATGAGGTAGCTTAGGTAGGTACCTAACATTAAGGTAGGTACCTATACGGAATTTGATCTGTCATATCCACTGTGATGAGCTACCACGACAGCCAGATAAGCCACCCCAAGGCAAACATGAACCTTAAAATACGTTAGGGAGTCAAAAGCCTAGGAACATACCGGCTGAATCCTGCCCAGCGGCTGTGGTGCCTACCAAGGAGAGTGGGCGTGTGAAGGGGCCTGAGGATCTGAGGTATATTTTGGTTCTTCGCACCTTCCTTGCTGGATACCATCGCGCTTGGTGGGATAGAAGCAAAACTCGGACGGCGCGAAGGTACCATTGTGTTTCCCTCTTCCTTCGGCTGTACGCGTTCTTGCCGTTTTCACAAGCCCCCAGCCGCCCTAACGCGTCGACCTACCTTAATTTTCCGGTCGCAAAGTATCCGCCCTCCGGGACCTACACAGTTGGGTGAAGCGAATGTTGTTTTACTCCCACTCCATCTCCTTTACTTCCTGAAGCGCAAAGTCAACTTACTAGCCATTTCCTCCACCCTCAGATTCGGATCCCGACCGAGTTACGATTGACTTAGTCGCCGCGGGCAGTTTCGACAACCAAAACAAGTATTGCCTCGAATATATCGATCGCGCCTCCCCTCCGCACGCTCATCTGGCCTCCGCCCCTTTCCTTACAAGCGGTCTTTTACGATAATCTCCGGGGAGTTCCCATTTCCGCAACGTGTGTTGCCAGGTAATGGCTTAGTACATTGCGGCGAGCAATCACAATGTTTGAGGTCGACTGGCAAGACTACGATTGCGAGCGGGTCGGGGAGCGGCGCGCAAGGAAGGCAATCGAACGGGAGAAGAAAAAGAGGGAGGATGCCAATAGCGGCCATATGTCAAGTGTTTCAGCCAGACCATCTTCCTACTTATCGGATCGCAATTTTCGAAACTTCTTTGGAAGCATTGGTCGGAGGAAGTCTGGGGCTCCGTCATCTTCCATCAGAAACAAGCAACATGACTTGCCTTCACCAAAAGCTGAGGCTACGGGAAGGGGTTTGAAGTCGAAGCGCGGCTCTATGCGCCTATCGACAATCAGCTCAAAATCTATCACGTCAACAACAACTAGCCCCTTTACAGAAATCGGTGATAGGTTGCTGGAGTTTGAGTCCGTCACTACCCCGAAGCGAGCCTCCACAATCATGCGCTCCAACTCGCCAGAATCGCAGGACCGTTTCTCAAAAGGTGGATCAAACCGGCTCAAAATCTAACATGACATAATGGCTAACTCTATCCAGATTCAATGCTATCTAAGATGACTCAGTTGACTATCCCGACGTTGGAGGCGCAGGGAAGCGGGTCGACGCCCCAAACAGCCGCCACCGCCGTCCAGGAACTAGATATAAAAGGTTCGCCGGCCGAGGAGGCAAAGACAACTCATCAGCATGGGAGCATTGGAACGCCTATGAGCACCCAAACCGAGCTTGGGGCTAGACCCGTGTCCGACCATAGAACACTGAGCACACCAAGAACACCAGGAACGGCCGAGGCGTCCTTTTCCCGGGTATCTCGAGACGAGAGGTCGGCGTCTGAGCTCATTGATGACTGGTTTACTGCGCTGCATAACTCAACTCAGGATTCTGTAGCCCCGGAGTTTAGCGGGGCAGTCCGGAGAAGGAGTGCGGGCATGGCCTCCAACGTTTCGAAAGCGCCGAAACAATCACCAGCAGCAGCTCGTCGTGCAAGGAACAGTGTATGCGTATTGCCGAAGGCAACACCAATCCGTTTCTCAGCGGAGAACCCGGATGATTGGGTGCCATTGGAAGAGTGGGATTCGGCTGCTTCTACAAGAACACAATCCCTCGCGCCAGTTGATGAGGATCTCGGAGAGCATGGCGAGGGGCTGGATGTGGTCGCCACGGGTTTGAAGAATGTTCACATTTCCCAGGTTGCCATCCAGGCAAACGTAGAGGAAGGAAATTGTCATGAGCGCCAAACTGGGCACCTAGAACAGAGACTGAAAGGTCCGTAGCTCGGTCTGTCCTCGTCAGAGGGGCAGGGGCAAACCAGGGAGGGTCACAATCTAGGATGCCTGGCACGCCGCCGTTCCGTAGATAGTTACCGAGCGCGTATATTCGACTCGATCGACCACCTAATACGCACACTTTCAGTTATAAATCGTAATTGTGAGAAATGGGATACTCATTTACGGCGCTTGCAAACGGTTAGTTGAATAGAGATGTTTGACAATGGGGGAGTACTGGGGGTAACATTTACATAGTCTGCCTCCTCGGCGAGGCCAAGAAGAAAAGTGTTATTGGGAGCGTTTACTGATAACGAGAACATGCCAGGGATTGGGGGGCGGACCAGCGCTACAAACACTGCGACTTTCGTGACGCCGTTCAAGACGCCGTTCAACGATGGGCAGCAACGAGTACGTCATTGATACACCGGTTTATCTCCCGGTCTCAGGATGTTTGCGATGGCTGGAACAAAACTCTTTCTTCCCTTTTAGCGAGAGTGTCGGGTAATTTTTCGTGGCGTCTTATTCCATCTCGCGGTTGTCCGGTCCCATAAACGAGATTGATAACCCACCGGGTGCATTGCGGCACGGCTAACTAAGACATGTATCGGGGTCTAACAAAAGGGTGTGGTTTCCGATATGCGACAGTTTTTATACCCAATATAAATGACAAGACAACAGTCAACCATATACGCTATTATCCATCTATAGATCAGAATTACGGCGTGCTTGCAACACAGTGGCTAATACTCTCTCTAACGGTCCCCACAACTTACTCTGTTTTGACGTGAGACAAAGCAAACAAAACGCCGGGCATTTCAGTGAGCTCGCAGCGGTAAAGCCCCGTGTGGTCCCCGATCGTCCGGTGGGTTCCGGACCTTGCGTGGCGGAAGAAATGGGACCGCGCTGTCTTGATCGCCGGAGCAGACTCTAGCTAGTCGGGAATCTGGGGTTTAAGATCAATTTTCAACGCGAATTTGTCGGGACGAAGAGGCGCAGAGAAAGATGGTCATACCCGCGGGAAAGAAAGTGCAGACAACGCGAGGACTTCTGTCCTGCTGCTAACACTTTGAGAGTGCGAGGTTATTTCTGCTTAACTACCCTAGATATGGGGGAGGAAAGACTCGCATTAATATCCGTGCTATAGGCGGGTGATGACAACTAACTATCACGGGGTAGTCGAGGACTTTGAGGCGGGAGATGTGGAATGTGAAGTCGTGACGTGACTTCCTCCCTTCAGGTCATACCATCGTGCCTCAGACCTCTCGTTTGCCCACCGGCACAACACCCAGATGCTTTCGACCCATGTTTACCGGCTCTCGGGCGGAGGTCGGTTCACAACGATGCTACCCAGGTGTTTCATCACAACGAGCGACCCCCTCATTCTACTAGGTCATGGCTCCTGCACCCCGAGAAGGAGAGGTGAGATATCACACTTGGCGTGCCCAAACAGTTGGAGCCAGGCTCTTTAGCGACGTCGTCGCAGTACTAGTCCGGCCTCCGTCAAGTGATAGTCAGGGTAATTCCGGTAGGAAAGTGAAATATCATGCGAATAAACCAGTCTGCGTTGGTATCCCTCTTGACCCCTTTTCGCGCTAGGCAACTTGCTGGGGGAGGAGAGGGAGCGACACCATGGGAGAGATGCCGGCGACAACCTAAACAATACGGTAGAGGGTCCAAGCTCACACACCCCCCGTCGCAGCGATGCGGCCAAGCAAATCCGTCTCGACCGTGCCGGTTCCAGGCTTTTGGAACCTCACATCCGAGACGCCCGGGCAAGATACAGCGTCGAACCTCGGAGTACGAACCGGTGCGAGGAGCAGTGATTGTGCGACACGATCTCGCCGTGCAATCTGAAATTGTTGCGGTAACTTCCGTCGGCGGCTGGTGGCGCTTGAGGGGCGTTCTCCATGATTTCTCCTTTGGAACCTCGATCACTTCGTAAGAAATACACGAGTATGGACTGCGTTTAGTACAATTGGGCGTCTCTGATGCTTCAAGTTAGTGTAGGATGTGTTTGCTCAGTCCTTGGTTAGGGAGTTTTCACTGGCGAGCGAGGCTTGATGACTGTCACGCGATTGACGCAAGAGCAGCGCCGCGCACGGCCCTGGCCCCGCTCTAGCCTGCCGAATCCTTGATGTTTTCGGCCAAGACGCCCACTCTTCAAAGGGGGCGACGATGACCCTCTCGCCGTTCTCGATGTGTGTTTGGAGGAATGCCAACCCTGAATGTGATAGGGCTTCTACATGACGTTGAAACAAGTGCCATCGGCACCCCGAAGGGGGAGATCACGTTAGCCTTGCGTCCCAGTGCCGAAAAAAAGGAAAACGAGATCGACTCTCGCTTCGTTGGTTCGTTAACACGGGAGAGGAAGAGACTCAGAGGATTGCTTGGCCTTCGAACTTGGCAAGATTTTGTCTGAATCATGCTGCGGAGTTAGCAGCCGAAGTAGTAAGACTCAAAGAAGGGATCGCTTGCTGCGGTGGAGACTTCTTAATCCGAAATTTAGTGCTCCGCTAAGTTTGATGTTCGGGTTACGAATACATAGTAGGTCAGGGGCGAAGATTTAGCTCTTTCCGCCGTCAATGTGGGCTCCTTATCATCATGTAGTGTATGTATGTATTGTAGAAAGGAAAGTATACTGGCGGTAGGGAGAGAGTGTAAGAGTGAGTTGTGTCTAAGCGTACGTATATGTAACCAAGTCCGGGATTGGAGTTGAGTTTGCTCAGGTCACGTCAGCCGGACGCCGAGTACTGCGGCCGACCTCGAGGGCTGGACTTCGGGCCGTTGGCGGCTGCGGTCGGGCGAGCCAGAGACCTGACCCCTGACCACAATTTCATGGAGAGAAACATCTGGCCAATGGAATGGGCCCACATCTCGAGTTGCTCCGACCCCAACACTTGACCCCTGATGAGCCCCTCACCGGCCCTGCCAAGCGTGCGGAGAGTGTGGATCGGTGGTGTCTGGTTCCCAGCCGTGAAATGGAGACGTTGAGCCGTTGCAGGGCCATCCTGGCCCCCAGGTCTCGTTACTGAACGTTTACGTTAACGTTATCAGACGAGCTGGGGAGCCGGACCTCCCTCCCCCCTCATGAGCTTGCTGGTGAAAATCACAGACTCTATTCGGTGGGGTCATTAGATGGTTGAGACACCTTATTAGGGTTCTGCGTAGGGCTGCGCTGAAGCTGGCAGTGATGCGATGCTTGGGCTGCGTCGGGTTCATCCGGGCGCTCCTGAGGGAAGTGAGAAAAGGGGTCAAGAAAGGTTCCTGGGGGGGTGGGTTTTCGAGTAGGTCGTGTTGGTCTGTGTACATCAGAGCAGTACTTTGTACGTGTTGTGATATATCACGAGCGTCGAGCGCCCGGTGTGCATGAGACGGTGGACGGTGGACGGTGTGTTTGTGCGTTCTAGTTGGTCGATTGGGTCTAAAGAAGCAACATCCGCTCCGTGGATAGCGTCTCGCTACCACGGTGATGGTGACACATCGATCGGGTCGCATACCCATTGCGACTTCATGTTCTCCGCAACACACGACCTTAAGCATCACGGCCGATGGTGTCTGAAGGCGACGCCGCGCTAATTTGTTGGCACAGCTGAGGCGATAAAGACTGGCCTACGTGGTGACTCAACGCCACGGTACACGGTCCAAGAAGGAAGTCATCGGCGATATCGCACTTAACGCCACTGCATATTCCCCAAAGAGGTACATATAATTAGAGTGTTTATTTACAATCGCGACCTCATTCGGCCTCAAGCAGTGATCAAAGCGAAACATTTCTCCAAGACTCTTGCAGTGCTATTGTGTCCGAAGGTTGAAGGCTTGCTGTGTCGGGAAACAAGGCGTTGCTCATATCCGATTTTGGGCGGAGTTGAATTCATCGATCGAGATCTCGTTCTTGGTTGGTTGAAGCTTTCATGAGTGGTTCATCGAGATGGTTTGGAGACGATGTGCGAAACCCTCAAAAGGTTACATAGTAGAGCATTAGTGCCGTTGGGAGATGGCGATGTGCATCAGAGACTGGAGGTTTGGCGTACACTCCACAACAACAAGGTACTAGGGAAACACTCTGCTTTCTTCATGGAGAAAAGGCGAAGAACGGCAACAAACGGCAAAAAAAGTCACCAGCCCAATCCCGAAGCCCCAAACTCCGCAAATCAGGTGGGGCATTTCCCACGTGGTTCGGTCCCGCCTCTGCTTTTTTTTCTTTTGCCCGTTGCGCTTTCTCTACCATTGTGAAGTCTTCGTTCGCATCGTGTACGCATACCCTACGCGTACGTATCTGACACCACATCGTCCCCTGATGGCTGTTTCGCCCCGGCCAGGAGCACACAGTAGTTAAGTTGAGCCAACGCACAGCAAAACCCAGTCGGCGCCAGCAGCCATGGCATCGGGATCGGCCCCTCAGACTGCGCTGCGGGAGTGATACAAAGTAGTAGCTGTGCTTTCAGGAGAAAGAGTTGCCACTGGGCGCAAATAAAGCGTAGCCTATATTCTGATCTCCCTCGACGAAAAAGATGGCGCTGCATCGACAAGCAGGATATTCTCGGCGTTCTCCTCGCACGATGGGATCATCACGATCGAGCAACAATGGCGGTCCTCCCCCAGGATGAGCCCAGCGCTGGCAAGGATCGGACACCACTTAGGTATCGACAAGATTCTGACACTAGTGTAGTGTAGTGCCCCAACCTCTGGCGCTTTGAGACAATTTGATGAACGGCCCATTGGACCCAGGTCTTTACGGAACCTCGCGATCGACAAACTTTAAAAGGAGCTTCTTTTTCATGGCGTAATCTGGACGTCCCGTCGAGGTCGAGTTAAGTACTGCGGACAAACCCTGGGGTCCAATTAGCTCTAAAACGGCATGGTATTCGGGTCCAGGTACAAGTTTGCAACTGAGCTTCGGAGAGCGCAGGTGTGAGTGGCCAACCCTGCTGAGATTTTCGTCAAAAAACACTGAAGCAGTTACGGCTTGTTTCTCTTGCCTCTCTCGTCATTCGCCAAGTTGCCAGACTCGCGGCCAATCGCGGGGTTGGTCAACCACAACCTTTTACCGCCTCGATCACCGTCTCGATCGCCCTGACGGTGGCGTTTTCTTTTCCTTCCTCGAGGCGGGGTCTTGAGAGCTAGTACTGGCAGACTAACAGTAGTGTATTTTGCCGTGGACGCTGGACAATGACCAACCGTTTGTCACTGCACCTGCGAAAACGGAAATGTATTCCCCTTTCGGTTAGCTTGCTCTCACTCACTGCATGTGCTCCTGCGGACAGGGGACCTTGTCGCGTGTCAGGGGGGGTGTGGAGGGTATGCGGATGTGGTCTCACGCAAGACCCTTCGCCCATCCAAGTAATAAAGATCTCTCTGACGCCTGTTGGTTTTAGCCCATTTCAGGAATGGGACGTCGAACCCTGGATGCCGGCCGTGCTGAGGCAAGAGGATGGAGCTTGTTCAACACCCTGGCTAGCTTCCTGGAGTATCTTTTTGACTCGATGCCCCTGCTGCCGCTCTCTGCCTCCTCCACTGGAGAAGTCAAGTACTTGAGGCCATCGTCCCCACCTGGATGCCGTTGAACGAGGTTTGGGTCTTTCGGTCGGGAACATCTTGCTAGAAACCAGCACAGCCGGTCTCGAAGACAGACGTCGCCTACGTTACCCGGGACGACACCCTCACGTACGAGCCGGCTTCACCACATTCACTCCCACGTTGCAGCAGTGCCTTGCTCGACGGGGTATGTACCCACGAGAGCGACGAAATCGGCTTTCGAACTCCACGTTCTATCACATTGGAGGCTCGCCCCCAAGGAGCGCCACACACGAGCCCCGGCTTCCGGCTTCCACAGACCAGGACATACACACAACGACATAATCCTGTTTGCGTCGTCCGGACGCACGCTCGCAGACATGACGAACGCCGCTGCCGCCTCCGGCAAGCCGTCGGACACGGAGATCTTCAGCACCATCGAGCGAGCTACCTCCGTCTTCTCCATTCTAGGATGCATGGTCGTCATCACCACCTTTAGCGTCTCCAGGGCGTTCCATAAACCCATCAACCGGCTGGTGTTTTACGCAACGTTTGGGAACTTGATGACGAATGTAGCAACACTCATCGGCGGGTCCTTCATCAACGATATCAACCACGCTGGCTGCCAGTTGCAAGCGTTTTTGATTCAACTGTACGTGTTCTTGCATCACGTCAAGTTGGCGTCACAACCACCCCATCTCTTGATGGCGGACTAACACCGCTCGCAGCTTCATGCCTGCTGATGCCTTCTGGATGTTGGCCATGGCCGTGAATGTGCATCTCACGTTTTACCAGAAGTTCGACGCGAGACAGCTACGAAGGATGGAGATCCCTTACCTGTTATTATGCTACGGGATCCCCTTCATCGTGGCTTTGTCCTTGATCTTCATCTCGACCCCTGAAAAAGGTCGTATGTACGGCAACGCCACTCTGTGGTGCTGGATCACCCCTCAATGGGATATTTTCCGCATCGCCATCTTCTACGGGCCTGTTTGGTGAGTATTAGCACAGACTTCCGAAACAAATGAAACAAAAGGGCCAGAAAATACTGACCAAGGCAACTAGGGTTGTGATTCTCATCACCTTTTTCATCTACATCCGCGCCGGCCGCGAGATTTACAACAAGCACAAGCAGCTGAAGGAGTTCAGCACCAGCCACCATGACCCCGAGCCCGCTCACGGCACGGACGATCCCTTCAGCTCGACGAAGACCACGGAAGTTTACGTGACCACCGAGGTGATCGACAAGGGCCTCGATATGGGACCTCTGGGGGGACATGAGCGTCGTCTTTCCACCCCCGAGAAGCCGTCGAATGCTGCTTACTCCGTCCACATTTCCTCCAACCGTCCTGGTGATTTCTATGGCGAGAGCGGCGACACCACGACCAACGACCGGAACAGCAACGGCAATGGCAATGACACCAACAGCAACAAAGTGTTGACGGGCAAGGTCCAAACGATCATCACAGCCGGCAATCGCAATCATGGCGGAGGTGGTGCCACCCTTACGCGCAGCACGACCAACAGCAACAACAGCCATCTCGGTGGTAAGCTGCAGACAATGTCCAGCACAACCGGCACGTCCGTAGGAGGAGGAAACAGCGGCCCCGGTCATAACGGCAACAACCAGCTGCGACGGCGCGCAGCATACGAGGCCAACAACGCGACATGGTCGTACACGAAATGCGCCCTGCTCTTCTTCTTCGCCATGTTGGTAACATGGATCCCGTCCAGCGCCAACCGTGTCTACAGTGTCGTCCACCCGGGAGAGGCCTCCCTGGCCCTCGAGTACATGTCGGCCTTTGTGCTGCCGCTGCAAGGGTTCTGGAACGCCATCATCTACTGTGTCACCTCCTGGGGCGCCTGCAAGATGCTGTGGGCAGACGCCCGCACATGGTGCTCGTCCGTCGGCACGAGCCGTGGTCGCACCAACGCGCATGAGCTAGGTGGCGTGGGCGCGGGCGCGGCAGCGGGTGGTGTTGGCGGCGGTGCCGGTCTGCCTGGGGGAGGCGTTGGCCTGCACCTGGGCCGGTCCGGGTTCCATATGATGGGCAACTCGCGGAGTGGGAGCAAGGCCAGCGGCTCGCGCCACTCCAAGTCGTACGAGTCGGAGAGCATGACGGATCTGGCAGGGAGCCGCCCCCCGTCGAGCACATACCCGATAACAGGGTCCTCAAAAATGGAGGTGTGATTTATCAGCGTGTTATTATTGGGCCGGTTGGTGTTCTGTTTTCAGGGGCGGGAATCGAGCTTTCACATGATTTTGATGCTATTTTTCTTACTTATTTTTTGTTCTACTTTTTTACCCCCTGTACTAGTATACCACCAGCCTCGGGCCTTGGGGTTCTTTCTTTTTCTTTCCCCCACCCGCTCTACTTTTAACTATACCCGCTGCCCTGTTCAGTTAGCGGTGGCAACCCGCGCTCTGTCTATTCTACCTTTTTGTAATTCGATCCCGGTTTGAGCACACGCTCAACGGATCGGGCCTGTACGCTTTTCTCTTCCTCCAATTCTTTTTTACTCGGAGGGAGTCGGATTTTGGACTACGATGGCGATGAAAAGATAATGTTGGCAATGCAAATATACCCCTTGTTGAGTGCTTTAACTTTTTGGTCTTGGTTCTGCAAAGTGTTGAGCTGCCGAGCTTGAGTGCCGTCCATCCCCGCAGAATGTGGCGGATCAGCCCGTAACCATGGGGTACTTTGAATGAACGAAACAGAACGGTTCCAAATGAGATCGTGTTTCTTGATCAATGCGGTTGCTTGTGAACACGAATCTGATCTGATCCTCCTCTATCTACTTCTTTCCCTCTTGTTTATTTTCTCCTTATTCAAAATACATGAAGGGCACACCCGAACCCCATGATCGCCGTCTCGGCATGAGATCCAAATCGGGAGATGTTTTCGCCTTATTAAAAACACCGCGGCGGGTTCGTCTGATGTGTCGCCGATGCTGCGCCTCTGCGGGCCGATGTCGTAGTGGAGAATGTACAAGTCAGGCACGGCAAGAAATTGACAAAACTCCGGACCCCCCTGAGAGTGGTATCCGGCGTGGGATGGCAAGTTCACTGCGTCGGATTTTCAGGGCTTGGACTGCGTGTTGACCGGGTACGCGCGACTTGGCTTGGACTCGGAAAAAATCAACTGGAAATAGGCAAGTGGGAAAAGGCCGTCTGCGAGGAGACGTCGGCAATCTCTTGGAAGTCGCGTCGCTGCATTACCGAGACGGCGAAGCATTTCATTCCCAAGAGCCCGGGTCTGTCCTGGGACCGCGCCACATGCTTCATTTTTGCTTCTTTTCTTTTTCTCGCATCTGTCCGAACTTTTTGCCCCCGCCTTTCGAGAGTCGGATAGGCCGCGCATTTCTTTTTCGGGCGTGTTCATCCTCAGCCGAGAAGCTTCCCACGTGCGAGAAGCGGGCGGGCGGGTTGCCGCAGCTGCGCTGCAGATGGCGGCCACGCGATTCGATGGTGGCGTTCGTGCGTTCGCGCGATCCCGAGTTGTCTCAAGAGTCGAGACCGGATAGGCCGGAAACTTCGTACACAGTCTTCCATTCAGCCTTTTTGGGGGCGATTCCTACGGATGTTGTTGGCGGGTTCCAGGGCCGGCTATGCCCACAAGGTAGCGAACTGAACGTCCTCGCTCGTAACTGTTTGCCATTACTCAGGGCTAATTTCGGGAAAGGTCAGAGAGAGTCAGAAAGAGAAAAAGACTGGCTTTGGTAGGAGCCGCAGCTTAGGCAACGAGGACGATGAGCCGGGCCGTTTTCTCGGTGGAACCAGAGGTGAAACTGTTCAGAAACAAAATTTCAACCACGAGCTGTCATCCCTGGATGATCGCCATCGAGGAAGCGCAACAAACCGGATGGTCCCACATCGGTTGAGAAGGGGGGCTTCACATTCCTAGTGTAGCCTCAAGCGCCTTCGGGCTTTCCCATGTTTAGGCGTGCGGAGCCTCCAAGGTGAGTTCTCCATCGTTCGTCGTGACAAGGCCCAGACCGCCCGGCTAAAATTGGGGAATCTTTTTCCTGAAGCTTATCGACAGCTTGCAACTTGGCGGTTGTCTTTTTACTATTCACACTACACTATCGTAGCAGCAGGATGGTTTCCACTTGGTTGGGACCGTCGTGTGTTCCTCCACAATCGCAAGGCAGCGTTGCTTCCATGAGGAACCCCGCGACTCGGTGGCAGGTCGTCCGAAGCAAAGCATCCATCGCCCTCAGTTCTCCGCTGTTGTGGAGAGGGGCTCCTGCAGGGGCCGAGCCTGTTAGGGCGAGGCTTGCCAGGATCGCCCAGGGTTTCCCCACAGTTGCACCGTTTTTGCTTCCGTTTTTGGGGTACTCGAGTTGACCCTGACCAAACATCTTGCGTCAACTCGATGACCCCAGGTCGCATCAAATGCAGGCACGAGGGAAAATGTGCTTGTTACCTAAGGTGAAAAGACCATCGGCTTGCATTTCCGATCGCGCCTCCTCGGGCTGACGGACTCCTTCCCAGGCCACATTCTTTTCTTCTACGAAGTACACCACTCATACGCAGGAGAGACGCGGATTCCTTTGTCGAGACAGAACTCCAGACAGGGGCTTGACCATTCCAGGTTCCGAGTGAGTTCCAATTCCACCTAACTACACTAACTAGTGCAGGGCCTATGAGCCAAGATTTACATCGTACACTCCGCTATTGCCATGACGAGGAGGGCAAAATGCCTTGACGTCCATCCACTAGTGCCGACCTCTAACTAGTGGCCTCAGCTCGTTAGCAGTGCAACTTTGCATGCGGAGAGCGGGGTTGACTGGTTGACACCTTTTGCTCTTGGTGCTCGTTTGGTGAACCACTTAGAAAGTTGTTCTGGCCAGCTGGCTTTGCACACTGCCCGTTCTTGAATGGTTCTCGAGATGCACGCCGTCCCGCCTCTCCCGCATTTTCCAATATTTTTTCATGCAGTTGGCTGTCAAAGCAATATCGACGTGTTGCAATGAATGGGACGTTGCCCCACTGCAAGATGTAGCCTCTCATGGCTTCGAGCGCGTGGACTGCGCCTTTTTCCGGGGCGCTGGTTCTGCCGTTCTCGCTTCCTGAAAAACAAGACCACCTTTCCTGCCTCACTAATGTTAGCGGAGGATCTTCATTGTGACCTTCTCAGGGGGTGAAAACCCGGTTAGTCATGACTCTCTCGGCCTAGTCGTCAATGGTGCTCCAGGGGTTCCGCTGACTGTGTCTTGCCTCTGCAAGAGAGGAGGAGAGTGCGTTTGTCTCACCATAAGACCTGGAATATTCTTTGGAAGGAAAAAAAAAGCAAAGAGAATATGGGGAAAAGAGAAACGAACCCAAACGAGAAACAAGAAATTCAACGACAATCGCCGGCGAAGGCGATCCCAGAACGGCGATCACAAGAATCGCGTGGAGGAGATAAGCCAGAAGCAGTTAGAAAGCTGCCAGCCCCAGGGAAAATAATCTGTAAAAGGAAAAGATACCCTAGCGCAAGACATTGCGAAGCTGTTCTCCAAGCAGACGACTCCACGATGTATGTACGTATCTTCACATTCAGTACTGATTAACTTCACTAGTTAACTTTAATGAGCTCCTCGCAAGCCCATCGCAAAGCTGTCTTTTCACATGCAAGAACTACCACCAACGTCACACATCACACCACTCAGCAACTCAACTTCTTCCCTTGCCCCTGACCCGCTTTTCCCCTTTCAGAGCTTCACCGCGTCGCAAAGTTGTATCGGGCCTTTTTCCCACACCGACAACTGCATATGCACCTTGTCTTCCGTGTCTCCGTCTCCCTCTTCCTCTCACTCTCTGTGTTTCTGTCTGTGTCTGTTCCTGCGTCTCCTCCCTGCAGCAATCTGTATCTGCCCCTCACAGCAAATCCATTCATCCTTCTTCTCCAGGGGCCAGGGGCGGTCCCCTTGAAGTCGCTCTGCGGGCTGGCGTTTTCGTCCGCCTAGGGGCCTTGCAGGCCAAGAAGGAGGGCGCCGAAAAGAATTTTCCGTCTGTCAATTGCTTCTTTTGCTCCGATTTCCCGGGGCCGGGACAAGGGATGACATGCCGGATTTCAACGGCCTCCCAAGACATCTCGACATTGGATTGCAAGGGGGCCGCAGGGCCACCAGGGGCCCTCGACGATCGGTCGGAGAGGGGCTCAAGGGGAAAGGGGAGCGTATTGACGGCGACGCTGTCAGAGGCTGAAGTGATCGGCAGTGAGAATGGCTCAACACAGGGTTCTCGTCCGACCGAACCGAACCTCCCCTTACCCTAGCAAACTCGGTAACTCCGTTGACTTGCGTGTCTGTGCTGCCGACCCCGGGAAGCCTCTCGGACCGGGGCCGGGGGAGCCTAGAGGAGCCGTTTCGTGGTCCCGGTCGGTACCGGAGCTCGGCAATGATGTGGCGTGGGAAAAATGGCCGAACTGCGCGCCGACCGTCATGATACGGCTGTAAATGGAGGAGACCGTTAATGAAGTATTCGCAACTAAGTCGTAATTCGAGCCTCGTATCAATGCCTCGGAAAATGGGTAACTTGTAGATTATGATATTCTAGATTCACTGGATAGGGCCAAAACGCGTGCTCGCCTCCATCTGAGGCTCAGTGACTTGAATGTAGTAGCCCACCAGGCATTGTCAACTCCTTTCCCTCGCTGGTAACAACACAACAACACCTCTCACCTGTCACCCCAACGAGACTCTCCCCCGTTCACTCCGCTTGCACAACCGGCCCCTTCCCCTCCAACTCCACGACAAGCTCATACCCAACCCTCAAATTCTCCGCTCCGCTCAGCGCCCTCTCCACCATCGCCTCATGCCTCTCACATACCAGCCGCCGCAGCGCCACCACCAAGAACCCGCTCACCACCTCCAGTCCCCAGTCCGACGGCACTAGCTCCAGTACTTCCAGCACGTCAAACCACGGCCCAAATCGCTCCAGCAGCGCCCCCGTCTGCTCCACCCTCTCACCCCGGTCTTCCAGCGTGAGGAACTCCCCGAGGAGCAGGCGGAATAGACGCGTCTGTTCGTCCCATGTTGGAGGCAGGTCGCTGTCGCTGTTGCGGCGTTGGTGGGGGCGGATGCCGGCTGGAGTGAGGGCTGCGGCGCCGCGTATGCAGTAGGATACCGCGGTGTCGTAGTCTGCGAGGCGGTGGACGAGGAGGCGGAGCACGGCGTGGTAGTGGCGGGCGCGAGACGCGAGGATGATGGATTCTGGGACGAGAAGGGAGTCGGGGAGGTTGGGGTTGAGGTTAGGGTCGGGAGAAATGGTGGTGGTGCCGTTTGTTGTGGGTGGTGGTGGTGACTGATGTCCCTTTGTCGAGGGAGAGGAAGGAGGTAGGATTAAGATGGAGTCTTCGATGCGTGTCCGGATGGCTGCTGCGTCGTAGTCGTGCCCGCCGCCGAGGAGTTGGAGGAGCCTTAGCCGGCTTTGCCAGACTTCATCGTCCGGTGGAGCATTGTCGGCGAGGAACCGTAGGTAGGTTGGTTTGGGCGGTTGGAGGGCGCGGTACGCGGCGTAGGAGGCTGCGATGTTATCGCGCGCAGCCGGCGATGTCTGGAGGTCCGTGATGACGATGTCGAGGTAGTAGGTGATGAGCTCGTTGACGTAGGCCGTGTTTCCCTTGCCGAACACGAGGTGCTCGAGGTAGTATTTGACGGCATCGGGGGCTTCCTCTCGAAGAAGCGCAACGATCTGTGTGTGCTCGAATTTGGGCGCCTTGCCCTTCTCATCCGTGAACACCTGTACGCCGAGCTTCGGGTTGCGGCTGGCTAGCCATAGGCCGTACTCTTGCACTAGCGTCTGGTTGCTGATGTTTGAGAGGTAGCTTCTTACGCGTTTCTCACCGTCTCCCAGTTCGCCGCCGCGGTCTTCCTCGCCCTCAATAATCCGTCTCCATGTCCCAAGTACGTCCGCCGCCATTTTGCGGTTTTGATAGAGCCGGCTCAGCACGAAAAGGCGTCGGTATGTCTCTAGCAGATCCACCGCCCTGTCGAAGCAGTCAACGCCGTGGTCGACAAGCTCGTACAGATCCATCCGCACCGAGCCTGGCTTGGCGCTTTGTCCGGCCGGTGTGTTCCTGTCAAGCTCCAGGAGCACCAACAGTAACGAGGCGTCGACCGTCCGAAACACTTCGTCGGGAATACTGCCGAACCCTTTTTTTTTCCGCCACGCTAAGAGAAAGCGCCGCAAGAACTCGAGGACGTTGGGCTCCAACAGGCTGACTCCTTGCACAACAGAGCCGGTGGACTCCGACTGCGTCGCGATGTACTTGTCAACGATGTTCTTGATCCCGCCGTATATCCAAATCCCCCTCTTGTTTACCACAAGCTCGTTCCGAAGAGAGGACACCAACGATAAGACAACACGAGCATCCAAGTCGCCGCCAACGAGGTTCTCCTCGAGGACTGCGGTCTCGGCTTCGGTGAAGGGTGGTTCTGGCGAGTCGAGAAACGCCGTCAGGAGCATGACGCTTGCCTTCTGCTTAATGTACCCTAGAGTCATGAACTCGAGCTCCGTTGTCGGCTCGCGGCCCTTGATCGCATCGAGAACCGCAAGGACCCGCCGCCGTGTTTCGAGGCCGTTTGCGTTTGCGAATGTTTGTTCTTCGTCGGCTTGAGATACCGACCCGAGAGCCGCATCCAGTTGCATGAGCAGCGGGTTGCGTACGGCCCACCAGATGTTGTCGCCGGCCCAAACTGCAAGGCGAGATGATGTTTTGGCTAGCCGTCGCACAAACTCTTCCCCTTCCTTGTTCCTTTTCGCCTCCCAGCCATGAGGCACTTGTTCATCGTCCGACTCGGTATCCCGGTCAAACAGCGCCTTTTCCTGTGAGAGCCGCTGGATGGACAGAGCCGTCCGCGAATCGCTGCTCTTTAGCGACATGGTCGGTGTGTCAGGCGGCCCCTTGAAGGGTGAAAACCGTCTCTGACACAAGCGATCGACCACACCCTCAAACGTCATTTCTTCTTTTTGTAGCAGAGGCCGGATTCCAATGGGCGTGCTCGCTGCTGAGGAGTCTTCCGACCCCTCTTTCCTGACTTCCAACCACCACTTATCGGACTCGCCCTCGCCGACGTTCACATCGAAGCGTTGAATCTCGAGCCCGTGATGTAAGCCATCTTGAAACTCTTTCGTCATCGAAGCAAGGACATATCCCTCTTCGCCGGGCCCCAGAGACGGCACGGAGGACGACACGTCGACCGAGCCGATATCCACAGCAATTTCACGGGGATACCTTTCGAATTCTAATGTAGGGCGCGTGGGATCTCCGTCCAGGTTCACAAACATGCCAATGCCCGGTTCTAGGGGGCCCGTCCCCGTGACAAGGAGAAATTCCTCAGCCGTTGGGGATACGATGTGCGGCCGTAGGAAGACATGGGGGGGCTTTGGGGATGGCGTAGACCGAATAGGCGGAGTCGCTACCCGGGAGGGGACGGCCGCACCACCGGCTGTTGGGGCGCTCAGCAAGTCCCCATGTTCGCGTGGAGGAGCAGGCAGGGGTTTGTCTGAAGGCACTGGGCTCCGTGAGGGAGAGGGAACGTCAGGGGGCTGGAAGACGGGGTCCTCTGGGTCTCCAGGCCGCCTGTCATGCTTTCGGATGCCCGACATAAACCCCCCTAAACTCGTACTTCGAGAATGACCGTGCTGGGCATTACCAGCTGATGAACGAGTCGTGGCCGAGGACGCGCTCCTGGCCAGCCCCGTATCTGGGGCGCTCGCAATGTTCTGGGCCTGTCCAAAGGCCGCGTCCGGCTGCGAATTATCGAGGGACGATATGCTCATCAACGGGATCTTGAGCTGGCGGTCGACGTCCAGCAAGGCGTAGTTCCTCGAGTCCGCGACACAGGCGATCGAGTCTCTTCGCACTGAGAGAGTGCTCCCGGCAAAGTCGATTTTCTAGGCTGCCGTCAGAAAACATGAGAAGGTCCATCAAGCCGGTTGGAAAAGAAAGGGGTATGGTTCACATACCCTGAGAACCCGCGCATCTTCCTCCCCTATCCTAACAACCTGTATCCGACGGTTCAGCGACAGGAGGATCGTGACGCCAGCCGATCTATCATGGTCCCCAATGCCCTCATTTAAGTCCACGCCCCCGATCCAGTTGCAGTTCCTAACTTGGGTCGGCTCAAAGACGGGACTCAGCTCGGGCAGGGAGTAGAACGTGACGGTCCAGTTGCACAGGACGCAGGCTTTGCCTACTCGGGGGAGCAGGAGAATCTGCTGCACGCCGGGCCGGGTGCCGTTGAAGCCACCAGCGGGCTCGGAATACCCGGGAAGCCGTCGGGAAGCGAGAATGAAATCGGAAGGGCCGTCGGGGTCGCTAGGATCGGGGGGTATGCGGAAGAAGTGAAGGATCTCGGACGCGCTGGTGCCGACGTAGAGATTTCCGTCTACGAACAACAAGAAACAACGATTAGCAAGGGTTGCGCAGCACGCACTTCGCACTTTATGCGTGCTCCATGCCTCGTCCTCCCGTCACCCTATCACCCAGTCCCATCATCACTCATCAAGGGCCCGACCAGTTTCAACACGCGCGTACCATGATAATCGACGCAATTTATCTTGACGTCCTCGTCGGTGTCATCGGTAGCCAGGGGCACATCGAGCAAGAGCGGGCGCAAAGTGTAGGGACGAGCATCTGGGAGTGTGCTTGTGCCCGTGCCTGGTGTTGTTGATTCTTCTGATGGCCTTGTTACGACGGCGACTCCTGCTCCTGTTGATGCTGCTGCTGCTGGGTTCCTCTGCGGGTCGGATGCCATGGCGCATCCGAAACCATTGTTGCCCGGCTGAGGTCACGGGGGTCACCGAAGGTTGCGGTGCCGGGACACTGATTCGCCCTCGAGCGGATTGGCGATCCAACCAAACTAGTTTATCCGCGGGTGGTTATGTGTTGTCGTCTGATCTGAAGCGCGGGATCTCGAAGCGCTAGAATCGTCATGGTGCGTGCGTCCATGCCATGGCGGGCCTGGGGAGCTCCAGCTTGCTCGCTAACAAACCAGGCTCAGAGGCGCAGGGCAGCTGTTGAACCCCTGCATCTTTCCCTGTGCCAAGCCCCGCGCTGCCAACCACAAGCGCTGCGCAGCTCAGCCTTGGCGTTGGAGGGAATCCGAGCACAACAGCCTTCCGCAACATGGACCCTTCCAACATCCATCCGTAATCGGCGAAGGAAATCCCCATCTCCATACCGGTTCCGTCCCTATTACACGCACACTCGACATACAGAACACCGTATTCCACGATTCGGCCGACGCCAACGCTCGCGCGGTTGATGAAAACCACGCAAATGCCCCGGGTTAATTGCCGACCCCGGTAGCACCTTCACACCAGCTCCGCGAGCCGCACAACCGACACGACACAATGGACGAACGGATCAGCTTCGACGGCCCTGCCGCACCAACGCCCACGCCACCTTCGCCAACAACGACCAGCGCGGTCAACAAGTTCCAGAATGCCATATCGCAATGGAGGAGTACGTCCTGCGCCTTACAACTTCGTCGGGTCCGTCGTGGGATTGTGTCTAACAAGGGTTTAGGTCTCGACTTCACGACCCTGGTCTCGAACCTCGACAACACCGCATCGGAGATCGTCGCTTTCCAGCGGGACTCTACCGTTCAGCGCAAAGATCTCGCGCAAAAAACCAAAGATTTCAGGAAGCTAGACGATGCGAGCAAGCTTTCTGAAATCAAGGGACTGCTCAAGGGTACGTCCCGATTTACTTCCCACTCAAACCATATGCACATCTCTGCCTACGCTCGCTGCTAAACTCCCGGAATAGCCTACCAAACCTTTATTGACCTCATCACCACCAATTCGAAATCCGTGAACTCGACGTTCCTACACACATACACCACACTGTCCGATGCGCCAGACCCCTACCCGCTGCTTGAGGCCTCTGTCGACTCCATGCTAGTCGCGGAAGACACACTCCCGAAGCTCACACAGGAGAACCAACACTTGCAAGAAAACGTAGCGCGGCTGACAAACCAGCTCGACGATACGGAATCCCGCCTCCAGTCCGAACGCGATACGAGGAAGCACCTGGAAGAGAACCTCGAGAACAAGGTCAAGGAGGTTGAGGCGTCGTGGACCGCTGTGGTCGAGGAGAAGAAGGATAACTGGGAGGCCAAGGAGAAAGCGCTGGAGGAGAAGATTGAGAACCAGGACCGCTTGATCAATGAGATCAAGGCCAGCTACGAAGTCAACCAGCGCCTGGGGAAATCCGACGATGCCGAGGAGGGGCGGGGCCATGTCACGAGCGCGGAGCTCGAGATGGTCAACTCGGACTTGGAGCGGACGAGCGCCCGGCTTGCCGAAGTGGAAGCACGCAACGAACAGCTGCGCTTGAAATTGGCCCAGGCCAAGTCGCAGGTGCCGACCCAGTCTTCGCCGAACTTGGAGGACGAGCCGGGGTATATGCGGGTGAGGTCGGAGAACTCGTCTCTGATTCGGAAGCTTGATGCTGCGAGGGTTGAGAAGGAGAGCCTGAAGAGGGGGCTGGACACCAAGCTCCGCGGGCTCGAGCGGGAGGCCGGGTTGCTCAAGGACGAGAGAGATAGCCTCAAGGCGAAGGTGCAGAAATGGGCCGACTATGACGAGGTGAAGCAGGAGCTAGAGGTTTTGAAGAGCGTCGAGTTTGCGACAGGCGACGATGACGATTTGCGCGACGATGCCGTGGATGAGAAGGAGACATCAGGGAAAGGGAACACGCTCGAGCAGTTGCTGCTGGCCCGGAACAAGAAACTAGGGGACGAACTCACCATCCTGCGGGTATCCCACCAAGATTTGCAGAGCAGGTTGCAAAATTTGCAAGAGGAACTATCGCGGACAAATTCCGAACTCGAGAAGTCTCAGAGACTCAACGAAAAGCTCGAAAACGAACTCTCTTCGGTCCACGACGAGACGGCTAATATGTTCCCTAGCGGGGCGTCCGTGGCAGGGACCTACGTGAGCCGCTTCGCTGGGTCAGGGCGCAAGGGCGGCCGGACGTCCCCGACATCGTCCATCATCAGCGGCTTCAGCCCCCGCGAAACGGATGACCGGCCACCCATGGGCGGGGGCTCCGGCATCCTGCCCATGGTAACAGCGCAGCGAGACCGCTTCAAGCAACGCAACTCGCAACTCGAGCAAGAACTCTCCGAGACACACCGTACTGTCTCGCAGCTTCGGCAAGAAATTGCCGCTCTGCAGCGTGACAACCTCAACCTCTACGAAAAGACGCGCTACGTGTCCACCTACAACCGGTCCGCCGGCGGGCCCTCAGCCACCACCTCCTCGTCCTCCGCCTTCGCATCCACCAACCCCAACCCGTCCTCGGTCAACATGCACCCCCACCATGGCCCCCTCAGCCCGGGCGCCTCCTCCTCCAACCCTCCACCCATCGGCCTCGACCGGTACCGCAAAGCCTACGAGTCCAACCTCTCCCCCTTCGCCCAGTTCCGCGGCCGCGAGTCCGCCCGCGCCTACCAACGCATGAGCCTACCCGAGCGCATCGTCTACTCAGTCGCGCGCCTGGTCCTGGCCTCACGCACCAGCCGCAACTTGTTTGCGCTGTACTGTCTGGCGCTGCACGTGCTCGTGTTTTGCTCCCTGTTCGTGATGGGCCCCAGCGCGGCGGACCACCATGCCTTGGCGGGGACGGCAGCGGCCGCCGGCGCTCCGGGGGGTGCCGCGGCGGCTATGGAAGCACATGCCCCGGTGCTGGAATAGGTGGATTTTCTAAGTCGCTTGGATGGTGAAGAGGGGAGGTTGATGGAGGGAGGACGGTTAAGTGTGGATGTGTGGATGTGGGCGGTTAGGGAGCGGAGACTAAGGAAGATATGACCAATGGGCTGGTTGTGGGAATTGTTGTGGATGTGGATGTGGTGGAGGAGTCAAAGGATGACTAGGGATGAGTAGGGGTGAGTTCGTCATCCCTACTTTCCGACCGTTCCCATGATCCATCTTCACCCCTATGATGGGAAGGGGTTTCTACCGATGAGGTGCACGGGGCACCACGTGCGTATGTTGAAGCAATATGCATATGGTATCTTCGATATTGTCCTATACCCGATACTCGACCGAATTGTGTGTATATTGTTCTATATATATGTATGGTATGGGATTTGGGTATGACTGGGTGAATCAATTCTCAAGACGTGATCAGCTACCACATCCCCTAGTTTAACCTGACCTGTCAACTGTCAATCTTGTGGACGCGATACGCATCGACTGCTTCTTGTGGATGGGTTCGGTTCGGTGGCCTCCAATGAAGCGGCCGGCCGTCTCGCTGGGCGGCTGCGGAGATGAGGCACGGGATTGGCCGCGGCCAGGAATGCGGTTACTTGCATGTTGTTCTGCATCTTCCCGTCCCTAGGTCACTCTCCTTTTGTGTGATGTTTGTTTCCTTTCGGTGGACGATTGATTTCCTGCGCGTGTCATGTCATACTTGTGAATGGTGGCAGATGTTATTTTGACCTGAGGGGCGGCCGAGGGCAGGCAAAGTTAGTGTAACCTATCCTATCTGGGGATCAATGGCTTTTTTATTAGGGCGTAGGGCGTATTACGAGCCAAATAAACTTATCCGTTCAGGTTGTTCCACCCCAGACAGCGGGAAACTGTACTGCCTACAGTCAACAACCAGAGAATCCTTCGCTCGGCAAAGAACCGATGCAACCCTTCGAACATCGAAGCGGCAGGCTGCGGCCAGGTGGCACATTTTAACACCTCCGGGCATTCACCCTACTATACCTCTGATTCTAATCACTCCAACCGCGCCGCACTCACACATCAAACCGTTTAACGCCCACCCCACCCACACAAACCGTCCCATGACAACCCCCCACCTCTTTCTCTCTGACAACCAAGCCCCGGCATGCCGAGAAAGGAATGTGTCTATCCCTCACCCGAGAGAACGCCGAGATATTCACCGGTAATTCTCCCGGAAAGACTTGCTCCCTCGGCTAGAGTTGCTGCTCAGGACACACAAAACAGACAGATCACCGAAGCTCAGCTCGGGGGAAGGAAACGAAGGGGGGGAACCAGGGCGTTATTACACGAGATTGGGCAGCTAGAAACAACGGGATGGGTTGGCGAGGAAGCACAAGGTATACCGGGCGCGAAGCTTGCAGGATTTTGACAGCAGCGGGGGGTTGGCGGGTGTAGAATTGAACTGGGTATGCCGTGTACCCAGACTAAGATCGTGAGACGACAAAGCGGGAGTCGCTGGAGAGTGGCCGGCAAAGGGGAAGAGAAGAGTGTATGACGGTTTACAGATACGAATTGGCACCCTTTTCAGATAGCAGTGTGTCATAGGAGAAGACAGTCATCTTGGTCTCGCCGATGGCACGAGGGATACATCTCACCTAACCGTGGACATGTTCAGCATATGCAACGCAGGAAACTGGCCATTGGGAGATACTCAAAAAGTTGGTCAACATCACAGCAAGAGAAACCCCGCGGACGAGCACCTTAAAAATCCCGGTGCCGAATATCCGTCGAGAGAGAGGGTCAAGAACCTAAACACACCTCTGGCCACCGCAGAGGTGGATACGCCACCCGCTCAGAATGACCTATCTCGAAACGGCCCGTCGTAGCAGGACAAACCCTTTGCCGTCCCAAGCGCCCGCACAATATGTGGTTGTGAAACGTGAGCATCGGACACAAAAAGCGAAATGGCTGAGAGACGGACGTCGTGAGGAGAAGAGGGCTTGATTAGTGGTGGTGGAGGTGGTAGCGGGAAGGGCCAAGACCAGGCCGCAGCGGATGGCCAGCGCGTATTCCGCAGGTCTTTGCTGGCTCGCGGGCCGGTAGGGTTGCCACATGGAAGATGGGAAGGGGTTCGGTCGACGCGGGGGTTGGTTGCGCGTTTACCAGGGTCTGTTTTGGAAGAAGGTCCGGTGGAAGTCCAGATGTGGGACGGAAGCGGGAACTGGAGGGTTCATGGCAGTCAAGCTTTGGCCAGTCCGCGGCTAGAGGTAGGCAGCCGGAGGTACCACGGTGAGTCTAGAGTGGAGATGAGTCGGATGACGCAAACACCTTCGTTTAGACTTCAAGTATGCTCCTTTGTTGTAGTAGATGGTAGACCGTTTTCATGTTGGCCCGGTACGGGAAAAGAGGTCATTAGTGACGAGTGTAGTTCAACTGTCGTGAACTTAGGACAAGTAAAGTTAGCTCTTCCCAAGAAAATCTCGAACCCTGCTGGAATGCAATCTATCCCACGAGTAGGGGCGGATGAAGGCCGGGGTGAGGAGCTGCAGAACCAGATCGGAAAGTCCAGATGCATCGGAGTTACTAAAAACTTATTTTGACAGGGGACAATTATTGAATCTGGGCGGGCGATGGCAGGCCACCACGCCCTGACGTCGAACCACGCGAACGCAACGGTTGACGGGAGCGAATCGATGGAGGGAGCGCAGACGGCCATTGGCGGCTAGCAGACGTCAACAGGAAGTTGGGCGCGGCAAAATATTGTGGGCAAAAATAGCACTGGCCAATAAAAGTTTGAACTATCGGTGGGTTAAATTGAGGTCAAAGCGGGCAAATTAGCCCAATTTCATCCAGTGCAGGGTTCTCGCCCAGAACCGATATGTCCACGCCCTCCAGGCATGGCACCCCCCTTGAGGATACACGGGGAGACGGGATACTACGAATAGGTTGCAAGTACGACATCTTTCTGTTCCCGCGGCCCAACTCACAGCAAAAATGCCAGCTAATCGTCCCTGTCAAGTGCCAGATTTTTACCGACGTGTGCAACGGCCGACGTCCCGCTGTTGCCGGCCGTTCTGGGAGATCGACGGGCTTCCCAAAACCAGCGGACATGTTCTTCCTCCTCCATCTGGGGAAGAACTGCGCACAATCACGGAACGGACGGCACAGCGACGACATAAACGTTTACTCTGTTTGAGATGTAGCCAGAGAATGGAGGAATATGTTCCGTGCTGGTACAACGTGATCTTGAGGGCAGCAGAACAAGAGGGCTAGCCGGGTCCCCTACGCACTGCATTTTGGTCTCGAGGGACTCTGTCTCTGACGCATTTTGTAGCTCTGCTCTCTCAAAGAGTGGCAAAGAGTTGCGAAATTTGTACCTCTATCCAAGTGCTTGACGCACTAGGTCTCATATCCCTTCTCGTATGCAAGACATACTCGCAAAACTTGGAATCAATGGGCAAAGGCTATTGGGGTTCATCAAATGCTTTTCAAATCCACCCCTCTGTAGCTAGTGGGGTGTGCAGATGAAAGCTAAAAAGAAGACGCAGTGGAACGGCGCTTGCTGGGGACCAGACGGACAGGGGTTGGCCAACCCCTCCAATGAAGGCGCCAGCCAGTCAAACGCGAGTATCGCTCTCAGGGTCCTCTCCCTCCCGCTGTTGCTGTTTTTGTTCGGCGGCTGCCCGTCGGCCAAGCGAGCTTGTTCACGGAGCATGGGAGACACGGGGCCATGCCAGGATGAGGGTTACCCGCGGGGGTTCGAGCCGGCCAGGCGACCGAAAGCTTGTATAATAATAGCCGGATAACCTCCCTCGGGGCCGAAGTCATGATGTTTATTCTCAGTCCATTATCTGTCTCCCGTATATACCATCCTCATATCCCTTCGGGATACCCCCCCTCTTCCTTTTCTTTCCTAGAGTTTCTCATTTTCTTATTCCTTTCCTCTTTTGTCGGGCTTTCCTTGTTTTCACGATTTCAAGACGACAGCCACATCCATCGTCAACGACCTTACATCAACGATCTGGTATCGGACTGTACTTGACGAACACCCGCAAACCCATACACGCATAAGCCAACCACCACAATGCGTGCCTCATTATTCCTCACATCGGCCGTGGCCATGTCGGCTTGGGCTGCCCCCATCTTCCCCAAGATCGACGCAGACGCCAGCATCCCAGACAACATCCGGGTATTGTCCGAGTATTTTGGACTTCTAGCTTCCAAGGTCCAAGAAGCCCGGGCACACGGTACTGCGGCGATCTGTGACCTGTCCCACGTTTCCCTCCCAGCCGGTAAGTCAACCAGAGATCCCCAGATCCCCGCCCAGACCCGGGTGTAAAAGAGAGACACACTGTTCGCTAACGACCATAATTCGGCAGCTGCTGCAGGTCTCCCAGCACCATCTGACGGCCTCTTCCTCGAGCACATCGCCATCGGCCGTGGCACGCAAAACTACACCTGCAACCCCGCCACCCCGGAAGTCGCACCAAAAGCGGCTGGCGCCCTCGCGCATCTCTTCAACGCCTCATGCCTCGCCGCCGTGACCCCAGACCTTGCCACGACCCTCGCCCGCGCGGCGCTGCACTTCGATGTCGCCCAGAGCGAGGCCAACCGCCACCTAGTCCCATCCAACCTAAACCCCAGCGGCCTGCACTTCTTTGTCGACGACACCACGCCGCTGTTCAAGCTCGACGTCTCCCCAGACCTGCAGCTGGGCGAGCTCCCGTGCTCCAAGAACTCGAGCCTCCCCGCACCCCCAGACGCGCCCAAGGGCCTCCAGGGCGAAGCCGCCGTTCCGTGGCTCAAGCTCGTCGCTAAGCCCGGCGCTACCGGTGGGCTGCAAGAGGTCTACCGCGTGGCGACTGTTGGCGGGAGCGCCCCGGCTACGTGCGCAGGCCTGCCTGAGAAGTTTGAGGTGCAATATGCTGCACAGTAAGTCTTGACGCCGACCTCCTCCTATTTTAGCGCTAGGATACTGACAGATGCCAAAGGTACTGGTTCTACGCCCAGAAATAAACGGCGAGAGAAACAAGGGGGAAAAGGAGGGCTCCTGCAATGTGTGTGTCGCAGGGAAGATCTCAGTCGCTGCATGTACAGGCGTTTCGGCTTTGGGTCTTGTTATCGTGATTTCTTTTGTTTGTCTTTTGCCCCGACCTCTTTTAATTTGACAGTTCTCTTCTTTTTCGGGGTGAGTGCGTTTACCAGCGACAAGAACAAGAAAACAGCAGCAAGGAGCAGGGACCACAGCACACTGGCCTTGAGTTGAAGAAATGCGCACTCACCGCCGCTGGAACATTGTACATAGTATACCATAAAACGAAAAAAATCGTTGTATAAACTGAAACTGTGCCATATTTGATGGTGTTGAAAGGACCTAAGTTGTGCGACCGTCAAGCGGGAATAGGCGAAAAGGGTAACTCTTTCTTTCCATCATGAAAGCTGTCGACGGCACGCGTTTTGCAACCGAGAGGTCGTTTGGTCGCTCAGCCATGCTTCATGGACCTAAACGTATGAACGCTTGGTTGCAAATGAGCTAGCCACATTTCTGCTTCTGATCATCATAAACCTGAGGGGTTTGGGATACCGGTTCGATTGGTTGAGAGAAACTGGGAAGGTTGAGAGAGGTCGTTGTTCTTGGGAATGAGTTGAAACTCAGGGCTCGATTTGCACGGACGGGGTTGGGGCCGCCGTGCCAAGCCAAGCGGGTGCAGGGGTAATAATCCCAGTTTTCTTACAACCACATGGAAAGCCGTTATCCTATGGAGTACATGATTGAAAGCAAGGCGTAGCAAAGTCATGGAATTGAATTGTCACACACTGCTGAAAATAGGTTATCCTCTTCTCAAATCACAAAGACGGGTCCAACCGGCCCGGTGGTTGTGATTGGCTTGGGAAGGAACACTCGTGATTTTTCAGGCACCCGAGCGGCCTTACAGGCTCGCTTTTTTGCTTTGTTTCGAAATGAGAACCCGGCGGGCTGCCCGCACCTCACTTCTCTTTTCACCACATCTGTTCGTCCCATACCGGTATCTGGCCGCAGATTTTTCGTACCTCCCGGCCACCATTCCCCGCAGTGCGCCCGCTTTGAGGCCTACCTTGCAACTATTTCGACAATCGCATACCCTCGATGCTCGGACCAAAGCCAAATTAGCGCTGAGCACCGATATCGCCCCAAGGAGAAAACCATTGTTCCACCATCATCAGATACAAACGGAGCGAAAGGGTACGTACTAAACTAGTATTTTCATTCTATCTTCGTTATGCTCTGGGGGGGGATTATACACCCTCAATGGGCTTAAGTCATGTTTTGTTTTTCGGTCTACTGCTCTAGATCAATCTGAATCACGCTGACCATGCCCTAGTAGCGCGAAAGCTTCCATCCAGGCAGTCAGGGGATATGGACCCAGATCAGTCACGCGGCTGGCGACCTCAGGGCCAAAGAGGACACTCAACCCCAGGGGCGTCAAATGGTTCTATTAATCCATTTGGCATGCCATTCGGTGCCACCCAGTCGAACCCCAACTGGGCCCACCAAACTTCCCAACAGTCGTTCCCTCAGCCGTCCGGGCCATTCCAGCGAGGTAATGGCAATGATCGCGGGCGACAAAACCCGTTCGGCCCACCTGTCCGTCCACAGGACAACGGAGGAAGCCGGCATTACAGTCCGTACGGCCAACCCCCCTTTCGAGCACCATTCGGTCCGCCCGCCTGGGGGGATGGAAGCGGGCATCGCAACGCTGGAAGCACCCAGTTCAGTGGCGCTTCGCGCCCATATCAAGGGGACTCTTACCGCCCTGGCCCGCGCTTCGAGCTTTTTGGAGACTTTGGAGACTGTACTTTCGCCAGTGATCGCCCTCGGCCCCAGTACGATACGTTTCGGCCGGGCCAAACGGACTCCTACCGCCCAGCGGACCCCTTCAGGATGCCCCCGCAGCGCGAGAACGAGAACAATGACCAAACCGACCAACCACCTCGCCGCCGACGAAACCGGCGGAAACGTGACGGGTCCGCTCCCGAAGCCCCGAGGCCGAGACGAGCGCCTGCGCCGCAATGGCATTTTCCAGTCGGCCACCCTCTAGCGGACGCGCCCAAGAGCAGCTCGTCCATAGGCCCTTTCCACGCCACTACGCCAATGCTGGGAAAGAGTGGTTCCAAGAGCCGACCCGGTGATGGGGATGCAGCAACGGAAGGAAACATCCCCAAGGAGCCTTCCTCGCCATCTCAGCAACGAGGGAAACGTGATCTCATCACCCCGCCCTCAGCCCAGTCGGGCGGCGTTCCAGATCCCACAGCCGAATACCTAGAGCAGGCGGCACTCCCACCCGCCAACCCGTTGTCAAAACCACAGCCGTTACTAGTCGTCCTCGACCTTAACGGAACTGTGATATACCGCAAGGGCCACAAAAAGGGCTCGGGCCAGTTTTCCCTGCGGCCCTTCGCCCAAACCTTCCTCGAACTCTGCCTCGATCGACACCACCTGGTGATCTGGTCGTCCGCGCGGCCTGAGACAGTACAAGCCATCTGCACGCAGCTGTTCTCTCGTGTCCACCGCAAGCGCATCCTGGCGATCTGGGCGCGCGACCGGTTCGGCCTCACCACGGCCGACTACAACCTGCGCACTCAGTGCTACAAACGGCTGACGCGGGTCTGGGCGGACCCGGTGATCGCGGGGGGACACCCACGCGCCGCCAAGGGCGGGCGCTGGAGCCAGGCCAACACGGTGTTGATCGACGATAGTATCGAGAAGGCCCGCAGCGAGCCGCACAACGCGGTGACGTTGCCCGAGTTTAACGGGAATGTCGATGAGAAGCCTTTGGTGCTGGAGCTCGTGGCCGAGTATCTCCAGACGTTGGCGTTGCAGAAGGATGTCAGCGCATACATTCGGGCGCAGCCATTTGCTGTAAAGGGACAGCGAGAGGAGTCGGTCCCGGCGAGTCAGAGTGAGAGTCAGGGTGAGGAGAGCCAGGGAGGCGGAGAAGTAGTCATGAAAGAGGACTGGAAGAGGGAACGGTGAAAGTCTAAGGTGAACGTTGAAGGACTTTGTTGTTGATAGGATGCGACGGGCTGTCGCTTCATGTATTGTTTTGTACTGTGGTCGTGATGGTTTGTCGAACTAGATAGGAACACTATGTCGAGGTTACATGTAAAATAACAAGATGGCAAGCACATGATCATCACAGCGTGTCATTAGCGTAACAAGCCCGCAGACGCGGTAGCTAGTGTCTATTCTCGTCGAGTCGCCTAATGTTTATTTAGACTTGACGACTGGTGATATCGGAAGCACAAAGAACCACCAGCGGGGCCAGATCCCCCCCCCCCCCATGTCCCATCCATGTCCCATCCATACCCATTCATCAATCATGTCCCATAGTCCAGCGCACCGCCGCTGCTGGCTTGTCATGCGCTTCATTTTACTGTTTCTTTTTTACATTTGTGCGTTTATTTGAAGACCTTGCCGGCGGCATGGGGGTACTCCTTGCCGTTGACGACGACGGGCTTCTCCCACGACCACTGCAGCTCAACGTACTCCCGGTCCTCGGGCTTGGTGGGGTCAAGCTTGGTGAACTCGTAGCTCTCATAGTCCGGAGCGACGTCGAAAACGGGCTCGAACTCCTGGCCGCGAATCACGAAGGCACCCTCAATGACGGAGTCGTTGTTGACGCCATACACAGACGCACAACCGAAGACGTACTTGCGGGACGCTTCAAGGCGGGTGTTGAAGCCGCCGATGAGGTTGCTCGACATGAAAGTCAGAGTAAGCTCATCGTTGTACTTGTAGACGACCTTCCAGATCGAGTACTCGTCGAACTTGACGTTCTCCCAGAACCACTTGAGAGCATCAGGGGTCTCTTGGTTGGAGTACTGGCGCTTCCACTCATCGAGGGGGAGCGAGGCCTTGGGGAGAGCCTCCAGGGGGTGCTTGGGCTTAGGTGCCTCCGCAGGGGCGTCATCCTCATCATCGGCGGCCTTGGCAGCCGGCTTGGGGGCAGCAGCTGGCTTGGCGGCCTTGGGCTGCTCGGCCTTCTTGGGGGCCACATTGGTCAACTTCGGGGTGTCCAGGAGCGAGAACGGAGGAGCAACAGCCGAGTAGATGGGCTGGTTGTAGACCGTCTCGAACCAACGCGAGACGTTGGGGCTGGTCTTGCGCCACTCCTTGTCGAAGAAGTACTCAAAGCCACGGGAGATGATGCCAGTGGCGAAGATGTCAGCGAGCGTGATACGCTCACCGACGAGGAAGGTGTTGTCACGGAGGCGCTCCTCAACGATGGCGATGGCCGCGTTGGCAGCCTTCTGCGACTCCTCGACAGCTTTCTTGTTGTAGGGGTCCTTGCCGAGCAGGGGGCGGAACCAGCCACCGAGCTTGGGCAGCACCTCGCTGTTGAAGAACGACAGCCACCTCAAGATGGAAGCGTAACTAGCCAGTTGTTAGTGGCGTGTGGGGAGCGATGGTGGTCGGGCCAAACTTACTCCTGCTTGGTCTTGCCGAGGAGGGTGGTCTTCTCATTCTGAGAGGTGACTATGCAATTGGCCTGTTAGCTTATCTGTCGATGAGCACGCAATTGGAAAGAGCATAGGCAAAGCAAAAGAAAGCAAGGACAGTCAGAAGTTAGAACTAAGTCAACACCGATGTTTTCAGATAGGGATAACTGTTATTGGAGATGTCTCGGTCATCATTGTCGAAGGCGGGGTATGTTGGACCCAAGGCGCCGAAGAGGGAGAGAGAAGCAAGCGGGGCAAGAATGCGCCGCGCCCAGAGAATGCAGGAAACAGGAATGACACATACCGTAGACAGCGATGGCGATGCACTCGGTGAGGACGAAGCCATCGGCGCCAACGAAGGTCGGGACCTTGTGAAGGGGGTTGGCCGCGAGGAAGTCAGCGGTCGGCTGCTTGGTGTCGACCTCCACCTCCTCAAGCTCAAGGTTGTTCGCCTTCGCGACGGCGCGGATGGCCGTGGAGCGGGGGTTGCCCTGTGTTACGGAAAGGGGGTCAGTAATTGAACGAGCGCGTGCGAAATGAAGCCAAAACGGCGCTTTAAATCAAGCATCCGATAGCGTCGCTAGTCAGAGGGAAACATACCGCGTAGGAGTAGAGCTTTCCGAACGACATCTTTGCTGGTGCGTTGACAGGAGGCTGATGGTTCGAGGGGAGGGAGTCGGGCAAAGGAAGCTGTTTATGAGCGGAAAGTCACAAAGAAAATTTATGTGGCGGGGTAGTTCAGGTGGGGTCACCTCATTTCGGCCATCCCCGTTCTGAGTGGTAGGAACGCGACCGGACCACAGTCTGGCTCGAGCTCCACCCCCCGCGACTCTTGGGAAAAATTACTGCGAAATTGTTCCTCCGACGGCCGCTATCGTCAAAAGCGCCCGCCCCGAGGTCCCGGAGGACGACTTCCCCAGCACGACTCGCAAGTTCGACGGTGGACGCCAGTGCGGAACGATGGCATCCTGTTCGCGGCATGCGGTCACATCTGCCCTTCGCGGCACCACAAAGGCCCTAACAAGCCGCCGACAACAATCGCTCGAACAGCAATTTCAGTCACTGCGGCTGGGAGCAAGGCGCCTGTCCACCGAGCCGAGCTCTAGTGCCATCACCGCAGCCCCGGAATTGGACGTTGATGACCTTGAAAAGTTCCGCCTCGCCAAACACGCCCGACCAGTTCCCGTATCACCATCATACTTCTCGCGTACCCCAAGGTTCAACGATCGGTACCTCGCGATCGAGCGACTCTCCCGGTCCTGCAGCCACCTCCCCGTGATCCCGGCTGCCGACGTCGTGCACGTCGGCTGGAAATCCTTACCAGATCTTAGGCGAGCGTTCGGGGAACCCGTGAAAGCGACCGACTACGCTAAGTGCCTCAAACTCATCAAGAGGTTACAGCTGATCCACCCAAACGCCCAGCCGAAGGAGTTGGGGCAGGCGCTGGAAGAATTTAAGCGCGATATACAGGCCCTTCGAAATGTGGCCAACCCGATACCTATCGACAAATTTGGGAGGGCTCTGGGAGTAGGGAAGAGAAAGTCATCCTCGGCAAGAGCCTTTGTCCTCGAGGGGCAGGGCGAGGTACTCATCAATGGCAAGACGCTAGCGGAGTATTTTGGCCGGGTCCACGACAGGGAGAGCGCCGTTTGGGCTCTACATGCGACGGAGCGGCTCGACAAGTACAATGTATGGGCAAGGGTTGACGGGGGCGGTACGACGGGCCAAGCAGAAGCATTAACACTTGCTATTGCGAAGGGTCTAATTGCCCATGAGCCTACCCTGAAATCCGCATTAAGAAAAGGTGAGCCATATAACCATCATCAATCTGAAATCAACTCCACAAGATACAAAGCTGACCTTTTGCTCGCAGCTGGCTGCATTACCCGCGATCGGAGGACAGTGGAAAGGAAAAAGGCCGGCTTCCAAAAGGCCAGGAAGGGCCAAACCTGGGTCAAGAGATAGCTGGTGTCAGCCGAGCCGGCGTTTTTGTCTGGGATTTTGTGGGCTGGGGTCGCATTTTTTGGCCGTTTGCATATTTCTCCGTTTATTTCCTCCCTTGTAACAACTATAGTACGGATGATTGTACAATACAAACCAAGACACAGGCGGAGATTGTCGCGAGACTCCCTCGATCGGGCTACTATTATGGAAGCGGCCCGAACGCATCCATGTCCCAGCGCCGTGTTTAAACACGGCTTTGTAGCCTTCGGGTCGCATTGACCTTGTTGCTGCTCCATTCAGGGCCACAGGGCGAAAGAGCTAAATTGTAAAGAAGCCCATAACCAGCTCACGCAACCTCCACTCTAAGGATGTGAAGCACGCGGAGTACCGACACGAACGTTGGACATGAGACTTGATGTATTTGGTCGCTTGATGCCAACAGTGACGGTCCGAGGACGAAGTACCATCCAAAGGTTCACTGGATTTGGTCGATGGGCGAACACTTTGCCCTGTGTCAAACTTCAACGGCCCGTACCATAGTTCGTGCCGCTACCCTTTGCCAACCTACTTGCCTTCTCGATGTCGAGAGAGCCAACAATCACCGTACACTTCTCCGTTGACTGGCGGTGGGGCGTTCGCACGCATCAAACTACCCAGGGAAGTGGGCCAGGCTCAATCGGATATGAGTGCAGCATCTTGTCCTCGTACATATGGACATATGGAGAGGGGTCAGTACACTTCAAAGAAATCCTTCAACTTGTGGCTTCATCCGTGAGTTGTGCTTCAAAATATCCGAGACACCACGGCCGTGAACAACAACAACTTCACGTGGACGTTAGCATCATATATTGTCCATCCTTGGCCGTCGGCCGTGCATCTTGTCGCAAAGGGGAACCCGGGCTGGGCATGCTAGGTAAATAAGTAAGGTAGAGAACTTGAGATCTACATGCGGTCCGCTGATGCAACTCGATAGGCACGTGCCGGAGTGTGCCTGGATCCCAATGTTGATGTGACTGTAACCGGATTCGACACCGTCCTCCAATAACCCCCCGTCCCTAGATAACCCATCTGGTCCAGGTGGTCCAGACGGCCAATGATTAGCCAACCACCAGTGCAGAGCCGCCCACATATTCGTAGGGCTGAACGTGATATAGGTACCGGGCCGACGGACGGGTAGACTTGTGACTGTGTGATGGTGCGGCAGTATTTTTCCCAGTTGGGACACATAGAAGCCAACCCTACAGACGGGAGTGGGGCTACAGAAGCCCCGTCTTCCTGAGTCGAAGGCGAGGCTACCTTACCAAGCTCGTGGCAACCCGCCCGTGGGCACCCACCTAGCCACCTGCATGTCAACAAACAGTCCCGGGCATTTGGATCGCTTTTGCGGGGTGGCTGGGCCACGCGCATGACAACCGATACAGTACTTACATAGTAGAGAAAACAAACGCTCGATGCCTAGTGCAGCTCTTAATTCTTTTGAGTTGTCGTTATAAACGATTCGAGTATTAGAACCGAAATCGAAGCTGGAGAACGAATCGAAGCCCCAGTCAACAACCGCCGAGAAGCTGATGTCGTCTCGAGGTCATCATCGACACGTACATGTATGTACCTGTACCCCACGGCGTTGGATGTTTGGAATAGCCCTGCTACGGATATCATTTTCAATACGAACAAACATCAAAGCTGGGGGGTCGGCCCCAGGTTGCCCAAAGGGAACATGGCGTTGCTTGTCAGTGTTCGGCACATGGTTCCAGAAGCTGGCCCAACGCGGGTTCTGATTCGCTGAGCCAGGCTTGTCCAAACTGGATCGTGATCCTGGTCATTGCGACGCAACCCGCTCGAGCACAGACAGGGATCGACGTGCAGCATTTGACGACAACTCCACGTCTTATCCTTGGCGACTCAACTCTTCGACGACAAGGATCTAGGATGTTGCGACGACCCTCCCTCATTGAAGGCAAATGTCCTGGTACCAACCAGAGAGGGCGGCAGGACCTGTACCTCGGCGGTTGGCCGACGCTCTCTTTCCGACCGAAGCCTGGATCTGGGAACAAAATTTCAGCGCCCAGGCCATCTCCAAGTGGCTGATTTGGCTTCTGCGCTCCGGCCGCGATTTGGAGAGCTCAAGTTGTTCTCCCCGCTTCCAATTGTTGTTTCATCAACAAATCGTGAGCTACACTACAAGTAGTGGCAGATCACAACTGGCAAATGATAAAGCGCGACGAGAGCGGAAGCAAACAATTTCACCAAATTAGGTGACTTGACTGCTTTTGGCACTCATGCTCCCCTTGACAGCAGTCGTTCATCCTATAAACTCTTTTCTTCCTCACTAGGTCCAGTCATCTTTTTCCGTTTGTTGCCATTGGGAGAAGCTCCTTGGCGACATCAAAGGTATGGCAATGTCATGATGGATGGACCCTAAACAATCGTCATTTACAACCAAAGCCGATCGAAGCCCCCGCATGAACCGAAGGGTGCCGGGACCCATGCAAGGGGCGCTTGTGATCTCGATCGAGCACTTGCAGAACGGAAAGAGCCCCAAGAAAGAGAGGCGCACATCATTTCGTGGCTTTGATGGCCGCTCGTTTGTTAACGCCGCTGCCCCGACAGAGCTCGAAACATATTACACTAGAAACGACGCCCCGCCATCGATTGTGAAAACTGAAAAGGGACAAGAAGGTGAGACATTCCAGGTTCCTTCCGGGCTCTGCCAACTTTCCAGCAAAGGGCTCCATCCGGGCCGGGCAGCATCGCCTCGTCGCTTCCACCGGAAGCTGCAGATGCTGGAAGGCCTGTGAGCGTTTTGGGAGGAAGGCCCGGTCCAGCGCTCCTGGGTCGTCGCTGAGCGCTGCTAGTGTACTTTTGCCCCAATTTGGCCGCTTCCACCCGCCATTCGTCTCATGATAGGGCGCTCCGGCCTCGCTTGTGAATTAAACTTTTCCTGTGACTTTCAAGCGTCCCTCGGCCTGGCCGACCGGCCGACCGCCTCAAGTGAGGCCCCTCTCCAATCGTCAAACCCTTGTCCTTGGGCTCGCCCTTTATCCTGCCACTGCCACGAGCCAGAGCCACGAGACACAAAGCGCCGGCGCACGCAGCCCGATCTGGCGAATCTGCAACCAACCGTGCATCCCAGGTCGGACATATGAAAATAAAATTAAGAACTCCGGCCCTATTTCGCCGCGATTGATCATGGAAGACTGATGGGCAAGGAACAGGTCGGGGGGTTGCCTAGCGTTCATTCCAAGGAGTGACAAGCCGTTGGAATCGTGTTGCTCATCGAGGTCATGTTTCAGTGAGCCTCCATCAACGGATGCTCACGAGGCGCATCATCCACCACCGTGGCGGTGAAAATAACAGCGGTGGCGGTTCCAGCGCCCTCCCTTCCCTTTCCCTTGCTTTCTTTTTTGACCTGAGCCGTTTCAAAAAAACGGGAAAACGATTTGGGTTTCGTTACGCATAGACGCCACAGGCGGCGTCCATCTTACATGGCCAAACGCTGTGAAATTTATTTTCTCTCTTTTTGTGTTTGCTGGTTTATTCCTCGGTTTCTTGGCCACCAACGGGCAGGACCCCCAACCTGGTGAACAACACACGATAGAAACATATCAACAGCTCCCGTCGGTCTGCAGGTCGCCGGGCGCAGATCCACCCGCACTTTTTGGCAGACGAGCGATCCAGTCCTGTGGACGCATGACATTCTCTCCCTGGGCAGGGGGGGTGTCCTCAGTAGATCTTTGCGGCTTGAACCCTTACCAATGTATTTGGACGCACCGCTCGGTCCACACCTCCCATGTCTGAGCCGAGCACCAGCAGCACCAGCCGCTCTCGCAGGTAGGTACGTACTCGACACAGCTCAAGTGGCCCGCCATGTGGAGCAGAACCAGTCCCTTCCAGATCGTCCCCCCAAACACCCATCGAGATGCCGGTCGCCCATTGGGACTTCCATGTATACCTCCGGTCTTCCTGGCGACCGCATTCCTCGCCCTCTTCCCACGATACTCGACCTCCTTTTGAGTTTCCGCCGGCCTTCCGGTCCCCCGTCCCAGACACACGCCTGCTTTGTCTGCTCGGCCCAGAAGTGAGGTGTGTGTCGTCGCCGACTGAGAAAAGATTTGTCCATTGTCCTTCTTGTCCTCCAACATATTCGCCTCTCGTCGTCTAGGGCATCTACTCGCACGGACGAGAAAGAACGCAGCCGCGATCCGAGCTGTCATCGAGCTCCCATCTTTTGTTCACCACCTGTCGACGAGGCGGGAGCGAGGGACCGCTCGAAACATCCTGTATAAGTGATCAGCCTGTGGCCCGCTCTACAAGACGGCGGTCCCCTGTCTTCGAGAATCCGTTGCCCCAAAAACTCTTTCTATCGCCAGCCCCCGAACGGACAAAACACCCAGCATTTGCAACCTTATTTCCCGACACCGAGTAGGGGCCCGTACGTCCGCGCCAGCAGAGAGAACGTTGCGATGCGCTGGAGCGCTGTCCATACCGCATCCTCTCGCTCATCCGTGCATCTCCCAGCCACGACGAAGCTGGCCTAGTAGCTTGGAGGCGTGAAAACATCGCTCCCAAACCCGGGGTTTCCACGGGTTCCACGAAGACTCGCTAAACCACTCTTCACCCTCCTGGATTCCTGGATCTGGGGCCGCGCAGGGCACTCCCCTCTTGTGGTTTTCCTTTTGAGGCAAGTCGTCATTCTGGTCGCTGCACACAACCCTCGACAACCCTAATCTTGGCCTTGCGGGCAAGCCGTTCTCTTGACCACTCGATCAAGGCCGACTTCTCGTCATCCCCACTTTTGAGTCGCAAGTCCAGATCGCCGAACACACGGGATCCTTGCGAAAGTATCTGTTCCTTCTCTCTCGGGGCGCGGAGAGAGCCCCCCTCTTAGTCAGTTCTCAGTTCTGCACCAACCGCCAGCCTTAAAGGGGGCAAAAGCACGCACGGAACCGCAACGGCGTTGGGCAGCACCAGTAGTAGCAGCAGCAACGTCAACAGCAGCGGTAGCGGTAGCGGCAGCATCAGCACCACCGACAACAACAATAACAACAATAACAACGGCGATAGCGGTAGCGCTAGTGACACGGCTGTCAGCAACCCCGCCTCTCGGACGTCGTCTACGCAAAGCCGCGTCCTGGAGCGGAAAAGGCACAAGCGGACGTGCCAAAAGGTCTGTGCCGAACGTTTTAACTGAACCATAACGACGGTTCTGCTTGCCCCTTTGCCTCTGGCGATTTAGTGTCACCATTCGTCGGTTCGGATCCCATCCTGCTCAATTCGGGGACCTACCAAGGCGCGCCGGCTTTACTTTCGCGATTTACCGGTATCGAAAGATCGTCCCACTCTCCTCCTCAAGCGCGCCGGCCGTCTGCTTCGCTTAGATCGCCGACACCTCCAGCTTTTGCTTCCGCGGCTCTTACTTCTCTACTCGTAGCGGAATACCGGGTAGATCGAGCGTCTCCGGTTTGCCGGGTAGCTAGCCAGCCAGCTCTTTGGGCGCCAGAGGGAATGGACGACAACAGGGGCCAGAGGAGGCAACATGAACCGCCCGGCTATTCTGCCTCCGGTTCACGGCACACGCCGTCGCTACAGGAGCAGTCACAGCAACAACGGCGGCCGTTTGCGGGATCTCAGGGGGATAGGTTCCGACCGGCGCCTCTCGGCGCGTCACCATCAGGCGCATCGCGGGGGATGAGCGGTTCGACGGGGTATAGCGGGTATTACCAAGACACTTCGACGGCGGGCTTTCCAGCCCCGACGATGCCTCAGGGCACGATGAGCTACCACCACTCGACGACAGACTACCCGCAGCCGGATTCGCGGCAAACCCAGGGGTTTGGCGGCACGTACACCCCGACAATGATGTACAACGTGCAGCAAACGGGAGGGCCGCAGAACACTGCCGTGTACGATGCGAGTCAGCAGTTTCCCTCCCGGCAGGCTGCAGGTATGCCGATGATGACGACGGATGTCACGACCCCCTACTTTTCAAACGAACCCTCCAATACCACGCCCACCTCGACCATGCAAACCCAATCGGCATCGTCGAGCACGCCTCAGGTATATCAGCAGCAGCCCGGCATGCACGGCTATTCTACCGGTAGTATGACAGCCATTGGAGGAGGAATGGCTGCGCAAACGTCGACTGCTGGTGGCAGCACCAGTGCTAGTGCCGACGTGAGGATGGAAGAAGAGTATCCCGGCCTCGAGGAAGCCTATGCCAACTACCAGGCAGCGTTGAAGGAAACCTTCCAGAATATACGGGACGGCGTGCTCGCAGCCGCTAGCCAAACCCTGATCGAGGTGTCTGACTGGCTCCTGTCGCATGTTGTAGATTTAGGTACGTCTTTTACCTTTTTGGGTGAGCTTGGGATGGGCAAAATTATGGCGTCAACTAACTGAATTCTTTTCTTCCCCTTTTACTAGGTTTGAATTCTGACAACCAAAATCTGTACAACGAGCGAATCAAGTTATGGGATGACTTCAACCATGCCTGGCTAGCCATCTTCCAACGCCAAAAAGAGATGATGGAATCGGGCCAGCCAGTACAGCGCCCCCAGAGCCTAATCTCCCAGGACGGGCTCCAGAAGATGGGCAAAGACTTGGTGAGGTTATGCGATAGCATTGAACGGCACGGCCTTGTCGACTACCAGTACGGAGTCTGGGAAGAGCAGATTATTGAGAGTGTGTTCTACCCCCTTTCTCTTGTTTCATTGCTTAATTCATTCCTTTTCTTCTCCTTGCCGCAAGGGGGTTTGGTGGACGTTATTAACACTTGGATGGCAGTTCTAGAAGAGTGTTTGGATCTCTACGACCCCTCGGGTACATCCGGCGCTGGCGGCGGAGAGGGGTCTATTCCGCGACGCCGTTAAGCCCCCCTCATATTCGCTGAAATGGGGAATCGCGCAGTCCTCGCTCGCTCAGTTATCTTTGGTTATTTATCCTCTTGACGACCGCCGAAACCCGACCGTTTTTCACGTTTCATTCAGGCCGTGCGAAGACATCCCACGTACCACCAGTCACGAACCTAGAAGAAAAAAAAGAAGATCCTGTTTCTATTTTGTTTCCCCTGTATTGATTGCAACTACCTTCCTGTGTCGACGTCGGTGCTGGGTGCTGAAAGATACCTTTTTTTACTGGCCCGGTAATGGACTCAGGCGTTGGTCGGCAGTGGTTCGTTGGCGTCAATGGTTTCAAGGGGGACAGGGCTGCAATGGGGGTTCATTTTTGGGGGGGAGGTTATTTGTTTTGTGGGCGGGGATTTTCGCTCTGGCTTCGGCGTGGATGGCAGGGAAAGAAGAGACGGCTTGCTCCACGGCGTCCCCAAGGGAAAAGAAGATGGAGGAGGTCTATTCTGGGAGTTTTCGGGTGGGCTGATACCCTTCACCTTGGACAAAACCCGCGGTTTCGTCGTTACTTTTGTCGCGGATGGTGGTTTTGTCGGAGTTCCCGGTGCACGTGCATATTGTTCTGCTTGGGATGGAAAGGCACGGGAAGTCGGAAGTCTTGGTTCGTCGCAGAAATTTGCCATGATGGAGAGCGCCTACGACGGTCGGCCGATGAGAGATGCATTGAAGATGGGGGGTAGGGTAAGGAAGGGCCGAGTCGTCCTTGGGCGGCACACACACACACACATACACACACGCACACTACAGGCACGATTAGAATCGGCAGGGCCATCATGGAGTGACCTGGGTGGGGCTGTGCGGGTGGATGTGTGGATGAAAAGAATACGAGCACGATCGGATTTGTACCCATGTTGTGCGTTGAAACGGAGGTATCGGAGTCACAAAGATTGGATTAAAGGATCGCTACACAGCATATGGTTTTGGGGTTCGGAAAACAAAACGAGAAAAGGGGGGTTGGCTGGCCTAGCATTGTTTCGCTTTGTGGAAGGGTGTAAGCCCCCCCAAAACCTATCCATCTGTATCTACCTGATGTGCCACATAACTCCCTCCAGTACATAAGAGTACGTACTTGACAAGTGAACACGCCGCTCAGCTCCCGTCATCGGAGACTCGCCTAGGGAGGAGGTCCGAGGCCACACACCCGACACCACCAAGTGACCAAAGACGTCATGATGGCCACGGCATTGGGAAAAGGAGGGTGGCATGCAATGCAGGCTGCGGCAACACCCGCTGAAAAACGATCGCCTCGGCGGCGAGGTTGTATTCGCGGCCGTCGAGTCAATCAGGACCGCTTGGTGTTGAGATGGAGTGTCCTTTTTTTCGCCAAATGGAAATTGTTCAATAGGTGTAGTGTCCAGGAAGGAACAAAGGACGTTGATGAGGCTTCCATGGGGGCAAACGCACCTTGTCACAGCCCAGAGCCAATCACGGTTGGCCTTTGGCCCCCAAACGGTTGTCCCGCTGGCTCGCTGTGGCAACAGCTCAACAATGACAGCTGAGCACCACAGCTCCTTCTGGCAAACTCGGCCCTCCCCTTTTCTTCCGTCCTCGGCTGAGTCCCTTGGCTCAATGAGTTATTTTTTTCTACTTTTCGCATTCGGTCTGTCTCTCTCCCTTCCCGGGAGTTCGGACTGTGGAGATTGGGTTTGGGCCAACACAAGTTGCCGGATGAGTTCGATGCTGCGCAATGCCTGGTTTTTTCGCTCCGTGGACCCTGGACACATCGACTTCTGACCGCCGTGGTTGGCCAATCAGACATCCGGATCGCCGGCACATTGAACACGCGAAAACCCGCTAAACACCGCTAACCAAGCTGCTGGGACCAATGGGCTTTGGAGGCGGGGGTTTCGACTCAGCGCCCTGGCCAGTCCCAACGATGTTCGCAACCACAACCACATGCCGAGCGACCTCCAAGTCGAGGGAATTGATGAAAGTTGATTCGGGGGACGGGGCCTAGGGACGCAGGGAATTCGACTCGTGAGCATGACCTGAGCCTACCCTCCCAACCTCCTAGCCTCTCATTCAGGCAAATCAACTGAATCCTCCGGTGTGTTTTTACCCCCCACCCAGCCGGCCGCGAAACGACACCTTTGCATGCATCCTTCTCCGCATTGCGCCGTTACACTGCAGCTACCCCTCGGTGTCGGGTCAGACGATGAACGCGCAAACAGGGAAAAAAAAAAGGTAAAAGGACGCAAATGGCTGGGGTTGGTCAACCATGGTCCATGAAGCGTGATACCTTCCGAGCTGGGATCTTGCAGGCACGGAATTAAGACACTTTCGTGGGGGGTGCTTTTCGATCTCGTCCAACCCGAGCACCAAGATCGCACGACAAGAGCGGTAACGCATGAATAGTCCCCTTGGTGCGAAAGCCAATTGGCATCCAAGGCTGGTGGTCACGACAGGAGGACTTCCTAACGGCGAGTCGGCAAACACAAGAAGATGGACCGGATGTTGCGGCCGTGGAGTTAGCCCGCATGAACATGGTCACGGGAGGGCCCCCCGCGAAACCCCGTCACCGCACCCATTGGTGGGACAGATGGCGGCTTCAAAGGTGTCACGGCATCGTTCTATTTCCGTTGTGGGCGGCCCGGGGCTTTTGTTGGTACCGATACCTTTTCACGTGTGACGCCAAGGTATCAATACATGCGGAGTATACCGCAACCACACTCGCCGATTCTCCAAGCGACCGGGAACACCGACCGCCGGGAAAACCGGCCCCCGGATGTCTTTCGATATTGCCTTGATGAGGGGCCGAGACATGAACCAGGGGGCTCTGTTCGTTCGGCCGCGAATTCCCCATCAAGCCCGCTCGATTCGAACCAAAACCCCGGCCCCTGTTGAGCTGGCATCCCTCCCGGATCCCATACCCGCAGTCCGGCTCGCGAACGACCTGCAAAAGCCCCCTTCGCCTGGAATTCTCCTTTCCGCGCCACAACGCATCAAAAGCCGTTCAAGCAACCAGAGCAGGAGATCGTCTGAAACAAAACGAAGTTGCCCAGACCACACGCACAACCACGATGTCATCACATGAGATCTCTCGGCGAGGCTTTGACCCATGCTCCTATCCCCAGTTCCTGCTCCACCAGCCTCGGCTCGGGAAAGGAAAGACAAGAAAATGAGGTTTAAGGGGAAAAAATACGTACAAAATCTAACTAGACATGAAACACGATGTCTCGTCATTTGTCAAGTATTTGTAATTACCACGCTAATCTCAACGCAGCTGTGACCTCACCGGCTGTATACGACGCGTGTCGACATACACATGTATGGACACAATAGGCTGTTTGAGAAGGTTGTCATTCAGGGCAAGGGGCGGCTTGGCGTCATGTCTGATGCGGCTGCGCTTGTCGATCTCCGAGAGCCTCACTTTCCTTCTACGAAATTCGATGGCTTCCACTCAAGCCACGCGAGCATCTCAAAGCCAAGAAAAACAACACCCTGTCCAGCTGGGAACATGGGGGCCTGGCAAGCCGGCGAGCTGACAAAGCCAATGTCATTCGCATGGGTTAGACATGGGTGGGTAAGGAGGGAGTATTCGTAGGGTAGTGGTATTGTGTCCGTGTGGAAGGGAGAAGATAATGTGAGTGAACTCAGCTATGATTCAACTGTATGTTTTGGAAGTCGGGGAAACTACGTTCACGAGTGGTTTGTTATATCTGATCCGGTTTAGGTTCCGACCATGGGTTCGGTTCGGCTCATGTTACACGACAGCAGAGCAGGGAGAACCCGTCACAACACGGCATAACTTATTCTTTTGATTAACGGGTGTACAGGTTATCCGAAACAACAGGCCATTCAAAACAAGCAAAACCTTGCTAGGCACGTAACGCTCGAGATCATCGCTCGCACCGGACCCCTGGTCTTTCAGCCCTGTCTTGCCTCGCCCTGTTGTGTAGCCTTCCCTTGCAGCCTTGCTCTCCAGGGTTGTGAGCTCTCAATCTCATCGTCGTCCTTGAATACACGCGGTTCAACAACAAGGGGTTCCCTGGTCTTGCCTTGTTTATGGCTCTGTTGAGAATTACACTAGTTCATCCGCTCATCGGTTACAGCAGGCGTTTTATCTCGAGACCCGGAAGGAGGAAAGCGAGGTGTCTCGACGGCTCTTGTCCCGCTAATTATGTGAACCGGGCTGATGGCCAACTGAATACGTGGAATGTTTAAGAGGGCATAGGACCTGACAACAATTATGCTACCGTTATAACTCATGCCGTTTACTGATGGGGGGGCAGCCAGGAGGGCATACGTCGTGTTTTCAACAGTGTGGTTATGACATGATCCTTAAGTTGCTAATTATACCCAGCTTTGAATGATAACTCCGGTTGAGAAATCACGGCCGTGCAAAACCAAAATATCATGGATCATATAACCGCGTTCAACCTTTGTACAGTACAAGGATATGTGACATGAGACAAGTCGACTATTTCTGTAATTGAGTAATTGCCTTTTTACACTATGATCCAAGGAGAGGAGTTGAATTGGAGATGGTATCATCCATGTCCGCCCCCTGATGTTGCCGCCTGTTTTTTCGGCATGACTTCTTGCTCTTAAATTCATGTTTGAAATACGGACGGTAGATGCGGGAGTGCCATGTAAAATACACAAAGTCATGTTTTTCAACAGTTGATGTCGTTGGGGATCTTTTAGCCGACATATAAAATATAATCGTTCTGACTGCCTACCGTCCTCTGCGGAACTGCTTGGATGCTCAGGAGAAGGACTTCAGGTACACGAAATCAACAACTTAGTCGTGACCGATAATAGTATGTTTGTGGTTTCTATTGTCTGAGTTGTTGGGCGCCAAACTCAGTGTTAGAAAGAGTTGCCCTAACCTTACCGTCAGGATCTAACACTCGAAAGAAAGGTTATCTGAATACGCCACCTTTCTCTATCCCGCATCGTGCCGGTCCATCTATGATGAGCGTCTAGCATGACTGAACAAGCCCCGGAAAACCAGTTCATCGTTGCTAGCGAGAACATGAGCTTGGGGAACACATGGTGCGTGAATCAAAGTGCAGAATATCGATAGTTCGGTACTCTAAGATGACCCGACCGGTGTGGGCTAGTTAGACTCACATCTTACATCCTTCCGTCTTTGCGTAATTGTATGTGTGTTGGGCAACACCTTGGAGAGACAACCTCCGACGGGGAACGGCTCACACATCCGTCCATCTAATCCTCAATTGTTGATATGTTGCGGCCACGCTCACGGCCAGTGGTATGCAGGTTGACACACACATATGCGCCGCTGATATATACCTATCACATTCATGTTCGGCGACTCGAGAGATGATGGAGAACTCTCGACGGCTGATCCAATCCGGTGGCTCCATAGGCCTTGAGCAGTCAGCGGGATCGTTACGGGGCACTGGTTTGACTTTTTGATGATGGTTCCGGGGCCATGGTGTACAACTAGCCAACTTGCTTGCCAGTACTATCCCGGCCCAAAACTCATTCCGATCTCCTAGGCGTGCCCTGCGCTGTACTGAATACACCCCTTGGCTCTGAAGCCGTCGTCTGGGGACACGGGGGCGAACACACGATAAATCACTGACACGTGAAGACACAGTTCAGCGAAAGCAAGAGAGATTTGTCGGGTATATTAGGCGCTGCCCATATCGTAACAAATGACCTTCGTAGTCTTCAAAAATGCGTGTAATCCAGAGGCTAGGCATTACTCATTAGATACCAAGAACTTGACACATATCTCAGTAGTGACCTTCCCTTCTCCGAGTCCCCTGGGACAAAATTTCGGCGTGTCATGTTCATTCTCATCTCGTCGTGATCTTTCTGAAACCTCTTGAACCCTAAAACGCTAGAATTGGTCTGCGTGGGGTTAGTAACGTATTTCCGGGTATGGCGTGGAGCAAAGTTAGATCTTCATACCTAGTGTCATGCTCATGCTCACTGCGAATAAAACGTTAGCCTTACTTCGTGATGGCCGGATAGGGGTGCGCGTGTCATGGGGCTTATGGATGGCAGGTGGCTTACCATCGGTGGCCGCAACAACAGCCTGGAACTCCTCGAAGCTGATCTTTCCATCGCCATCCGTGTCTGCCTCCATGATTGTCTTGTCGACAATCTGCTGCAGCTGCTGGTCCTTGAGGTTGTTGCCAACCATCATCTTCAGCACAATAAACAGCTCGCCGTTGCTGATGTAGCCGTCCCGGTCGATGTCGTACACCTTGAACGCGAATCGCAACTTTTGCTCCTTGTTGCCCTTGCTGCTGAACGCGCTTAACCCCGAAACGAACTCTTGGAAATCAACATCACCACCGCCGTCTTCGTCGAAGATCGCTATCATCCTAATGCCGCTGTTAGTCTTGGGAGTGGGCTATAAGCAAAACACCTGGCATTGGTACGAACCTTGTGGCGAGTGGGTTTGAGGATATTTGTGGTAGGCTCAAGAACTCTTCCCGCTCGATTGTGCCAGAGTTGTCCTGTATTTACAATGTAAGCCGCTATGTACTTCTAAAACAAATCCATCCTCTCACACAGCACGCACCTTGTCCAGTTTCATAAACCTCTTCCGTAGCCTATCAACTTCATCCCGGTCGACTGTTTCGAACGCATCTCGATTAGCCACCTGGTTTCTTTGGGCTTGTAATATCAGGCTCCAGAAAAAAGCGTACAGTTAGACCCTTGGACAATGTTGTCCAGCACTGCGCTCGTGGTGTTGCCCATCCTGCAGGGTTTTGCGAGTATCGCTCTTGTTTCGTGTCACTGGTTCGTAAATCCGCTGCTCGTCGCTTAGCTCGAGAATTTGGGGCAAGAATGGGCGCGGGTGTAGAAGGCGGGGCGTTTTATTACAAGTGACTCGGAAGTGACGGGTTCAAGGAGGAGGCGAACAGAAATCGTCGTTATGATGATGCTTCTGGATTGGGGGTCGTAACGCGAAAAGTGGCGGCTGCATCGGCGAGGCTGAGGCGGAATGGCGTGTGTTTGGGGCTGCAACAGGCCCAACAGCGGGGTGCGGGGTGCGGGGCGAGCCACAGGTCGAGGCACACCAGCCACATATTCCTTTGAATTGTGGCCCATGCACCGAGCTCGGCCATGGGCATTGGGGAGTCATGACACAGCGCCTTGGCGCGACCGTCCGCGATGCACGTACTAGGGGCGTCCGGGAGCGCACCTTGCGAGCATAAAAGTGTGAGTGGGACACTAATGGGGTGAAGTGCTATGTTTTCTCATCTCGTACTCTAACATACTCTGGTCCCCCAAGTTTTTTCAAACTTCAACAAACTCCTGTTCGGGAGGAAGGCGCGATTTCGCGGCTGCGCCTCTGAGAAATTGACTGGGCTCGAAATGGACTTGGCTATGTGGGTCGTGCCTTCAGGGGGCCAATCGCCCGAAACGGCGTCGCTGGAACCTGCCGGGAATCGCAAACTCTGCAGAGGCACCACAACAACGTCAACTCACCAGGCGACGAGACTTTGGCCATCAAGATATCATCAACAACCCCAGTTTTGCGTCAAAAAACTCGGAAACCCGTTTTTTTATGGCACGTTGAATGTCAGACAACTTTTTTTTTCGGGGTTTCCCCAGGCTTTTTGCCGAAGTTGCCATCCTGAACCGCCATGGCGACTCGAAAAGTTCGGTACAAGAAACTGAGTGTTAAAACGCCCTTGGGCGTGCTCAGAGAGAATCAGATCGATCGGGAAGAGTATGAATCACTTACAAACGAAGCCCAAATCGCGACCGGAGTCGAACAGGCTGAGGAAAATGTGAGTAGATATCTCCGACCATCGCGTCGTATCACGTGTTTGTGCACGTGCCACATCGTGTTCACGTCAACAACATCGCGGCAGGGGGGGTTGAGACCGACCTGACTTTCTGTTTTTTTAGGAATACCATTTGCAGGCCGTCCTGCAAAGTGCCGGGGTTGCCGTCGATAAGGAAATTCCCGTGCCGCCTCCTCAGGAGAGTACCCTCAACTATGACGAGCTTTACGCTCGTCCGTTCTCCAAAACATCCACATACATTCGCTTCTCCCAGACGGTAGAAGAATCTGTAGGGTGCATGTATGATTTGACGGAGGACGATGAGGTATTTCTCAAGTCGTACAACCAGAAGCGGGCCGCTTCGGCCCAGCTCTCGGAGTTCGATTTCGAGATGATTATGGAGGTATTTGAGGACACGTCTGAGTTCAAGGCCCCGTTTGCCTCGATAGATCAGACCATAGTCCCGTACGATGATATGCTTCGGTACCTGCAGGATCTTGACAGGAGGACCAAGGTCATGCCGCACGCCAAGGAAATCTATGAGTATTGGAAATCCAGGCGGCAGGCTCTGAATAATCAGCCCCTGCATCCAACACTCAAGTTCGAGAAGCATCAGGAGAGCGATGAGGCGGATCCCTTTGTCTGTTTCCGGCGTCGTGAAGTCCGGCAGACACGCAAGACGCGGGCGAGAGACGTCCAGAGTGCCGACAAGTTGAAGCGCTTGCGGAAGGAACTTGAGGATGCTCGTCAGTTGGTGCTGGCTGCCCACAACCGTGAGGTTCTGAAGGCCGAGATGTTGAAATCAGATCGTGCCATCTTTGAGGTCCGGGCCCAGCTCAAGGAACATAAGATCCGGCTGGGTATCAAGACAGACGATGAAGACCTCATCAACCAAAAGGTAGGCCATCTCTTTGTGTTCAACCTGCTCTGCATCCGAATTAGCACTGACACTTCGCAGCCACAAAAGCGGAAGGCTCCCGATGTCCCCACCGTGCAGCGGCCACCACTGCCTGCGCAACTTCGCGTAGCCGTTCGGCCAACGCACCCCGAGAACGACCTTTCCATTTATGCCGACCGCCAGGCTGAAAAGGAAAATGAACTTCGTCTCGACATTGAGAAGAAGGTCCTTAGCCATACGGAATGGAACCGTAACCACTTAGACCTTACTCGGGGCCCGTTATCTCCTGCCCCTGGGCCCCGGCGTGAGCCAGGGTTCCGACCTGCCAAGACGCAGTACCTAATGACGCCACCGACTTCTGCGGCGTCAGACTCTTTGGAGGAGCCAACGGCAATGGACCTTGACAAGCCTGAGGAGGACGTTGATGCAGTTTTCCACTTCCGCGGTGTGACTCAGGACCAGGAGGCGAGGAAGAACCCCCCTGCGTACCGACGTCGGATAGGCCGCCTCGGTCGGTTGTGGATTGACCGACGGGGGATGGCAAGCCCACCCCATGATGTGGGTGCGGAGACCCGAGACCGGTGGAAGTACGATGAGTCGTCGGATGAGGAGGAAGATCCGCCTAAGTATGAGGTTGACCCCTTTGACACCAACGCCCTGAGGTTTCGTGCTTCCATCCCGCTTCCGCCGTGGATGACGAATCGCGCTGCCGTCCCTACTGCCCGAGTACCACTTCCGCCTCCTCAACTGCCCCCGGCGGTGCCGCAGTTGCAACCACCGCCGCATCCGCAACAGTCACAGCAACCCCCACCGCAGCCACCAGTACCGCCTCTGCCTCAGAACGCGACCTAAGAAGCTGCTGACGTGTCGTTTGGGTGGTCCGTGTCCGCGCTTCGAGTGTTATCGGGTGTCGGCAAGAACATGGTCGTTACTGCTCTGTATATTCCCCTCAATAATCCGATGATTGCATTTTAGCGAAAACTTTGGTAGAAACGTGGATTTGGCCCGGCGAGGAGTTTGGTGTCTGGGGTTTTTGTCGATGATAATGTTAGGCGAAGCCGGCCATGTATATATGAAATACCAAAACCGCTGCTGCTATGCGGCGTGAAATTCTGAGTCCGGGCTTTAGGCCTTTGATACTTTGTCAATTGGTGGGACATGCTGAGAAATGTTGAGATGACTTGTGAGGGTTGTATCTTGCAGAAATGGTCGACGAGCGAGACAAAGTTGTGCGAGGCTGGGTGCTTGCCCAATGCGCCATGTGCGTATTATCTTGACGACATAATGCGTTATTGGGAGTGTTGAATACCGCCTACGTCAAGTAGTGCCGAGCATATGTTGTGCAACGCTGCTGAACGCTTGCGAGATTGAGCTTCGTAGGCGTGGCTCAGCGAGCTGCAAACCCGGAAAAGTGGGTCACCGGACTGAGTCTTATTTCGTGGTAAAATCGGCGATATCTAGCCGGCGGCGGACGGGTTTTGTGATCCCGGGTGTAGTATTGACGTTGCCTCTTAGTATGGGAATAGAAAACAGGCCGCGCGCCGGTTGAAACGAAGTAGTGTCTCGGGCATCTCTAGCAACAAACCGGGCTGCTGCTGTGAGCGCGGTACTTTCTCGGGGAAGCGGTTGAGGCGCGGATGACGGTCCGAGGCACAATACCTAATGCATCCCCACATCATAATGCCCTCGCTATTACCCAATCCGGTCTCTGGAGTCCACGAGCCAGCATAGAGATGCTGGTTGTGTTTCTACCCCGACAGCTTGAGCACGGTACCGGGTTGGAGCTGGGAGGTATGGATGGAGGCCGAAATGGACTGGTAGATGTTGTGAATTCTGAGTATGCTGTCATGAGAACATCATCTTGATGATAAACAACGAACGACGGTGTTCGATAGTTGCTTTCGTGGGCGAGTTTTGCACAACTGGGAAAAAACCGGAGAGTTAACCATTGTATTCTCAATAACGGAACGAAACCCTCCGACTCCATAAGGTGTCATGTTTTGGGAACGCCTTCAAGTCTAAAAAGGACCAGGCAAACCTACCTTTCTAGAGCTCCAACCTTCTACCGGATGTCTCCTCTCGGCGCCGACCTCTGGAGTTCGTGATCCGGAGTTAGGGCGAGGTCCAGTGGTGGCTGTGGGTTTGGTGGTCAGCTTCATGACTGCGCCGTCAAGATGTTCGAAGTCATTGAGACGGAGTTAGAGCTTGCGGGCCGCAGAAGATATAGTTTCAAACCCGAGGATGCGTAATAAAACCTGCCTCTGTTATGTCTTCCGGAGGCAGAAAAGTTGTGAGGTTGAAGACGAGGGGAAGGTTTTGTGTATGGGGAGGCTATTCTCCCAAAAACGCTGGCTCCTGGATCTGTCGCAACTGCGTGGATGTGGACCCCGAGCGCCAATGGCCGGCCGGCGCACGTGCCACATGCTTGACTGATTCCCGGTCGGTACGTACCTTGGCCCCTCAATGTGGAATGCCCCACTGACGAAATCAACGGCTTGTTAGACCCCGCCATGGTTCAAGGGCTGGCGACATCAAGTTCGGTGCTTGTTCACGAGAAGAAAACGACAGCCAAATCTTTGATCAAATCCTGATCAAATTCCCAGGAGAAAATAGAGGGACATTAGTCGACAACTATCGAGCCTTTTCCTAGTCTGAGTTCACCTCCGGGCACGCTTCACGATGGGCATCAACATCGCCAAAAAGGGGCGGCGCATCGCCCTTGGCTGCGAAGGCTCAGCCAACAAGCTCGGCATCGGCGTCATTCTCCATGAAGGGGACCCAACCTCACCAAACGCCACCTCTACCGTTCTCTCCAACGTCCGCGACACCTTCGTCTCCCCGCCAGGCACCGGCTTCTTACCCAAAGACACAGCACGACACCACCGATCCTTCTTCGTGCGCGTGGCCAAGCAAGCCCTCTCCGACGCTGGCGTGACCGTCGCCGACATCGATTGCATCTGCTACACCAAGGGCCCCGGGATGGGCGCGCCGCTGGCATCAGTCGCCGTGGCGGCTCGAACGCTCGCGCTGCTTTGGGGCAAGGAGTTGGTCGGGGTGAACCACTGCGTCGGTCACATCGAGATGGGCCGGGCCATTACAGGCGCCGATCACCCCGTGGTGCTGTACGTGTCCGGAGGCAACACGCAGGTGATTGCGTATGCTGAACAACGGTACCGCATCTTTGGCGAGACGTTAGATATCGCGGTGGGGAATTGCCTGGATCGGTTCGCGCGGGCGCTCGAGATCAGCAATGATCCAGCGCCGGGGTACAATATTGAACAATTGGCTAAAACCGGGGGGCGGGTGTTGCTGGACTTGCCGTATGCCGTCAAGGGGATGGATTGTTCCTTCAGCGGGATCCTGACGAGGGCCGAGGAGCTCGCGGCGCAGATGAAGACTGGGGCAAAGGGGCCAGATGGAGAACCGTTTACGGGAGGTGATTTGTGCTTCAGTTTACAAGAGACGGTATTTGCGATGCTCGTAGAGATCACGGAGCGGGCAATGGCTCATGTGGGCAGTAATCAGGTGTTGGTTGTCGGTGGTGTCGGCTGTAATGAGCGGTTGCAAGAAATGATGGGTCTCATGGCGGCGGACCGCGGCGGGAGCGTTTACGCTACGGACGAACGGTTCTGCATAGACAATGGCATTATGATTGCGCATGCGGGGTTGTTGGCATATGAGACGGGGTTTAGGACGCCCATTGAGGATAGCACATGTACCCAGCGGTTTAGAACAGACGAGGTCCTCGTAAAATGGAGAAAATAGTATATGCCTTTCCATGGTGCACACTGATTTACCTGTGATAACATGCGGGCCACCACCGTAACAGCGTAAGTGGAAGTCTCAACTCCTAAAGCCGAATACGAATACAGTGTATCTTCGTCACCCATTCCTTTCGCCGGGATCATGAAAAGCATACGTCATGATGAGCACCAATTAACAGAAGTTAGGCGGTCGCCAGCGCCTAAATTTCGGCATCATGTTGGGGGGAGACCACCAGGTGGGCGGAAATCAACCTCCCTCATTCATTTACCGTGGGTTTGTACACGATTGTCGTTACATACTATAGGTATAGTTAGCATCAGCCCCAGCAGCCTAGGCGCACTCGCAGACTTGCCTTGCTCTTATATCTGGTGGTTGCCGAGACAGCTAGCACCTTGTTCTTGATATTACTCGTGGCGAGGTGATTAAGCACGGTGTGATTTGGTTGAGTCAAGACACTATTGTCGTCCTTCCTCGGCGTTGCCGCATTTAATATGGGCTTGCTCAGGAAACCGGGGAGACCGGGTGGATTCGGTAGCTTCTCGGTGGCCAAGACCGCATGCTGGTATTGTGATGATTCCTCGGCTTGATCCAAATCAGCGAGGTATTTAGGAATATTAGGCTTGAATAGGTCTGCTGGGGGGATATCCCGATCCCTCGGTGCCGGGTTTTCACCGTCCTCCTCTGCTGTTGGGGCTGTTTCGGTTTGAGCCTGTGCTTGTGTAGGCTTTGGCTCAGACGCGCCGTCCGTTTCGGATGCCGTGGGTTGCAGATCGTCTGGGCTGACCTCGATGTAGTTGACCAAGTTGTTACCGAAGTCAACGGTTGTGGGGTAATCTGGTGTCGTCTGCATCTGGCCGTCGACGAGGAAACGGATATGGTGTGTTCCGGGGAGAATATGAATCGTAGTCGCAAAGACACCCGGCTGCCCTTCACTATAGCAGGCGGCCCCGTCAGCAATCCTCGGCGAAATCCTCAAGGGGAACGGGTTCCCTCAATCTCTAAAACTTACACTGGCTGCAGTCGAGTCTTGCGGTTCCACTGGAAGATGGTGCCGGTAACATAGACCTTGTCACCGCCGTGCCGCCATTCCAACCTGGTGGGCACAGTGGGTCGGGTTTTATCAACCAGCAACTCTTCCGCGTCTTCTTCTTCCGGAATTGAGTTGTCGCTCAGGTTGGAGGGAGGATGTGCGAGTGTCGCCGTATCGAGCCCCTCGATATCCGCTGCAATCGGCTCGGTGACATCCGCCGGGGAAATGATCGGAGACCCCGGCGTGTGGACTTCCTCCTCAATTGGGAGCGGGAGGCGCGGGGGGCGCGTCAGGTATGAGACTTCTTGCATACTGCTGAGAGCATTCACGGCAACTTCATCGCTGTCGTCGAAGTGCGGTGATCTCGGTGATCGGGGTGAGGAGGGAGAGTTGAGTGGGTTCGGTACAGCTACGGGTTTCGCAGGTTCATCGCATGGGATGGGGTTGGCCGGCTTGACGTCGACGGGTTTCGCGGAGCTCGTTACGCTGCTGGTGGCGGTGGTGGTCGGGGACGCAGTCGAGGAGTCCGGTGCAAAAACGCTGGAGGCGAGGGGTCGGTGCTGCAGAGGCTTTGTCCGGCTGGCGACGCTGCTGTTGCTGCTCGACGGCGGTTGGACAGCAATGCCCTGGGCCTGCGTGAGCGACGGTTCTGGCGGGGCAGCAACCCCGAGGCTTTGCACGGGAATGGGGTTTCTGACTTCGCGCTTCACCGATCGGTCATGTTGCGAATTGGCTTGCGATGACGATGGCTGGTTCGCGGATTTGGATGTGGAGGGGTTATTGCCCATTTTTTGCGGTTTTTCTTTTTTTTGGTTTATTCGGCCTCGGCTACTCGGGGTTCATTCACGATAGGCGGGACAGCAGGCGCTGGGGTAGAAGACGGGGCGAGACTAATGCGCTTCGCTGTTTAGTTCATTGTTTGGGTGGCTTGAACGGCGATGGACGTGGGTTTTGGGATGTCGCTGGAGTGACGACTAGAAGCATTTGAAGACGGCCTGACTGAGATCGATTTCGGATCGTTGGAAGGAGAAATGGAGAAATGCATGGAATTCAAGGAAGTTTCGATGAACAGAGCAGATGGACCGGGATGCTCGAGATTCCCCCACCTAAGCAGCTTGTGCATCCGTGCCATCCCTGTTTTATGTATGTACAGACAACGGATCCGTCTTGTCGCAGCCTCATAAAGCGCCTGGCGGTATCAGTGAGCAAGACAGCCACCACTCGGGAAACCTAACTGCACCAACCTTTAAAATCACTGCACGCCGCGTACTTTTTCTATTCTCCCACCCGTAACGCACCCATTTTCATCAATCCAACAACGCCCGGCCAGAAGAAGAAAGAAAATGTCAGAAAATTTCGTCGCGCCCGGCCAACAGCGCTACCTACGCGCGTGCATGGTCTGCTCCATCGTCATGACTTACTCCGTAAGTTGCCCGCTCACACCAAGATTCATCCTGATTCAGTGACAAAATCACACCATTCTTGATAGATACTGATGCGTCCATATCAGCGCTTCCGGGACGAAGGATGCCCCAATTGTGAAGAGTTTCTCCACCTCCAAGGCTCCCCCGATCAGATCGAAAGCTGCACGTCCCAGGTGTTTGAGGGCGTCATCACGCTGTCCGACCCAACTAGGTCTTGGGTCGCGAAGTGGCAGCGTCTCGACAAGTACGTGCGCGGAGTGTACGCGACCAAGGTGTCTGGCCAGCTTCCGGACGACGTGCGAACGACGATTGAGGAAGAGTACCGCATCACGTATATCCCGTGAGTACTATCCTGCCTCGCCACGTGGCGTTATCTCCCTAAAGAAGAGAATCAAGATCAAAGTAACTGACAATCTCTTAGACGTGACGGTAGTGCAACGGAGGCAGACTAAGTGTTCACTGGGACGCGCCGTCTTGGCAAACAGGCAGCATTAGGCGATGGAGTCAGGGAGTTTGGGAACAAAGGCTGAATTTTTTGGTATTGCTCAGCTATCATCTTCTATCAATGATGAATCTCATTGTGATCTAAAAACTGTTGGTATCATTGTGGCCATCCTGTATGCTCCCCCAAAACGCCGAGAAATGCACTACAACCCTCCCCATCGATCCCATTCTACCCCAACTCCAGAACACATGCGATGTGGTTCAGCTAGAACCGCGGCCTCTTGTTGGGGGGACCGCCGCTTCCGGCCTCCCGTGACCTCTTACGCTCCATTTCCTCCTTCATTATCCTTTCGGCCTCGCTTACCTTCTTCGGCTGCGCGGCCATAACCTTCTTCGGAGCGCCAGCAAAGGCATTTTTGAAGACATTCTTCTGTTGTGGCTTCACGCCGAACTTGAGCGACACCGGTTTGACTGCTGCTGCCTCCACCGGTTTTACCTCCTCTTTTTTAGGTTCCCCATTACTTGTCCCGTCTGCAGCTTCGGAAGCATTGTCGTTCTCTTTAAACGGGGGTGTCGCGCCCGCAGGTGTAGGAGACTTGACCGCTGGTTTCGCCCCAAAGTTCAACTTGATCTTTTCCCCTTCCTCCCGTTTCAGCTCCCTTGCTTCCTCCTCTTCCCCTTGCCCGTCCCCTTTAGCCTCGGCGGCCTTCTGGGCTCGTTTTATTTGTTCTCGCAGCAACATCTGCTCGCGCTCCTCGTCCCCCTTATCCTGCATCTCCTTCCGACGCACTGCCTCCCTCCGCTTCATCGCCTCGGGCGAGTCGTCGATCCACGCAATGAATATCCCGTCCTCCTTCTCCTCCGCCCTAACAATCCCCTCCCGCGAGATGTATTTGACAAAGTCCGTCAGGGAATGCCACTTGGTTGAGTTCAAATGGATGTGGTCGCGGCGCGAAATGACCTCCTGGTAAAACTTGTTCGCGTGGATGCTCTTCTCCCCGTGCGCTGTCTTGAGCAGCGACATGAACTCCGTCAGAAATTCTTTGCTGTATTCCTCCTGTACGCCTTTGAAGTTTTGCCCGGCATCGAGCGCGCGCCGCATGTGGGACTCAGACTGGCAGTGCATTTTGAAGGCGTTCTCGTCGCGACATGCCTTTTCGCAGATTTGGCAGTACCAGCGCAGCCGCGTCAGGCCCTTTTGTTTCATTTTGTTGGACAAGTATTTCGTCGACCCAGGTTCGGCTTTCCCCATCGTGAATCGCGGGGACTCGCTGCGCGGAGTCGAACGACGGGTCTAGAGTGGTTTTACTGGAGTGGTGCGAAGAAGTCAAACGGTGAGACGGAGGAAGACGTTCGGGATCGGAGGGCGATTGTGCTGGTTGGAGAATGTCGTTAGTTTGGGAAGCGGCATGCGCTCAGTTAAATGGACACCACCCCATGGTCGGATCTCGTGCTTGGCAAGGGGTCGCCACAAGAAACCGCCTCTCCGCCTCGGATAACCCTAACCCTTATTTACCGAATTACGCTGGTGACGCTCTAACAAACAAACCCCTTTGTGACCTGTTTTGAAATGAATGTTGATGGCTTGAATTCCAAAACGCCCCTGAGATGATAGATTCTATGTACAATTCAAAGGATATATAGCAAACCATGACTCTACTCGCCAGTCCACGTCTCATTCCACGTCAAATTTGAGACTTGACACGAGATCGCGACCACTTCTTTTCCAGCCCGCTCTGTTCCAATATCAAAAAAAATAAAAAATTGTGCAACATGCTTGACAGCGCCTTTAAATCAATAGCCCCTATTCAAGGAAGGTAAAGAGGCTCGTGTGCAGGATGTTCATAGCCCTCTCTGCATCACGGGCATCAATGACACAAGATATGTTGATTTCACTCGCGCCTGAGGGAGGAGTTAGCATCAGGTAACTGAGCAGCATATACTTGAGAGGTTCAATCCTTACCCTGCGAAATCATCTCCAGATTGACCCGGTGTTCACCCAGTGTCGAAAACATCCTCCCCGCGATACCCACCATGTTCTTCATCTCGGCGCCTACCAGGCTGAGAATGGACATGTCGTGCAACACGCTGACCTCGCCGCAATCGGCCCGGAGTTGCTCCACTGCGTGGTCAAAGTTGCCAAACTCGGAGCTCGCCGTGTGGACGGCGATCGAAACGTGCACCTCGCTGGTAGAAATCAGGTCCACAGAGATGCAATGCTGATTGAGGATGGAGAAAACCCGCGCCAGGAACATGTGCGCAATCGACCGCTTGTTGGAATGGATGTTGATGATGGAGATCTTGTCCTTGACCGTGACAGCGGTCGGCCGCTTTGGCTTCTTCCGAAGTGATGGGTCCGAGGGCTGCCGGGATCTTTGAATGCGCTGGTCGGATGCCAACAAGGGGTCTGGCCTCACAATGGTGCCTTCGCCCCGGGGGTTCTTGACGTTCTTGATGCGGATCGGGATGGGTGGTACCGCCTTGATGACCTGGTCCATAGTCAAGTGGTGGATAACCTCGGAGCCGTAGAACGTCAACTCTGATGCCTCGGCCGGGGTGATGTATGGGATGAGTCTCGCGGTCGGGACCTTCGTGGGGTCGGCGGTGAAGATGCCGTCCACTTCCTTCCAGATCTGAAGCTCTTCGGCCTTGAGGCCGACGGCGACTAGTGATGCGCACAGATCCGTGTACCCGCGGCCAATATCGCCATCCATGAGGCCGCCGGGGACATTGCCAAAGAAGCCAGTCACAACGGGAACCCTATCTCCACAGGCCATGATTTTCTTGCAGATGGCAGTTGAGATGCGCTTGTAAAATGTGGAATCAAGCCTGCCTGGGCTGTCACAGCTGAGGACGCTGGCCAAATCAATGTGCTCGGCATCGACCCCCTTTTTCACATGCAAGTCAGCATACACGATGGGAGATCTAAAAGTGCACGGTTTTGAGGCCTACCCTGTCTTTGAGAAGGCATGTCATAAATCTGCAGCTCAGCTTCTCGCCGAAGCTTATGACTCGATCCTTGGCGCGGGAGTTGATTTCGAGATCGAAGCTCCGGGCAGCTTGGAGGTAATCAATGAGGTGCTGGCACTCATTTTCTGTATCGGCTTTCACCAGTGCGCCGAGCTGGGGATCCCGAATGAAGCTATCGACGGCAGCCACATGGTCGGAACAAATCTCTTGCACAATGTGCTTGGCGTTCCCCAATAACTCCTCTTGGACATTGTGGTCACTGGCGGCGGCACCAATGGCGCGGAGGTTCTTGTACACCTCCAGTAGCCTGCATGGAAGAGCACGTTGTCAGTCATCCCACTGGTTGGTTGACTAATAGGAGGCGCCAATGTCATGGTCCGACGTCTTGGTACGTGGGGTAGCTCGCGTGGTGGAGGAGAGAGGGTAAGACGGGGCTCACCTGCTCGTCGTGCCGGTCACCTTTTTGCCGGTACTCCGTGCTGAGCACACAACCACCACCCGATGATTCTCGACATAACTCCTGAACGGCTGAGTTAGCTTCTCGTGCGCTCTCTCAACTGCCCCGAGGTGAGAAAATTTGACGGGATGACGAAGGCTCATACCGGACAATATCCTCGGCAATTCTGTCCGGAAACTTGCCGACACTGGTACCCCCGAATTTTTGTACCACCCAGCCGCGATCGCTCTGGTTTTTCAACAGTGGCCGGGCCATCTCCGGTTTGTTACTGAGGGACAGTGGAGGGCTCATCGAAGCTTGATGAGCGGGTGTGACGGGGTTGGAAAGGTAGCGACGTTGGTGAAGGTTGGTTTGATATAGTCAATACGGTGGGTGAGGAATGATGGCTCCCAATGGCTTTCACAAAAAATGTTGAATTGTTTTGTTGTCTCGATATTCGAGGCTTGACAACAACCCGGGAGCGCGAGGGGGAAGGCCACCTTTTAACGACAACTCAGACGCTTCAAGATTGCTCCGGTTCTCGAGTGTCAAGGGGCCTGGTGAAAGGCTCGAGCAAAGCTCGGTCAGAAAAAGATGGGGATATCCTCTTTGGGGAAAGGTCGAATAAAGCGCCTGCGGGATGTGTTGCAAAAAGAGAGTGAATTCGCGGAATGAGTGAGTGGGTGACGGTTCTCGAAGACCAAGCCACTGAGGTCAGGGATGGGGGTGATGCGTGGCTAAAAGAGGTGTGTTCAAGCAGTGTGGGGGGAGAGGCGACGGCTTGGAGAACGGTTGGAGAGTGCGTGACAGGCGTCAAAAGCCTTCATTTCATCCACCCGAGCCCGGCGGCTCGTTTTCGAGTCACCAATGCCCAAACGCCTAATTCGGAGGCAAGGTTTTCCACAACTTGTTCTTCGATGGAACCCCTGTCTGGACGCGGACGAGGTGGGCCATGCGGTGGTGTCGGCAGTGGGCCTTCAGAGGTACTGGGGGGCCGAGGGGGCGCCAACGGTGGAGTGCAGCTGAAACCTGCAAACTGGAAGACATGTTCAGGGTCGTGCAGCATCGACAACATCAAAATGCTACGTTTGGATATTGTCAGCTCGCAGGACGCCGCAAATTTTACTTAATTGAGAGACACACATGTGCACGAGCAGATTTTCTTGAATTTGACCGGTTCGCCTGTTCCATTCACAGAGAGTGCGTCTGGAATTTGTGGATATTCGCTTCGGTTCTCCGGGGCGGCTCCTTCCAAGCGTCCATCGCGGTCACAGCATCAGCAGCAGCGCTCCCAGCGGTGACTCAACCCACTCAAGCCACTTGAGCCACTGGGCAGCACGTCTCCTGGCCCGTGCAGCCCTAGCAGATCTGGAGTTGATCCAGATGGCAGGCAGGGATCGGAGCACCCGGGCATCCACCCGCATCAACACCCGCGCATCCGACAAGCGACAACCAAGCCGTCCCATTGTCCACCGCAACACCCTTTCCGAGCGGGCATTAGTCGGCCGAACCCGAGCCGCAGACGCCGCGCTTTATATATCTGGATCATCCTCTTCCCCGGAACGAAATTGACCACCTTTCCCGGTAAATTCCAAAGGACAGGAAAATTCGCTTCCCATCGGCAAAAGTGCCAAGACGATTCCGATTTCCCCGACCACCCTCCCACCGCCCAAGTGGCCCCCCAAAAAACCCAGTCCACTGCTTCACCGAGCATCCCAGGTCCCCAGCCCACATCCCGGGCGGCTCCCACGCACCCCAAGACAAATGCGGGATATCCTCGCGTGTGCTCATGCCCGGCGCGGGACGACTAGCAAAGAAGAAAAGGCATCTGGGCCCAAGCCACCCGGCCCGAGAGTGGGGATCCGCCGGGCTTCCCGTGCTCCCATGGGAACCGAGACATCGGCCACGCGGGAGGAGTCGTCGCTGCCGAGGGTGGGCGTGGTTGGGACGAGGGTTGCGGACCGGTCTTTCCAAACAAAGCGACCGAGGTCGTGTGAGCATCTGCCGACATGAGGATAGTATGACTTTCGAACCCCCGCGGTCTTTGGAGCGTGCCTTATATTAGGTAACCTTCAACCCGTCGTCTGAGACATTCCTCCCCACGTAGAAGTTCGAAAGGCTGGCTCTCGGTGGGGGGTCGTGTGACCTAATGCATGCTGGCCCTTTTGGGAGTAACATATGAGCGTGTGAAGATCCCGCGTTTACAAACCCAGAGGGGAAGGTGAGGAAGCGAGAGACGGATTTATTTGATGCGAGAACTACCCTGTTATGACCACTCGAGTCTGACGTTGGGGGGAGACGCTTGTTGATGACAGCACCGGCAGTAAGCGCGTATTCGAAGTCATTGTTCGGAATTCCGTTTGGTATTTTACACTAGGCATGAAGACTCGGTAACTAACACCCAGCTTCTTTGGTTACACAAAGCATCGGCGCTGGCGTATAATTCCTAGAGGCCTTATTGTTGCCCCACCGCCTTTCGCCTCGACCCTTTCTCCTGTCTTATTCGAGTGGAGATTTCTTTCACCCTTCGATGGGTAAGTTGTAGCTTGTGTGCAGCACATTCGACAAAATAAACGCAAACCCGCCTTCCCCGCCGTACGCCCGTAATGCAAGTCCATCCGTCATGTCCGAAAGGCTAGGGAACGAGATGGGGGGGCGTGTATCTGACGGGAACCAAAAAAGGGCGTGGCCCCAAAAAAATCGTCGCCGGGCCGTTTCCATGTCGCTAAGACGAACGCCATCCTCCCCCCGCCACTTATGCCCAGCAAAACGCCGTGGCTATTGATTCCAAACCACTTATTTAACGGTCCTTTTTCTCTTTCACCTCTTCGTCATGCGTCTCTTCATGATCCTCCTCGTGATCCTCTTCATGGTCCTCCTCTTCCTCCAACCGGGCCTCAATCTCCTCCACCTCTGTGATCCTAGGGACAGCACTCGACGGTCTTTGCTCAGCGGGAACATCACCCCCGCTCATCTGCCACTCCATCAGCTTGCTGAAAGCACTGTTCTTGTCAGCGCTCAACGCGGTGTAGCTGCCGACCTCGGCAACGGTGCCTTCGCTGGAGAGCACGATGATCTGGTCAGAGCGCTTGATAGTCGACAGGCGATGGGCGATCGAGATTGTGGTGCTGCGGCCAGCGAGCAGCGCGGCCAGGGCCGAGTTGACGAGCGTCTCGGACTCGGCGTCGAGAGCGGAGGTCGCCTCGTCTAGCAGGAGGATATCCGGGTCTTTGAGCAGCGCGCGGGCGATGGCGATGCGCTGCTTTTGGCCGCCTGAGAGCTGCGCACCACGCGCGCCCACCTGGGTCTCGAGGCCGTCGGGGAAGTCGCTGATGAAGCCGCAGTTGGCCTTCTGGGCGGCCGCGATGATCTCGCCACGCGTGGCTGTCGGCTTACCGTACGAAATGTTCTCGGCAATGCTACCAGAGAAGAGGACGGGCTCCTGCGCGACCATTCCGATGCGACGACGGAGAGACTTGACATTCATCTTGGAAATATCGACCCCGTTGATAGTGATGGACCCGACAGTCGGGTTGTAGAAACGTAGCAGAAGAGACGCCACAGTTGACTTGCCGCCACCCGAAGGTCCCACAATGCAGACATTTGCGCCTGAAGGGATCTCGAAATCCAAGCCGTTGAAAATGTTGACGGCCGGTCTGGTAGGGTAGGCGAACGTGACGTTGGAAAACTTGATCGGGCCCTGAGCGGATGTGACCTTGACGCCAACGGTCTGGTGGATTGTGGGCCGGCGGTCCTGGAGCTCAAACAGACGGCTTGCGGCGCCGACTCCCTTCATCAACTCGGAGTAGAAACCGCTGAGCCCAAAGAGACTGGATCCTGCAAAGACGGTGTACATCATGAACGATGTGAGGTCGCCGAGAGACAGGGCTCCGCTGCGGACCAGGTTTCCTCCAACGATCAACATAGCCACGATGGTCATATTTCCGCCCCAGCTCGTGGTTGCAAAGAATGTTCCAGAGAGGAACGCGTCTCTCTTACAGAGCGCAAAGATCTTCCTGACCTGCTTGTTGTAGCGGTGTATTTCCTGAACCTCGCCAGCAAAAGCCTGGCTGGTCTTGACGTTGCCCAGGCGTTCCTCCGCAATCTTGACCATGGATCCCACGTTTTTCTGGATCTGCCTGCTAAGCGTTCGGATACTGCGGCCATATAGGAAAGCGCCGACCGCCATGGGAGGGACCATGACCAAGATGAGGGAAGTCAACTTCGGGCTCATCCAGGCCATCATGACGAACCCAGCTCCGCCGCTGACGAGGGATCGCAGGCCGTCCGACATGTTCTGGGTGATGCTCTTGCCGACAATAACGGTATCGGAGCTCAGCCGCGAGATCAAATCACCGACCCTATTGGCGTCGAAAAACTCAGCGTCTTGGACGTATGTTCGACGGTAAAGCTGGGTACGCAGCCGGGCCACGACGCGCTCGCCAACGATGCGCAGCAGAATAATCCGTCCAAAGTTAGCCGTGGCGCCAATGGTCAATACCGCAGCCAGGCCGAAGAAGAACTGTCGAAGGCTGAGACCAAAGATCTCCACCTCGTCAAACGAGCCCTGGGTGGAGAGATCCATAATCCGGCCGACGGAGAAGGGAATCGACATTGTGACGGCGGACGAGATGAGCAGGAGAAAGAAGGCTGCACCCAGCCAACGAAGCTCCGGTCGCGCAATCTTAACAAGCCGCCAGATCTCGGACGTGCCGGGTTTGCCCCGCGCACCAACGCCTTCTTTAGAGAGCCGCGCGCTCATGTTGATCTGAGCGGCTTTGGCTGCCTTTGCACTTCTCTGGAAACCGTGGGCCTTGAGATGCTGGTCGACATCTTTCTCTTGTGAGTCCTGGGACTCTGAATCCTTCTTGCCAATGCTGGCCGTGTCCTGTTTTGGCACAACCTTTTGCTGGAGGGCCGGGCGTGTCATCGAGAGTTGGCGAATGCTGTTGGCTGGGGACGCCCAGCGGGGTTGGGCCAGGCATTGTCGAGATCCAAGAGGGAGCCGCGCAGCGGTATTAGAGAGGACAGTCGGCGAGGGTGCTGGGGGTATCGAGGGGCCCTTTCGGACACCGAGATCGGAAGAGAACGGTCGGGTCGTCTGTCGGCTCGGGCCGCTGACGGGGAGGATAGGGAAAAACGAGAAAGCGGGCGCCGGCGCAGCAACCGGCATTCCCGCGAAGCCGAAGCCGGCGTTTGCTCCTACGCCGAGGGCGCGTTGGGGGAGCAGCGCGGCGCGGCGCAATGCCACAGCCGCCGCTCCCGAAACCATGGCGATTTAGTTGGTGGGCTGCGTCTTGTCGTTGTCCCAGAGGCCCGGCCGTAGTTCTTCTGCGCGTTATTTCGGGATGCGGGATGGATGGAGGGTTGTCATGTTGCGGTCGCGGGGGTCAGTGAAAATTGCCCAGAGACCTCATTCCTCGTCAATTCGGTCCCGGTGTACGTCGCAGGAAAGGGAGAAGGAGCCTGGGCGCAAAAAAAGAAAAATCACCGGGACGATGATCCATGAGGTTCCGCCGGTGCTTCAAACTTGGCGGGTCCCCTGTGTTCAGCATTTTTCTGGGCGAATCGGGATTCCGTCATGCGCACAGCGCCGAGCCGCAAGCAGCTGTGGGCTGTGGCGACCCCAGGTGAGTTAGCTGCGGGCTGTCGCTTGAGGGGTGGACAGCTGTGAGAGGCCGGTCGTGGGGTCTGTCCCGCTCGGCTTGGCGGCCAAGGCGGCCGGTACCCCTGCTCACTTTCCAGTAACCTCCACCATAGGAGAGAACCGGGCAGAGAAGAAAGGGGAAGGCTAATCCCACATGTGATTCGATGATGGGGCAACAACCTCACAACCTGCATTCCACTGTTCAATAATGAATTGATATTCACGTCAACGCCCATACCCCTACAGTTAAAGCCTGTACATTACGCCAAAACATTGCGGATAGGTACTGAAATACCAACCAGGTTAAAAGCCCAACATGCTTGCAGCTCCTTAGAGATGGCTGGATTAATGATAAGTTGCACTTGTCCATGGCAGCTCTACCCTTGACTATCCTTCCTTAGCATTTCCTGGACGTCGGCGTCGATGCCGTCATCTGCTCCCAAATCAGGGATCTCCCCAGATGAGTCGATCTTGCGCTTTTTGTTCCCGTTCAATGGCACAGCTTGGTAGTGCGAGGCCAGGTTGGAGAGCATCTCGAGATCCGGGGCTGAGGCGGTCGTGGGTGCATTGTGGATTGGAACTCCTTGGCCATTCTGTGCCACAGGACCGGTAGACGAGGATCCATAAAAGTCGTCACCGTGATCCTGGACGTGAGGGGGTGTGAGAGCCTCGACCTGCGGGCGGTCGGGTTCGGGGACGGGACTTGCAGAGTTGTGACCCTGGGGTGAGATCTCTTCAGTTGTTGATAGACCGCCAATGATGGCTGTCTCCACGGCCTGTCTCTTCTGCTCAACTTCCGTCCGCCGTCCGCTCAGCGTCATCATCTGCTTCTCGTCGGCATCAAGTGCCTCGCGAGTTGTGGTGACGATCTTCTCAAGTTCTTTGAGAAGATCCTTCCTTGCCCGGATGCATTGCGTGACCGCTCCTTCAGCATTGGCCAACGTCTTCAATAGCCCGCTAAGCCGCGCAGCTTGGACAGGAAGTGGGGTATCGGTGGTTGTCGAATCGATCAGTTTATCGTAGTCAGTGTTGGCACTGTTCAATGAGCTCTTGGTGGATTGAGTGGCTTTGGAGATGGCTTGTTGAGGCGCCACCAAAGTAGCTAGCTCTGAGGGGATAGAGGGCCCTGTGGAGGTAAATGCATGCCCCCCAAACCCGGCCACATTGGCGGTTGGACGTGATTTATCGATTTCTAAGAGGCTGTCAGGACCAGGACTATGAGGGTATGTTGCAAAAGTGGCTTGCAAGGGGGGCAAGGGAAGACAAGACAACAAAGGAGGAAACAAAAAAAAGGGAGCCACTCACCTGCCAGTCTGTTATTTAAATCTTCCAAGACTTCTTTTCCGAAGATGTTCCGCTCCCTCCACACATCCACGACCCTCCGCAATTTTCCTTGGACATCAACCGAAGCACCCTTGTATGCAACGGAGGTGGCATCCGCGATGAAGGGGGAAAAGGCCTGCAGAAAATCTTCCTTGTGGCGAGCTTTAGACTGCTGAGTGACTTCTGTTGAGGAAGTTAGTTCTGTTGAAACCTATTTTATGATAGTAGAGACAGACCATTGGCAAGATAAATCATGTTCAGCCTTTTGGAGCTTGGAAGGTCCTTCAGCTTGGTCAGCCAGAGGTGGACCGTTTGGGATGCATGTCGTCTACATTATTGTGGTTAGTTGCAGGTAAACGCCTTTGGGGACCTGCATCGCAGGAACTCATACCGATGAAACATAATCCATTGCGCTGTGGTGGCAATGCTTTCATGGCTCTCGTTCAGCGCCGACAGCTTGGAAAGCACCGCATCATCCGTGTAGGCCATTGCAAACGACAGACCGCAACCGAAAACGGAAAACTAGGGTAGAATAGGCCCGAGGCAAAATTACCCACGGACAACGAATGGTGGGTTGGTCGCGGTTGGTTTAAAACAGATATTCGCAGTGTTGGTGTGGCCGAGACCGACCGTTCAGTGTTGCGGCCCCCCAATTAGGAGGTCATTCAACTACGATCCTAGGCGCGATGTGTTGACAGGGACGAGCGACAGCTCAGTCGACTTCTGTTTTGCAATCTCAATGTCCGCAAGGAGGCCCCATCCAAACCAAGCCAGCACAATGGTATTCACAGAGCCTTCTTGCTTCTAGATTGCATATGCAGTTTGGAAACCAGAATGGGGAAGACGCAATGGAGCGATGTCTGGTAGGGTTTGTTTGGAAATGGTGGAAAACGGAAGGGTTGGAATGGGAACAGGAACATTGGATTTCGAGCTTGTTGCCAGTGGGCAACGTTTTAGCTCCAATTGTTACGGTTAGTTCAATATACGCGGACGTAAACCCGCTACTGAGATATTGTGACCCCTGCTCTGGACACCCTAGTCGTCCAGGGGGCTAGAGGCACCCAGCGAGCCAGCCCAGCGACCTGGCGCAACCAAAAGCACCTTCCTGAATTCCTGAATTTGCACACATCGACATCCGCACATACCTCACCTACCTCTGCATTTTTGTGCTCCAGCAGTTTCTTCGTGGCTATCGTCGTTCCAGATCCCGGTCGTCAAAATGGCTGACCGATTTCCCTCGCTGGAGGACTTCGACTCTGGTGGTAAGTCCACGCGGCTTTGCGGTTTAGTGGTCGGCTTCTGACCTCTCCGACCCGCACACAGCTCAGACCGACGTCAAGGACACAGATAACGCGGCATCCACGAGCAACTTTCTAGAACGTGAGAAGGCAGTTCTTGGCGATGACGCGCATCAATTTGCGACTGTCGAGGATGCCGGTTTCGACGAGGGTGACGACGACCTGCTAGGAGGGGGCGAAGGCGTCGCCTCGCCCGGTAACAATGCTGCGTTCGAGAGCCAGTTCCCGGATATCACCAGCACTAATGAGGTATGCCAATGCCATTCGAATTATACTTGGGCAGCGACAGCGTAATGATACTGACGATTACGAACTACAGGGGGTTGCGCCTGGCGGTACCATCACCGGCCCCTCGGTCAGCTACAACTCCGGCTACCAACCGTACACCGAAGAGGAGGAAGAGCCCCAGGTCATCAAGGATTGGCGTGAGAAGCGGGACGCCCAGATCGCGAAGCGCGCCGAGCAGTTCGCCCAACAGCGTGAGGAGACAGTCAAGGAAGCTCAACAGAACATCGACGACTTTTATGAGAACTACAACAACAAAAAGGAGAAGACCGTTGCCCAGACCCGGAAGGAGGCCGAACAGTTCCTGGCCAGTCGCGAAGACACCACCTCTGGCGGTACAAGCTGGGAACGCATTTCTAAACTGGTAGATGTTAGTGGCAAGGGTACCAAGGGCGGCTCGGCAGGTTCGGGCAAGGAGCGTTTCCGTGAGCTACTGGTGAGCCTACGGAAGGATGAGAAGGCGCCTGGCGCCGTGGGATATTAGACAAACGCGCTGCGTAATGATAGGTGGGGACGTAGGGAGAAGGATGAGGGGCGATACGCTCTCTGTCTGAACTGTTCCTGCCACTGATAATGACTTGGGCAAATCACCAAAAGAAGCTGAAATGTACTTTTAGAAGGTGGCCTGTTGGGCTGCAGGCGGGAGCTCGGCTATTTGTTCGACGGTACAGGCGCAAGAGAGGGAGGGACGATCACGATTTGCATGCAATACTTGCCACGAGTTACTTGGCACTTGCAGCAGTGCGCATAAAAAAAGAAGGCACTTATGACGCGGTTTCAATATTTGCCGAACGGCAGTACCGCCGACTAGCCCCTAGCCTCTAGCCCCCATTTCTAATTCTCTCTGCGCGCCTGGATATACAAGGTAACCCGTGTCCTCCCCAATCACCGCGTAATACTTCGGACTTAGTCGCTGAACCAAGTGTTCTTTCCGTAGATTTTGCGGCCCATGCCGTACATGGAAGCTGTATCGCATCGTACATGTATTAGTTCATCACTCTTCGGAATCAAATAGCAGAGATCAAAATCTTACCAGCGAAGCCCCCCCACAAGATGAGCTGATACGGATACCACAGGTATTTGCTGCGGGGGTTCTGTTGTCATGCGTGGTCTTGTCAGCCAACAACTGTACCAGCCAACTATATTGCCTCCATGGTTCCCTCCCCCGGTCCCATCGTCTGTAGATGCCTTTCGCACCCTTCCCCCAACTCTGCCCTGCGTCGGCTCCAACAACGGCCACTCTCAAGCCCTCCTAGCCCTATTCTGCCGTCGGTTTCCGATAAGCGAGGGAGCGACTCACGATCATCCAAAGGCGTGTGTGCGCCCGGTAGGCCGCCTGGTATTGGCGCTGGAACTGGGGCACCTTGTTCGGGCGGTTGACGAGACTATTCAAAGGTTAGCGCTCCAGCCTGACTTTCCCTTGGCGATAGCAGAGACGCAGATGTGCACTGCAAATGCCATGTCCCCTCCTCTGCTACCAATTGAACCTGCGGGTGTGACTGAGGGGTCGCCAATTGAGGGTGGGTGGTGGGAGCGGGCGGATGGTGATTGCTCGGGTATCGTTACCTACCCCATTTTGATTTAATGAAGCTGTTCGCGATCGGGGGAAGCTTTTGCTGGTCGCGGGGAAGACGAGGGTGGTGACGGAGTGCTTCTGTTGCAAGCTCTATTACCGCGGTGTTTCGATGATGGGGTTGCTTGTCGAGCTCTGGGCGAGAGTGGTCAATGCTCAGGGTTACTCCTAACCCTGAATCCTCGGCCCAAAAAACCGCAGTTTTAACCCTGAAGGTCGATCAACTAAACCACGGGAGCAATCCTCGGGACCACGGGACAAGAGAAAAATAGAATTAAAATTTACAGCGCGCGAGCTACGCATTGAAAATTGTATGAGGTTTCAAAAACCCTGTACCAACCATAGACTTAAATCTCGACCGGTATGAGGATGAGGATATCGTACATTGAAAGAAACCTTAAAACAAGTGCAAATGTCATTCCGCCCGCCCGTACAAGACCTTTCAAGACCCCAACCCTCTCTATTACACCATATTTCATACATACGTCCCAGACCTAATTACCGCGCCGAGGTAACGCGAGCCGCCGAGAAGGAGATTATGGCATTGACCCCTACTTTGAAGTTTCCTTCGCATCAGTGCTCGTCCTCCTCCACCACCTGGTGTTGTTTCTTCGGCTTGATGATGAGCAATATAATCATGCCGGCGATGATTAGCAACAGCAGAAAGATAATCTTCCGTTTGGTTGTCTTCTTCTGATAGGTCTCTGCCGTTTTCAATTCTTTATCGGCTTCCTTCACATCAGCTGCCATGGACTCCACATTGTAATCGATCCGGTCCAGCATGGTCCCCTGGTCAATGACCATCGTCTGGAGGTCGCGAAAAAGATCTGCAAGTTCAATGACACCGCGCGCAATTTCCTCGATTTCCTTTTCGCGTTGGGCAATGACGGAATCGTTTGAACCGAGCAGTTTTTGGTGGGCAGGCGCTTGTAGGGTTGATTGTGAATATGTCTTGTCCGCGTCAGACTCGAACATCGATGGGTCGCTGTAGTTGCCATCCGGCGGTAGGGGGGTCGAGGAGCGTTCGAGTGGACTGGCAAGGCCTGCCATACCCTTGAGTTCTAGGCAACGTCAGTATCCTGTGAAGCTAGAGACGCTCTGGGTTGGCATACTTTTCAAATATGCGCTCTGCTTCTTCCGGAACCCGGCACTAGCCTCCTGGATTCTCGTGGCGAGGTTGACCTGAATGTTTTTTGCCATCGTTTCGTCTGCACGACTCATCTGGCCGCTCGCCTTCCCTTCCCGTACCATCTGCTCAATCCGTTGTATGCATTGCCGGCATTGGTGAAACCCGCGCGTGATGTCTTGAGTCAACCGTTCGATCTCCCCTTCCTCCGCCTTTTTAGTCTCTTCGTCGTTGAACCCGGGTAAGACGTGCTTCTGATGCAGTCGTTCTAACTTCTGGCTTTTGCTCGCGATCTCTGCCAGCAGCTCTGTAACTTCGTCCGAAACATCGGCCCAGCGTGGTGGGAGCAAGTCCATCTCGATTACCGCGTCACCATCGTCCACGTCGTATGCGCCCGAGGATAGGAGGCCCCGTCGGTCGTCGTCGGCCGCATACAAACCACCGGCGCTCGCGGCATTGCCGCCGAAGCGGTCGGCCACGCTTGATGGCCCATACCGGTTGCGCTGGGTTGGGTGATGGGCGTAGGACTGTCGATACGAGATATAGCTGCGTTGAAGGTGTTAGAAGTGCACCTGGAGAAAGCGCGCCAGGACAGGAGCTCGTACAGATTCGTGCGGTCTCGCCACATGGCGGACGCTGGAAGAGGGTTCAGGCCCCCCTCAGTCCGTCCACCAAGCTGAAGGGAAGGGAGCTGGGCCGTCTAGTGTGTGTTGGCAAGGGCCTGGCGGAAGCGGCATTACATCGTAAATCGTTACAGCTACGTGCCGGCGGCAGTTTGCAGCTCAGAGGTACGCTGACACCTAGTTTTGGGGGAGCTGATGAAAGGCGATGACGAAGCAGACAGGTTCGCCAATTGCTGGAGGTCGACCGAGACCACGACGGAAACGGTCTGGCAGCTGTGGACAGCCGTAGCGTGGGTGCGAGTTTCAAGTGTGGGTCGGGACAATTGAGTGCCTTGGCTTGGCACTCTGGGATCTGCGCGCTGCGCAAGCTGACCGTGAGGTCCCCTGCAACAGCCTTGAGGAGTGTGCCCCGCATCTCCTTGAAATCTCCAGGTTGCTTCTCCGTCATTTAAACACTACAACCCAGTTCAGCAACACCGCTGCCCAACAGATACCTTTGACCTTCTGCCAAGATTCGCAGCAGGTCCGCAATCGAATACTCTCTTTACCAGAACACAAGTATCACACTGCCAACATGGTCGGTTCACTCGAAGCTTTATCCATTATCGGGGTTGCCCCGCGTCGAAGGGGACTCGATCAGGCTGCGTCCCATCCAGACATGGCGAGCTGACGTTGTTTTTGGTAACAGGCGGATTCCCTCACTGAAGAGCAGGTCTCTGAGTTTAAGGAGGCTTTCTCCCTCTTTGTATGTTTGGTCACCCCCAGCTTGATTGTATGAACCCGCCCAACTAACCTAAAAATAACAGGACAAAGACGGTGATGGTTAGTGTTCCGGCCCCCTTCCTACCTCCGACCCCGCCCGACCCGCCGCAAGGCTCGCCTCGCTCTCGGCGCCGGCATACAATGCTGTTCATGCGCAATATATAAAGAGGCTAACGGTATTCAGGTCAAATCACGACCAAGGAGCTCGGCACCGTCATGCGTTCGCTCGGCCAGAACCCTTCCGAGTCAGAACTGCAGGACATGATCAACGAAGTTGACGCCGACAACAACGGTACCATCGACTTTCCAGGTACGCGCACATTTTGTCACAAAGATGCGGGGCCGCAATGGGACGCTGACACAAACTAGAGTTTCTTACTATGATGGCGAGAAAGATGAAGGATACCGACTCTGAGGAAGAGATTCGCGAGGCGTTCAAGGTATGCCACAAATATCTGAGGACTCGAGGCTGTTCTAACCAGTCGGGTTGCAGGTTTTCGACCGTGACAACAATGGCTTCATCTCAGCTGCTGAGCTGCGTCACGTCATGACCTCGATTGGCGAGAAGCTCACTGACGACGAGGTCGATGAGATGATCCGCGAGGCCGATCAGGATGGTGATGGACGTATTGATTGTAAGTTTGCCCCGGTCAGATGAATTCAAGGCCAGCAACTGACGAATTCTATTTAGACAACGAGTTTGTGCAGCTCATGATGCAGAAGTAATTTCTTTACCCATAAACCAACAAAACAGTGCTCATCACCCGACGACGGTTATTGCACTCTCTCTTTCGGATTTGTCTCCTGCTTTGTTCTGGATTGGGTCTTAGGTAGCCCGAGCAGCCATTTGCTGGATTTGATATCGAAGCGCATGATTTCCCCCCTTTCCTAAGGCCAAACATGTAGAGTGCATACTCGGTGAATGGGTTGCCAGAGGGAATCTCGGCAGATTTGACACAAACCGGATTTCAGTGCAACCAAAACCTCCACTATGATGTTGATTAAATAAATCCACCTGCGCCGAGGTGATGGTGACCCTTATGCAGCCCTATAGGGTTGACCGCCGCTTGGCTGCTTGTGGTTGACGCATGCACACAGCCCCCTTCATGTCACCTCGACGCTTTCAAGCCCCAGCACGGGTATGTCGAGTAGCGGAGGGGAATGGGCTAGAACGTGCGCTATCCAGGCGGCGGCTCCCCCAAAGGTCGTGAAAGAGGAGATTGGAGAATTGACTCGATTGGACCTTTTTCACGAAGCCTTTCCTCTTTAAGAAGATGGCCACCGGTGGACATATCGAGAATGTTAAGATTCCTGAGAAGAGTCGACTCGACTTCCGAGATTTAGGTTTGTTATGCTGGGTCCTGATATGAATTGTTCATCTTTTTCAAAATTGGATTAAACTCAGTGGGCTCGCAAGGCATGATCAAAGGAGCAAGCAATGGCACAATTCGGCCCGTAGTAAGAATCGGAAAGAGGGGATAGCGCAGAGGAAAAATAGGTGCGTGGTTGCTCTGGTTTGGGACGGGCGATCCTTCGAGGGTTAGGGTTATTCGAGATCACACAGATCTTGTTGCCTCAGGACCCAAGCAGTGCTACTTTGGCGTACCAGCCAGCCAAGTCCTGGAGCCAAGCAGGCGGTCTCGGCCGCCATTCAGGAGCAACCACCGCGCCACATCGCAGCCGTAGTCTCAGGGTCCATGGTGCAGGTTGAGATTACCGGTTTGATTTGTTCACCCAGCACAGCTTCGTCGACAATCACCCACAACCTTGGGAATACCCAGCCTCTACGCCCCATAGAGGGCCCGACGCATTCACCATGAGCTCCCGTGAGTCTCGCCGCCTTTGCCTTACAAGGCGGAATGTCCCTTTGAACAAGACAGACAGCTAACCTCCCCGCTACCCCACAGTCAAGCAGTTCATCCGCAACGTGCGTGCCGCGAAGACCATAGCCGATGAGCGAGCTGTTATCCAAAAGGAAAGCGCATCGATTCGCGCCAGTTTCCGGGAGGAGAGCGCAGACCACAGCGTCAGGTACTCAACAACCCACGAAGCTCCTCCTTTACCCGGGATATATGATTGCAGGTGCTGATCACAACATATTGGGGCAGGCGGAACAATGTTGCAAAACTCCTCTATCTCTTTACGCTCGGTGAGCGGACACATTTCGGTCAGATCGAGTGCCTCAAGTTGCTTGCTTCTCCCCGCTTCGCCGATAAGCGGCTAGGACATCTTGCCACGAGCTTGCTTCTTGACGAAAACCAAGAGGTCCTGACTCTCGTGACCAACTCACTCAAAAAGTGCGGAAATACATCCACATATGATGAAGCAATGCCTATGCTTGTGTGGGGAGGGCTTTGCTAATCTGGGCGCGCTTAGTGATTTATCACACTCGAACCAATACGTCGTCGGCCTCGCCCTTTGCACCCTCGGCAACATCGCTTCCATCGAAATGTCGAGAGATCTGTTCCCCGAGATCGAGAACCTCGTGTCCACCGCGAACCCTTACATTCGACGGAAGGCTGCTTTATGTGCCATGCGGATATGCAGGAAGGTCCCAGACCTGCAGGAGCATTTCATCGATAAGGCGTCACAATTGCTGTCGGACAGGAACCATGGCGTACTGCTGTGCGGGCTCACCCTAGTCACCAGCCTGTGCGAGGCCGAAGAGCTCGAAGGTGGGGAAGACGGCATTATTGAGAAATTCAAGCAATTCGTCCCCGTCCTCGTAAGGACATTAAAGGGGCTGGCGTCGTCTGGTTATGCCCCGGAGCACGACGTCACCGGCATCACAGATCCATTTGTACAGGTCAAACTTCTACGGCTGCTCCGGGTTCTAGCGCTTGGCGACGCCCAAGTCACGGAACAGATCAATGATATCCTGGCCCAGGTTGCGACCAATACCGACTCGTCCAAGAACGTTGGCAACTCGATTCTCTACGAGGCCGTGCGGACCATCCTGGATATTGAGGCGGACTCGGGCCTGCGCGTTCTTGGTGTCAATATCCTTGGCAAGTTTCTGACCAACAAGGATAACAACATCCGCTACGTTGCCTTGAACACCCTGGTCAAGGTCGTGGCTATCGACACCAATGCCGTACAAAGACACCGAAATACGATTTTGGAGTGTCTGAGGGACCCGGATATTAGCATCAGGCGTCGAGCCCTGGACCTTAGCTTTACCCTCATCAACGAGAGTAATGTGCGGGTGCTCATCCGGGAGCTGCTTGCCTTCCTCGAGGTGGCCGATAACGAATTCAAGCCGACCATGACCAGCCAGATTGGCATTGCTGCGGATCGGTATGCCCCGAACAAGCGGTGGCACTTTGACACCATGCTGCGCGTCGTCACGTTAGCCGGTAATTACGTCAAGGAGCCGATTCTCTCATCCTTCGTCCGTCTCATCGCTACCACCACCGAACTTCAAACATATGCTGTGCAAAAGCTCTACGCAAACCTCAAGAAGGATATCACTCAGGAGAGTCTGACACAAGCAGGCGCCTGGTGCATCGGCGAGTATGGCGAGGCCCTTCTTCGGGGCGGTCAATATGAAGAGGAGGAACTGGTCACGGAGGTAAAGGAGCACGAGGTTGTTGACCTATTTTCGACGATCCTGAACAGTAACTACGCCAGCCAAGTCACGACCGAGTACCTCATCACAGCACTGGTGAAACTTACAACGAGGTTATCGGATGCTGCCCAGGTCGAGAGGATACGTCGCATCCTCCAAAACCAGCAGACAAGCTTGGACGTGGAAGTTCAGCAACGTGCCGTCGAGTTTGGTAACCTGTTCTCGCACGACCAGATCCGCCGGGGCGTACTAGAGAAGATGCCGCCGCCTCAGATCAAGGAAGAGTCGCGTGTGTTGGGTGAGGCGGCTAAGAAGACTACCAAGGCAGCAAACCGCAAGTCCAAAGCGGTCAAGCCAAAGGAGGAGGACCTTCTCTTCGACCTCATGGGCGACAGTAGCGGGCCAGCGCCAGCACCGACAAATGGGGCAGGGAACGCCGATTTGCTGGCCGATATCCTCGGCGGCAGCTCCACCTCACCCGGTCCCGCGGCCGGCGCACCGCCTCCCGGCCAATCCAACGTAGCATCCATCATGGACCTGTTTTCCCAGGGACCCGTTTCTACACCATCACCGGCCCAGAGCGCACCCGCCTCGCACCCACCGTCAAGCGCCGATCTCTTTTCCACAGCAGCCTCGCCTCCTCCCCAAGCAGCCCCCGCTGCCGCTGCCGCTCCCGCGCCCGCGGGCCATCCCGTCTACGACACCAATGGCCTGAACATCACGATCCAAACGCAAAGAAACGCCGAAGGCACGATCCAAGCCACGGCCCGATTCCGTAACTCGTCGCCCGCGGGCGGGCTGTCTAACGTCGGACTCCAGGCGGCCGTGCCCAAGACGCAGAAGCTGCAGTTGTTGAGCATTTCGTCAACCGATATTGGGCAAGGGGCTGAGGCCACGCAGTTGATGAGGGTTGCTGGGTGCAAAGGGGTGAGTTTTCCGCTGATTTAACATTTCTATTTACCGCGGGCGTAACTGTTTTGCGCATAACGAAGGGCTTGCTAACTTTTGTGTGTGATATAGCCTCTGCGATTACGTCTCAGGATAGGGTATTCGCACCCGACGGCTGGACAGGTGATGGATGTGGTCAACTGGACGGAGCCGTCGTGATTAATATAAATTCTCTAGGGCGGTGATGAATGGTCTGATGGGGTCAATGGAGGGGATGGGTTTTGTGTAGCTCGGTGGTGATACAAAAGCCAGAAACTATCCAGGCATCGGACTCGGTCTTGGTGTGAGTGTTGCATGGGCTTTTTGTGCCAGTGACACGTTGGAACATGGCGGCCCTAAGATCAAAAATTGCGAAACGGGTTGATTCATGAGGGCATTATCCGGTGTTGAAAATAAAGCTGATTTTGTGTCTGCTTGAATTTTTGCTGCCGTCTTGACTTGTCATTCATATCTATGCCCCAACCCTTAGGCATGAGAGAAGTGGGGCATATGCACTAACAATTTCCAACCTGCATTGAGAGTTATTCTGTTACTGCAAGACTTTTCATCATGTTCCCTGCAACATCCATTTTGATAACCTTGAATCTTCAACCTTGCGCATCATCAATTCACCGCGGTCGACAGGAATTACACCCAACCCTGCGATCAATTAATCGCACTAAGATCGGCAATCCAGTTTTTTACAAACCCCACACTCCTTAAGGACAACATTCCGGTTTTACAGCCTTCCAGTCTTCCCATCTCACAAATGCCATCGTCGTCGTCGGTCAAGCGAAAGATGCCAGCGGCTGGTCTGCTGCAGCGGCGGGTCCGGCCACGGTTTGAGCCAGAGCCGGAGTCGGACATGGAAAGTGATGATGATGATGATGTGAGCGAAGAAGAGGCTGCCGGGTCATTTGGGTCGGATGATGGGGATGATGGGCCGAGTGAGGAGGATGCGGGGAGCGAGGGTGATGGGGTGAGTTGAGATTTTTTTCGGAAGAGGTAAGAGGGTATTTGCTAAATGAAGACGTATTTAGGATGATTCGGAGGTGGGATCTGATTTAGATGGAGAAGAGGACTCTGACGGGCAAGACGATGAGGCACCACACATCGATGCCTCGCAAATCTCCTTCGGGGCCCTAGCCAAAGCCCAATCCACAATGGGCCCATCATCAAAAAAGCGGCGCGGTCATGATAACAGCGGCGACGAGTCGGAGGAGGAGGAAGAGGACGACAAAAAGGACGACGGGTACGGCCACCCAACGAACCTGACGTCCACAAAACGCCCCGAGAAACGCTCCAACAAGCACGCGCCCGTGGAGCTGACCAGCAAAAAGCCCGTCTCCCGCAAACGGGACTTCTTGACGACGAGCACCGCCGAGACCAAACGAGCTGCAGCGCGCGACCCACGGTTCATGCCGCTGGGGGGTCCAAGAGCAGCAGCAGGCGCAGGAGCCGCAGCAGGTAGCGGCGGCGACAAGATCGAGGAGATCAAAGCGCGCAAAGCGTACGCCTTTCTAGACGACTACCGCGCTTCGGAAATGCAAGAGCTGCGAATGACAATCAAAAAGACCAAGGACCCACGGCAGCGCGCCCGGCTGGAGAAGGAGCTGATGGTGATGGAGAGCCGGCAGCGGGCGCAGGCGCGCAAGGACCGGGAGCAGGCGGTGTTGGAGGCGCATCGGAAGCAGGAGAAGGAGTTGGTGAAGCAGGGCAAGACGCCGTTTTATCTGAAGCGGGCGGAGCAGAAGAAGAGGGTGCTGGTGGAGCAGTTCCAGGGGTTGAAGAAGGGCCAGGTGGATAAGGCGATTGAGAGGAGGAGGAAGAAGGTGGCTGGGCGGGAGAAGAAGATGTTGCCGATGGTGAGGAGGGGGGCGGAGGATAGGTAGTGTTGGAATGAGTGGTTTGGTGGTCGGGCTGTAAGTGCAAACGGTGTTTAAAACCCCAGGATATACGTAATGCTATTCTATGGTGTGTGTAATGCCATACATCGATTTACAAGAGATTACTCGATCTCATACACCCATTTCTTGTTGTATTTTCCTTATCATCTCCCCTCCTACAACTCATCCGCAAACCCATTCCTAGTCAACGCATCCTCAAACAACGCCCGACACCTCACCCTGCTCCCAAGCCGAGCACACAGCAAAAAGGCACCGCTCAGTTTCCGGTGCAGACTGTACGTCTCCTCAGGCGGCGGGGCCAGACGCTCGTGGATCATGACAGGGATTTGGGCCTTGACGCGCTCGGTGATGGTCTGGTCGCGGAAATCGTACACCTCGTCAGACGCTGCTGTCCTCAGAAACGGCTCGGCGATCGTGATGACACTGGTGATGTGGGCGTCCAGCATGGCGCGGCTCTCGTGGCCGGTCAGGTAGCCGAGCTGTTGGCTGAGTGTCTTGACGCGGTCGCGGTCGGCGCGGGAAGCGGCCGCGAGCAGGCGCACATAGGGATCGATGAAGTCCGCCGGGTATTCGCGGGAGGCGCCAAAGTCGAGCAGCTCGAGGCGGGATGTGGTCGGGTTGTAGAGGAAGTTGGTCCAGTTGGGGTCGGTCTGCATGAAGTGGAATTCGGTGATCTCGCGCAGGCAGAGGCGCAGGATGTGCGTGCCGATCCAGTCGCGCTGGGCTTGGGTGAAGGAGGCGATGCGGGTCACGGCTGTGCCGGCCATGAACTCCATTGTTAGGACGTGCTTGCCGCTGGCTTCGGGGTAGATTCGGGGGACTGAGAAGACGTCGTTTTCCTCGTTTGTCTCCGACGAAGCTAAAAGCTGGCGGTAGCGCTCGGCGCACTCAGCCTCGCGCGTGTAGTCGCACTCCCAGGCGAGCTCGGTGCGCGCGTTGTCAATGGTCTTGTTGAGGTACAGCCCCTTGGGCAGCAGCTTAGTAGCCGCCAGGAGCACGGCGAGGTTGTCAAGGTCCGAGTTGATCGAGTCAGCCACGCCAGGGAACTGGATCTTGACAGCAACACGCTGGCCGTCCGCCTTGAGCGTCGCGCGATGGACCTGTCCGATCGAGGCCGCAGCGATGGGCTTGTCATCAAACTCGTCAAACAGCTCGCGCCAGTCGGTGCCCAGGTTGGCCGCCAGCACGCGGTCACGCTGCCAGCCTGGCATGTAGTCGGCGCGGTCCTGCACGCGCTGCAGCACCTCCTGGATCGGCGCCGGCAGCATCTTGGCGTCCTGGAAGCTCATCATCTGGCCCATTTTGAGCGCCGCGCCGCGCATGCGCGAGAGCTTGGCCACCAGCCGCTCCATGTTGCCGGCGCTAAGCATCACCGAGCCCGTGCCGCTGCCGCCGCCGACTACCCGGCTGAGACCCTCGCCGATGGCGCCGGCGAACATGCCTGCGGCGAGACCGCCGTAGTTCCAGAGTCGGCCGATGCGCGTGGATGGGACGGCGGACTCGCGGAGCTGGTGAACGTGGGCGGTTGTTGATGCGAGGGGGTTAGGCGTGGCTAGATTGGCGACGATGCTGGCGTCTTCGTTGGAGAGTGGTGTCTCTGCTGTAGTATCTGGGGCTGAGGTGGTCTGGGCCTTTGGAATATCTCCTGGGTCTTCCATGACAGCCTCTGTGGGTTCTATCGAAGGGTTACTCTGAGTCTCGTCCACTGCCTTCTCCGTCGTGACACTGTCCAGTATTGTCGAGGCCCCTAATTGCGATTGTACTGCATCACCCCCCTTCTCCCCGTCCCCCCTTACTTTTCCAAGCACCTCTTCCGTCTTCTTCCCCCCCTCCTCCATCTCCTTCACCGCGTCCAAGATCTCCGATCCCGATCCCGACTTTGATCCCGACCCTATCTCATCCTCTCCCTGCCCCTGGAACTGACTTAAATCAATCCCCGGTAGCCCCCCGCCCAGCTTTTTCGATAATTGTGGCGGTCGTCGGGGCGGTACAAATCCTTGTTTTAATAGAGCAATTCCTCCTTTCGCCCATGGTGCCGGTTTGAACGGGGCTAGTTTCTCCGTTGAGACTGTGTTGTTGCTCCTGTTCTCTGGGAGGGTGTCACTCCTTGGGCCATCCCAAGCTTGGTTCTCTGTTGTTGTTGGTGTTGCTTTGCTAGGGGTCACCTCACTCGTTGGCCCAACGGGTGTTGCGACAGGCGCGTCGTGGACTTGTATCCCCGAGTCCGACACATCCTGGGTACTACTCCCCGTGGTCCTATCTGGCGATGTTTGTGTTGGCTGGGGTCCCGATTCCTGGGGGTGTGATGGTGGTGCTCCCGATGGTTCTGATGGTGCCTTTGGAGGTGGTGGTGATGGTGGCTGTCCCCTCAAAACACTCGACCCCTGGCGATATCGCTCTGCCTGCCTCGCCCGGAGCGCCACATGTTTCCCGGCCACGGCACGCGACGCGCTCGCGACGGCGGCCAGGTCGACGAGGAGGTCCCCGAGACGCATCGCGATGTGTTTCTTGTTTTTTTTTTTTTCCCTCCCGCTTCTTCCTCTCCTTTTTTCCCCCTTCCCCCTTTAGTTACTCCCTCTTTATTTGAACGCCGAGGAAAAGAGAGAAAAGAAGATAAGAAAAACGACAAGGGTTGATGTACGCCGGATGTGTTACTCGTACCAAATGAGATCCATCACAGTCTCCGAGTCCGCAATTCGGGTGAGATGAAATCCGGATGAAGCCGGGTGGGCCGGGGATGCCGCAAGCTGCCCGTGGCTCGGCGCGCTGTTGCGGTGAAAACCGCAAAATTTTGAGCAGCTCGTCCCCTGTCAAATGGATGTCTGGGCCCCTGCTAGCGCCGGGAGTGACCCGGGCTGGCGGGTCGACACAGGGCTGATCTCAGTGGGGCCTGCAGGTGAGTGTCTCTGGTCATCCCATGCATCACAGTACACTAAAAGTTCCAATAAGAGAGCGTCTGTTGAATACGGTGAATTCATATACTGAACCATTTCTAGTTTCGCTCTCTTTTCACCATCTATCCGTGTCAATCAAACTTGGGTATCAAATAAGAAGCATCCCTTTCCATCCACCTGCGTAATTCCCCGTGTGGTGTACAATCCTACTTAGCAGCATTTCTCAACCGCGAACCCTTCCTCGGCGTAGCCTTGGGCGTAAACTTCACAGAATCACCAAACGGCGAAGCAGCCCCTTTCCCTCCCTCAGACCCCCCAATTCTGCCCCATAACCTCTGCGCCGCAGGCGTCAACGACCCGCCCGACACCCTCGGGCTGCTGGGGAACTTCGGCACAGGACCGCGCTCCACATTCCCCGTGAATCCCAGCCTCGCCGAAGTCCGCTTCGACTGAGAGATCTTGTCCACCATGCGGTGGTGCAATGCCTCGCGCTTCCGCTGTTCTTGGAACTGAAACGGATTCGGCGTGGCGTCGCCTGGACCGAGATCAATCAGCGCCGGCTCTTTGTCTTTCTTCCCCCGTTCTGGTTCCGGCTCCGGCTCTTCATCGTCTACAAACGCGTACCCGTTCACTCGCGGTGTTTCTCCACCCCCACCACCCATAATACTCGTCTCAGTATCGCACGCCCGCCTGTTACCGGCAATTGCGTTGCGCACCTCAGACAACGTCGGTGACCCCGCCCTCGACCTGTCCTCCCTACCACCGGCGGCGGTTGTTGTTTCCCGCGCAGTCTGTGAAGAAGGAACCCGCGTGTTCTCGTAGACAATCCGCTTCTGCCCGGCCCGGCTCTCCGCCTGCGCCCGCTCGGCCACCGTCTCCACCAGGTCGTCCACGCCATCCGGGATAAACATCAGCTCGTTATTCGGCTTCGCGCGGTTCCAGTGGTCTGGCGCGGCGGGGCGGCCGGCGGCGTTTTTGTCGAGGATTGCGAGGCGGTCTCGCGTGAAGCCGTCGTCGTGTAGGGCGCCGGAGCCGCGCTGGGCGAGCAGTTTGGCTTCGACTTCTTTTTGTTTGATTTGTTGTTTAGACGGTAGTTTGTTGCCGGTCCAGAGCCAGGCGTATTTTTCGACGCGTTTTCGGTTCTGTCGGTCGAGGAGCTTGTAGAAGGACTCGTTGTCTTCGGAGGTGTATTTGGATTGGAACGCGGCGAGGGAAACGCTGGTGTCGATCGCGGGGTTCGGGTTTTGTGACGGTGCCGTCGTGCTGGTGGTGGAAATCACCGTGGCGGGCGTGTCGCCGACAAAGTTGAGCGGCGTGCGACCGCCTGCTGACGCGCTGCTGCCGCCGGCCTGGCGGAGTGGTGTGGCTAGCGTCCGTCGGCGGCCCGGGGTCATCACCTGCCGGAGGCGCCGGCTCGCGCTATCAATCCATTCTGCGTCTTTGGACTCGAGCGCATCGAGGTATTCTTGCTGGGTTTCGCTCTCGAGCAGGCCGGGGAAGAAGTCGCGGGCGATGATCTGGGAGAGCGCTTCGGTGTAGGTATCTTCGTCGAGCACGTGTTTTGGCCGTTTGATGCGCTTTGATGGTGGCGGCGGAGGCATAAGTTCCAGGTCGGTCCGTTTCCGGACCAGCGCCGTCGAGTGGGCGGATGTGGGATCCATGTTGTCGTTTTGGGTTTGATGTTGATGGGAAAGTTGAGTTGCCTGGAAACGAAGTCGTGAAAGGGTAAGATTACAGCCAAGACGTAACGTCCGGCTCCACAACGGTACGCCACTGATTAGCGGTATCTGTCTGGATCCACTCTAGAAGGTGGGGGGTTCAACGGGCTCCCACGTGTGGGTTTCTTGCGCATCCTCTTCAACAATCTTCCCCTCTCATGGTATCATTTCATGTCGTGCATGTCTTCTTCGGATGGCCATCACCGGAGCTTTCTGAAGTACCGCTCTGAGCGCTGGTAATGGTTTAGCAGCGAAAAGCCAGGATACCCATCCGGGCTTTGCAACTCTCAGCTGTACGGAGGCCCACTTTTCAACCCGCTTCTCCCCGCGCAGGGAGCTGAGCTCCGCCGTCCGCCTTCACTTTCACGCATTGCATTGTTCGACATCTGCACTGTGGTATTCTTGCGATAAGTGTACTGTGTGTGTAGGGGCATATGCATCTTCCGTTTTGTTTACGTCTTTTACGGCCTGTACCCGAGACACTTTGCCATCCCTCAACCAACGTTGTTCTTGTTTGCCGTGTCAAGCGCCGAGAGGGTTTCCCCCTCAGGAGAGGACGTTGATTATGCCCTTGAGCTTTGAAGTGAAATCAAGAGTCACAAGGCTCACCAACAACCCCCACAAGCCCGACTACCCCTGCACCATGGGGGGGCCGGAGGCCTGGTGACGTGGGCGAAGTCACGCCGACAGCGCTCCCTCCCATGTGATGATTGGATGAAAACAGAAGCGCATACCTGAAAGCGGCCGGTGCTGCAACACCGAACCCAGCAGCTGCATGCCTGCCTGGCTTCCAACCTGGAGGTAGGTATTCGTACTGTACAAGTGTACATGCTTTTGGTGGGAGGTGGGCGCCCATGCGCTTGTTGAGGGGGGACGCAATCCGGGTCTCATCTTAACACAACCCTTGAACCTTTAGGCAAGGCTGCCCCGGAGCTCAAAGCCGTTTGTTGCACGACCGAGCTCCCTTTTCCCCGCCATCGGGTGTTTCTGCACTTTCCTGGCTGAAGGCCTCCGACATCTCTCCGCCAATATCTTTGTTCTCCCCAACCTCAGCTTTTCCTATCTTTCCTGTCTTTTCCGCCCTCAGTCCCATCCCATCTCCGCAAATCCTGGGCTTTTCTCCTTCTGCCGCCTTCCCGCTCCTCCCCGTATCTCCAACTCTCCATCGGGGGCCTTTGTCGTATCGCAATTGCCCATTGCCTTTTATCTTGAGCTTTTCCCGCCTGTTACTCGTTGCTTAATCTCGCAACCTTCTTGTTATCGGTTTTCTTCTCTGAATCCGCCTAAACTAGACACATACTCGCCGGCTTATTTGCGGCGTTGGGAGAGCGAGAGAGTGCGCGCGCGAGAGAGAGAGAGAGCGAAAGAGAGAGGAAGCTCTCGATCGCCGGTACATCCCATGTCCGACACCACCAGCAGCCCGCCTGCCAAACGGCCCAACTTCTCCGTAATCGCCTTGCTTCTCCAGGCACCGCTTCTGCCTCTCGTTGCTGTTAAGCGCCTCGTCACGTTGGCCTGCACATTTGTTATCTTGGCTATGGGTAGGATCTTACGCGCAGGATCGGAGATCAGAAGACACTCGTTCATTCTTTCGCGGGAAAAACGGTCCTCAACCTCAAAAACGGCCCCCGCTGCGAAAGATGCCGCCACCGATGCCGCCGTAACCACCGTCCAGATTGAGGACATCACATGCCTGATCTGCCACGAGCCCATCGGCACCCGCAATGTCGAGGGTGTCAAGGAAGACTGGAGCATGCTGCCGTGCGGCCACCGCTTCGGCAGCCACTGCATCAAGCGCTATCTCGGTCTGACCGCTGACGAGCAGCCACTGTGCCCGATCTGCCGACATGTAGCCTACCACGACCCCTGCGGCCACCCTGTGCTGCCCTTCCTGCTGCAAGCCGACGGCACTCATCCGGATTTGGTCACGGACGACGACGGCAAGGTACGCCCGCCGAAGAACGAGGAGGACTTGGCTACGACGGCGTGTGATTACTGCTTGATGCCGGACGAGGCTAAGGAACAGGTGGAGATGGAGGCGGAAAAGATCGCGGCTGATGAGGCTGCTGCTGCTGCTGCCGCTGCCGCTGCGGCTGTCGATGCCACTGCTATGGCTACGGTGAAGTCGCCCGGCCGGATGGCCTCGGTGAAGCGGCCGCTCCGGTGGCTACGGACACTTGTGCCTTTCACGCCGAGAAAGAAGGGCCAGAGGGCGTCAGAGGACTTGGATGAGGACAAAGACCAGGATCAGGACCAGCCTCAGAACCAGAATCAGGACGAGCACGAGGCCGAGCAAGCGGCCGAAGCCGAAACCCAAGACGGAAACGCAGACCAAGCCCAGGAGGACGGCCAAGGTCAAGACGACGACGAAAACGAAGACCAGGCCGATGGTTCCGCGTACGAGCGCTCCGACAGAACAGACCGGCGGCTGACCCGGCGGGAGCTACGCAATAGAAGGAGGGCGCCGGCCAACGAAGGGTCTTGGCAGGGCCCGTGGATGGATGTGCAGGGCCGGGACGAGGGCTGGGAGAAATGGTGGAGTGTTCAGCTCCCGAGGGTGGCTGCGTGAGGGAGAGAGCAGGACGAAGGCTACGGAGTAGGTCAGATGGGGATCAAGCTGGTGATTTATTTGCCGGTCCGTTCTCTTTGTTTGTTTATTTATTTATGTTATGTATCTCTCTGGGCTGGGATGGTCATTTCTTAGGTGTCGCATGGTCGATTAGGTAAGGTAATTCTCGGGGAAGCGTTCAGGAACATTTACGGAATCCGCATTTCTCTTTCATTTCTAGACCGTTTTCTTTCGCAACGACTTTGAAACTTTCTTTGTTACATGTGTAGTTCGAGGAAATTAAATAAATACGACATGACGGGTCGATCGATCCACGGAGTGCCGCACGCGCCGTTGTAGCTTGGCTGCTTGGGTCTTCTGAGCTCATGAGAGTGGGGTGATTGACAAGATGGGCCGGAGCCTAGCAGGGATTCCCCACGTTGAGGATGGTAATATGTTACAGTGTATTTTTGGCTTGTCACTTGTAATTTTCGACTTTAATGGTGGGGCTCACTGCTTGCACTTTACGCGACGCGGTTGACGTCCCACGTCCCAAACTTAATCCAACGAGTTGGGAAAATGAGTTGAATTCCCGGGTCGGCAAGATGCGGTTCAAAACGGACCTCAAGAATGTGAGGACCTTTTCTAGTAAGAGACTCGATTTAATCTTCTTTTCGGGGAGGAAGGATTGGGAAAGACTTGGAGCTGACATTTAATTGTAGAACTCACGGCGGCGCTCAACTCGCTCGAGAAGATCGCGTGGGTGCGTCTCGACGATGACACGGTCCGCTTCACCGTGATTCCCGACACGGGGTCGCAAGTCTGGGCGTATGTAGTCCTCATACTACCTTTAAACCTCCTTTACAATCGAGTAGGGTCTAAGAGAAATGGTGACTTAATAGCTCCCTGTCCGTCGACCTCATCTTCGACAACTACCACATCGAATCAGCCGAAGCCAACAACACCATCAACTTCGAACTCCCCCTCGGCCCCCTCCAACGGGCCCTCAAATCCGCCGTCGGCAGCAGCTACGCCAACCTCCGCCTCACCAAACGCGACGGGCTCCCCATGTTATCCATGACCATCCACACCATGACCAAAGATGGCAATGGCCCTGGCCCCGGCCTCGGCGGCCCAAACCGAGCCACCACCACCGCCAACGCCGACCCCGACGCGGGGTTGCTGGGCTTGCCATCGTCGACAGCCGACTTTACGCAGGAATCCCTCGAGCTGACCATGAAGCGCGAGCGCGAAAAGATCATCACGCAGGATATTCCCGTGCGTGTACTACACCCCGACACAGTCGAGACTATCATGCAGCCCAAAGTGCGCGAGCCCGATGTGCACATCCAGTTGCCGCCGCTGCTGCAGCTGAAAGCGATATCTGATCGGTTCACCAAGTTGGCCGTGACGGCTGCTTCCTCGTCTGGGAACACCCGTGGTGGTGGTGGGGGTACGGGGTCAGGTGCTGGTGGGTTGGGGGGGTCGTCGTCGCCAAAACTGACGCTTTCGGCTAACATGCATGGCTCGCTGCGTCTGCGGCTGACCACTGAAACGCTGGATATCACATCAGTTTGGCACGGGCTGGAGAACCCGGAGCTGGACCCGACGCAGCTGGCCGTTCCGCTGGAGGAGCACCCGTCGACCGTGTTTAAGGAGGCTGGGCCGGATAGGTGGGCGACGGTACGGGTGGATGGGAAGGATTGGAGTCGGGTGCTGAGTGTGGGGAGGCTGGAGGGGAGGGTGATTGCTTGTTTTGCGGACGAGCATGCGTTGATTTTGTATGTATATGTGCCGCATGTGGATGACGTTGGGATGGAGGATGTGGTGACGTATTATGTGACGAGTTTTAGTGCGTGAGGATAAGGCGCTTGCTCGTGATTGTGATCTAGCAGGGAGCTAGGGGCGTTGGCGGATTGCTATTTACTGGGAGCATGACCGGCCTGGCGTAAGGGTTGCTATTTGCTAATATATCAACGGTACTTGGTGTGTAAATTCTACTCATCTCCCCTTGGAGCTGATATGTGTCTCCTCGCAGTGATAGGTCTCCAATTACACCATCATGCCAGTGGTCTCAACCCATCAACAGGGCCGTTGCACGATCAGTACGTCTTGAATGCGTCCAGTTCCGCTAAATATACCTCTATACACATCGTACACAGCTCCGTATTATCCGAGCCCGCCAAAAGTGATCTGCAGGTACATGCATGTACAGCACAGAACTGAGCCTCATAGAACAGAAACTAACAGACCAACACCCGAAGCAAAGAGAATTAGAGAGAAACGGGAAACGGAACCCAAACGAAACCTTCTCTCCGTCCACGACATCCAAGCGGCATCACGTTATTACACATATATCATATTTATACATCGTCCAACCCCCCATTCGTCTTCCGTTCTTTCTCTCTTTTCCATCATCATCCCCCACAACCTCTCTCCATCCATTCACCCCCGGCCCCCCACCATTCACCTCACTTCACACCCCCTCCAAGCATTCAAAGTTCATTACTTATGTCTTCCCCATAACATCCACATACCGCGCCCCCCTCTTCGCCTTCTTCGCAGCCCCCGGTTTCCTCGGCCCCGCCGCACTCAACAAATCATCAATGCTACTCGAGTTGCTCAAGCTCGTCGGCGGACGCGACGATGACCTCGGAGGTCTTCCCCCCGGTCCTGCTCCAGGTCCCCCAGGCCCCGGAGGTCCTCCGGGTCCTGCGAGTCCTCCGGGTACAGGCGGACTGGTGCCGAATGCAGAGGTATGTTGTCCCAAGGGCGGTGCACTAGCGGTACTGGTGTTTGATACAGAGCGTAACATGGCTACTGGGCCAGGCGGGGGCGGGACAAGACTATCACCCAGACTCATACCACTCATACCACCACCACCACCTGCCCTAGGCGGCCCATCAGAAGTATGCGGCCGTCCATCCACCCCCGCAGCAGCACCTAACGCCGGACTGGCGCTAACAGAGCGCGGCGAACCACCACCTGACGATCTGGGAGGCGGCGGGGTAGCTTTCTTGACGAGGTCTTCGGGCCCGGCATTCTTGTTGACCCAGCGTTTGAGTTCGGGGTCGTAGTAGAAGGAATTGGCTTCGCCGAGTTTGGCGCGGATGGGTTTGTTTGGGTTGGAGGCGCCGCTGCTGCCGTTTTGGGAGGGTGAGGAGGAACCGTCGAGACCGTCCTTTTTGGCGCCGCCGAACCAGGAGGTGAAACCCCAGCCCTTTTTGGGGGCTTGTTTGGCTGCTTCGGCGCGTTTGGCTAACGGTGGATGTGTTAGCATTGAGCTGATCTTACAATAGGGATAGGGACGAAGGTAACTCACCATCCTCTTCAGCCGCCCGACGAAACATCTCCTCGTTCTCCCGATCCTTTTCAGCCTTGGACTTCTCCGCCGGCCGCGGCGTGGGGAAATCATCATCGTCATCATCATACATAATACCCTTCTTCTTGGGTTTCGGCTTCGGTTTCTCGTCGTTATCATCCTCGTTCGATCCCGCAGCGTCTTCCGTGGCGGGCAGGTCGGGCTCATAGGAAGGCGGTTCGTAGCTGTACGGCTGGTACGAGGGGGGTTCATAGGAAGAGGTCTCGGTTCCGGGTGTTGCTTCCTCTCCGGGGGTGCTAGTGCTGGTGGTGGCGGTGGCGGTGTTTTGTTCCTCGGCACGCGCCCCATAGGGAGTGGCCGACGACGGGCCCTCGTAGGGGGTAAACGACGGGGGTTCGTAGCCGTATGAAGGCGGTTGATACCCCGATGCCTCAGGGGATTGACCAGCGCTATCGGAGGGCACTTCTTGTTGGCCAAACGACCCGCCGTTGAGATTCGGACTAGGATAGCCCACAGACGACGGAGCCGTGCCGGGATACCCGATCGACGGGGAGAATGCACTGGCTGGAGTGTGAGGTGATGCAATAGTCGCAGGAACAGCCCCAGCCCCGGGAACCGGAGCAGGAGCAGCAGCCGCAGGAGGAGCAACAGGCTGAAACCCAGCCGCAGCCGGGAGATACGGCGACGACGACCCCAGCGGCGAGCCAGCCCGCACAGGACTATAACTCCCGGTACGACCGGCCCCAGCGCCTTGCATCTCAAGCGACCGCCGCGGTACCTCAAACGATCCACCCCGACTGTACTCGCCCGAAGTGCGCTCCATCGAGGACCGGGGCGCATACGGAGAACCACCAGCACCAGCAGGAGCGTACGCCGCGGTGGAAGGCCGGCTGTTAGACGCAGACCCCGTCGTTGAGGGGGGTGCGCCGGGCGCGTAGCGGGATGCTGCGCGGGTAGGAGCAGGCGGGGCCGATGTTGACATTGGGGTTGTGGACGACGCGGTAGCAGGGGGAAGGCCGCCGTAACCAGGCAGCGCAGCAACACCATACGTCTCGAGGTTCGTGACCGACGGAGTCCGGCTGATGGTGGGGGTGCCACCCGCAACACGGCCAAACGGACCCGGCCCAACCTCGCCGTCGGCAGCGTGGCCCTGACCGTGGCCCTCGCCCGAACCGTCGTCGTCGCCGGAGACGAATTTGTTAAATCGACTCCAGACCGAGTCAGACACTTTGTTCATGCTGGGCTTGGGGATCCACGACCCGGAGTCCTCCTTGGGCGCCTGCTTGAGACGCCGCAGGAGGTCTTCGACGGCCTGCTCGAGGATGACATGGTGGTAGGGCGAGCGCTTGGTCTGGGCCGTGATGGCGGTCGCGAGGGCGTCGCAGTACTGCAGGGCCTTGTCGCGGAAGCCGGACTCGGCGAGCACTAGGGCGTGCTGCAGTTTGTACGCGGCCAGGTGGGCGTGTGTGCCTGGCAACCCTACTAACCCTGCTGCGGCCGTTGACCCTGACGCTGCCCCTGACCCGGATAGCCCTGTGATGTTTCCGGTAGTCGTCGTCGTCCCCGCGAGAGCCTGCAGGCTCTGGCCGTACTCATACACCTCGCCCAACAGCAGCGGTTCCAGGTCCTTGGCAGACGGCGCAGCCGGGTCGTCAAGCGCGCCAAACACGGTGTGCGCGGGACTACGCGCAAACAGGAAGCACACCTGGGCGGCCTCGGCACGTCCGTACCCGGCCAGCAGCACGCCGAGGGCGTGGATGGCACGGGCGTCGTCGGCGCTGCGATTGCTGAGGACGAGCCCGAGGGTCTCGCGCCACTTGTCCAGGCCGTCGGCGGCGTTGGCGTTGGCGTTGTTGGCATTCGCGTTGTTCGCGTTGGTGGTGGCCATCAGCTGCAGGCCGGCGCGCGCGTGGCTCGGCACCAACTCGTCGACGCTCTCCTCGTGGTTGCCGGAGAGCACCCCATACAGCGCCGCGAGGGACTCGTGGCCGTGGCCGGGAACGTTGACTTCTTTCTTGACAAATTCCTGCGCGACCTGCTTGTACAGCGCGGGCGCGAGAGCGTTGGAAAGCAAGAGCGCGTGACCCCAGAGCCGTTGGTCGGCCGCAGCCCACACGGCTTTCTCGCAGTCGCCGCTCAACAAGTGCTGGCGGATCTGCTCGAGCGTCGACGCACTGACTGCGTCGGACTGCACCTGGCTTTGACTCCCGTGGCCTTGGAGATACGGCGTAGCGCTGGCTGATACGTCTCCTCCTCCTCCTCCCAGATTCGGAGACAGCACCTCCCGCACAGCCTTTTCCACCGCTGCGTTACCCTCCAACACACCATCATGCTCAACAAACACCCTTAGAATCTTCCACAGCAACACCCGCTCCGACGCCCGCTCGGCCACCTGCTTGTCGACCTGCGCGTTATACGCCGGCGAGAACCCCCCAGCCTGGGCATAGCCAGTAGTAGGCAAGTCTCGTTCCAACCCCTCAATCCCCGCCGTCAACCACGCAACAGTCTCCTTCTTCTTCCCCTTCCCCTTCAACGGGCCAGGGAACTTGGCCAGCCGCTCCTCCAGCGGCAAGATCTCCTTGACATTCTGCACTTTAACCTGCCCCGGACTACGCACCACAGCCGGGATACTCGAGTTTGTACCGTAGCGGGGGACCTCCTTAGGGAACATGGTCACAAAAGTGCCGCCGACGCCCCACGACACGAGCGGAGCGCCGCGCCAGCGCTTCAGCGGGTCGTTCTCGCGGCCGTCGGTCGGGGGGATTACGTTGAGGTAGAGAGATGCGCCGCGGGCGCGGGTGAAGGTTGTGGTGCCTTGGGTGGGGGCAGACACTGAAGCAGCAGCAGGAGTCGGGCCGGTACGCGGAGCGGGAGCAGGCCCTAATGGATAAGCGGCTTCCCGCGCCGAGGTTGGATCGTTCACCGATGACGGTCGGGGGATCGGTTCAGCAGCAGGCTTCAGTCCTCCGCGGTTTCCACCGTACAGCGCACCGGGCGACTGGGTTTGCGACCGAGGCGGCGGGGCAAAGTCGTACGCGGGCGCCAGCGGGCTGTAGTTGGACGTCGCGCGCTTCAGGGCTGGCGGGGCGGGTGCGTACTTGGAGGAGGTCGCGGACACAGGCGGAGAAGACCCCGATGAGGTCTGCGGCCGAGCTGGGGCCGGGGGTTCCTCTTCTTCGACGACTTCCCGAGTGGGGGGTAGAGATGGCACTCTCTGGAGCCGGTGTTCGTGCAGCGAGCTGCTGCTTCGCCGTTCCGATAGCCCGCTCTCTGGGGCCGGGCCGCGGGCCTTGTCGTGCGTGATCTCAAAGTGTGCCAGCGGGCTGGATGTCCGCGGCTGGTGAGGCAGAATCGGAGGACCGGGGGTCGTGGGCGTGGGCCCATACCCGGCACTGGGCTGTCGAGATGCTGGCGGAGCGGGGGAATACCGAGTCGCAGCCGGGATGGGAACAGGAACCGGGCCGTTGGTATTCGCCGCGCCGGGCGGAGCAGGAGAGTACCGAGTCGATGAAGCCGCAGGAGGCGCGGCCGGGACAAGACTCGGCGCAGCGCTCAGAGAAGCATACGGGTCGAGCCGCGGCGGCGCAACCAGCCCCGAGATGCCCGAAGGGCCTGAGGCGCCCGAGGAGCCCGTTCCAGTCCCGCTGGGAGGATAAGCAGACGGTACCGGTCCTGGTCCCGGCGGAGGCACCGGGGCCACAGGATGAGAAGTGACCGAGGGAAGCCCGGCCGAGTGCGGCGGAACCCCGTACGGACCAGGCTGCGTCGGCGACGGCATGCTCTTCTGGCTCTGCCGGGACGCCGGCCGGGGCTTGGCGGTCATCGGAAGGTCCTCGAAGAAGTTCTCCTGAGAAGCCAGCTTGCGTACGCCCACAGCCGGAGGTGGTTGTAATGTCGACGAGGATCCGTGGCTCGATGACGGACGGGATGATGCTGCTGCTGCCGCGGCTAGAGCGTGCGAACTGCTCGGCGGTGGCATTGGTGGCTGATGCATGCTCACACTCCTCGGCGGTGGTGGGAGCGAAGCGGGCGATGCCGGCGCCGACGGCCCGTACTGCGAGGCGTGCCCACTAGTCCGCCGCTTTGGCTTCACCACTTCCATCGGGAGATCGTACGGCGAGGTGTACCCGCCCTTGGCCTTGTCCGCGAAGCTCTGCGCCTTGCTCTTTTCCTGCAAGAGCGGCGGCGCTCCGAGTCCAAACTGCGACGGCGGTGGGTGTCCTGTCGATGGAGCAGCGTAGGGAGTCGTGGCGGGGGATGAGACGATCGAGCCAGCTCCGACCGCGGCGTAGGGGTTGGCGGGTGTTGCGGGCGTCACAGGTGTATTAGTAGGCAGATAAGGGTTCGGAGGTGCCATCGTGTTAACGGGTGTCTGGAGTTGCTGCTGTTGTTGAGGGAAATACCCCTGGACCCCCTGCGTCGATAGCGTCGGAGCTGGCGCGTACCGCGATGAAGCAATGACTCGGCTGGGCTCGTCAGGTTGTTCGGTCTCGGAGTCGTCGAGCAGGCCCTCATCGTCACTCCCAAGGAACGCAGAGGCGTCCACCTCTGGTGCCTCTGGTGCTCCGACACTCTCGTCCGGCAGGAAGCCTTCCTCGTCCTCGTCGCCAAACATGGCCTTCCACTTCTCGTCCAGGTTTTCTTCCGCGGCTGGCTCAGCTGTCTCCTCTCCCCGAGTCTGCTCAATTGGAGTATTATCTCCCGATTCTGCATCGGCTTCCTCGACCGTCCCCTCCAGCGGCGCAAAACTCGAGCCCGCCGAGCCCACGTTCAGGGAGCTCAGCACCTCCATGGTCGACTTGCGCTGCAACGGAGCCGGTTGCGGCTCTTCCTGGTTTGGCGCCTCGCCGGTGTTGACCTGACTAAAAAAGTCATCTTCCTCCCCGGCCTCTTCCCCGAAGAAGTCGGGTTCGGCTTGGGATGATGGCTGTTCTTGTGTCGTGTCTTGCTCTTGTTCCGCAGCCGGGACCAGCGGCACGCCCTCCTCGAACCGAGCTTCCGCAGAGTCGCCCGCGGCAGATTCAAGACCAGACTCGGGATACGGTTCGACGGCGGCCTGACCTTCCCGATCATGCGCGGCGGTGTCATCCTGGGAGCCCGAGGTCGCGTCGGGCAACGCCTCCTCCTCGCGCGTATCCTCCTCTTCAATCTCCCGAATCAGCTCCTCGGCCGGGTCAAACGAAATCGGTTGCTCCAGCTCATGTGGGTGCTCGTTCGTCGCGTCTTCGGACTCGGGCATCGGAGGAAACGAGTTGGTGCGGTTGTTCTCCGGCATGAACTTGAAGGGATCGGTATTTGTTCGGGACAGATTCCACTCGGCGTCGTCGTCGTCGTTCCAGTTCACCTCGTGCGGCACAGTCCGCGTGAAGGACATGGTGCTGAGATGTTTGGACGCTGTGGTCGGCTCGTCTGGTAACGCATCATCGGCTGAAGAGTCTACCGGAGGAGCTGCGGCCGGTTGCTCGGGCTGGGACTCGGGCTCGGGATCATTGCTCGCATCGGCCAGCCAGTCGTCGTCCCCGGTCCCGTCATCCTGAAACCAGGCCCCGGCCTCCGGGTCAGCATCAGTGGTATCCTCGGGTTGTCGTAATGTGTTTGTTTGTTCGAGTTCGGCGGTGTCAATGTCTCGTGGTACGGTAGGACTCGAAATCGAATCGGCGGCTGGGGCTTGGGGCAAGTCGGCGATTGTATGCGGCATCAACGCCGGATGCCATGCTGAGCTCGGCGCATCGGACACCATTGTGGGCTCCGAATTGGGTTTGCGCGGATTCTCAGCGAAGAGGGTGCGCCGCTGCGCTGGGAGAGCGAAGATACAAGAATTATTAACGTTATGAGTAGGTACGGCGGACGGAATACAACTGCGACACAAAAAGTTGGGGATCAGCGTCCATTTCTTCAGCAGACAATCTCGCGAGTTCCTACCAAGCAGGGGGTCCGATGCAGACGAACGCGTCAGGCTACCCCTGTTGGCGTCAAAAGGGGCGAGTAAAATGAAAAAAGGGAACGGGTAAAAATTGAGAAAAAGGTAACAATCGTACAGATACAGAACACAGCGGGCAGGCTTAACGAAGGTCTAACGACGAGACATGTTTGGGTTGGGAATTTGGAGAGTTGGAACTGCAAGTCCGAGGCGCTCCGTAACTTAGATGTGGTCTCTTCGAGGGATCGCCCGGATCGTAAGATGCGAGCTGTCTTCACACGGAGCATTGATGACTCAGCTGGCTTGGCTACGCTTTTCCGATCTTTTGCCGGCGGGCAGGCCACCTTTAAAGACCGAAGCCTCGCCTAACTACATGTGCGATTCTGACTTTATCGAGGCCGTAGTGCAGCGTGGTTATTATTAGCAGGACGCGCCTCGCACAAGTTAGCTACTGCTGCCTCTACCACTGCCACCAACTTGCACAATAAACGAGACAGAGGATCTTGACACCCCTATCCGCGTATGAGTACATATAGACACGAACGCAGTTGGTATGTAAATCGACTGGGTCTAGGGAACGATTCGACGCCTTGGTGGGCATCCTCTGCTAGCATGTCTGGGGGCGCGGCTAAGATAAATTCAGATGTGGATGAGCACCTACACTAGAGAGTGAGTGAGAGTACTGTAGCACCCAACTAGGTGGGGTAGCGTAAACGACAAGTAGACGAATTCCTCGGCCGATGACAGATCGTCCCGAAACGCAACCTCGAAGGCGGCGTTGCACATGTGCATTTAGGCTGCGCTAGCGGGCCTCCTAGCTTGCATGAAGGCTGCTGTTAGAGCGCCCGGCGCTGAGCGGTGGGGCCCCGAGCGAGAAATACAGGGCTACACTAACGGATAAACGGCCGCCGAGGCTCTGTTACAGCGTCATCTGTTAGCGCACCACCCTTGCTCTGCCACCTGCAACCTTCTGGAGGACGCGCAGTCATTGTTCCAAATTGAGAGGTTCCGTCGCCAGATTTCAGGTTTGACGTTTAACAGCAACTTGCAACTTGGCTTAAACAGGCTCTCTCCGCTGCTACTTTGTTTCCTGCGAGACGAGAACACTTCACCAAGCAGCCATGCCGTGAAGTTGCGTCCCCGAACGAGCTAACAGACGCTTTTGCAACAACTCCATTCGACGCAACACATCGCTTTGGCCATGTGCATGTGCACGACGTGATTCGAGACATCGACGACAACCACGACGAAAGTCAGGAAAAGGGAAGGATCAGCAAGCCGCAATTCATAAAATTGCACACGACACACAAACATAACGATAACCATTTCAGACGGACCACCAACCCACAAGATATAATAACCGACCCTCGAAAACCCTGCGGGCAGCAGCACTCCCTTTCCACAGGCCGCCGGCCGATGCGGGAATGCCTCCCTCCACCTCGTACCACCCCCCAGCGAAGCCGCCAGACTCGCCGGTAGCCGCCAACCCCGACTCCGATTCCGATTCCGATCTCGACCTCGACCTAGAAGAGCTCGACCCCCAGCCCGTGTCTAGCTCCGGTTCCAGATTAGGAATAGGGAAACCATCGGGCTTGGGCTCGGCACGCGACACGGCCGATCAGCAACGGGCACCGCCGCGGATTGCCCTGCGCACACTCCGGATGGGCGGGTTACGGCGTGGTGCGAACCGGAATGGGTACGGCGAGCTGGGCCGTAGCCACGGCCACGGCGGGCGGGGGGAAGATAACGAGGACACCCGGGGGTTACTAAGAGACAGTGCAGACGGGGGAGACCGGCGGTACTCTGATGCGAGCGCAGCGAACGGGGATGATGCGCCGCTGTTAAGCGAGCACGGGACTGGTGGTGGTGGTGGCCGAGGCCCTCGCAGCTCGAGCAAACGCCGCGGGTCGTTTACCACCAGCGACAGGCTACGCCGGGTCGGACTTCGACTACCCAGTTTCATGTCCGGGGCTGGTAGCAGCACAGCTGGCGATGCGCACAACAGCGCAGGAGCCGGCGACGAAGACCGGGAACTCGACCAGGAAGACGACGACCCGTCCTCCTCACGCCTCGTAGCCGTCGGTTCGTCCCAATCAACCCGGTTCCCGCCCAATATTATCTCCAACGCCAAGTACACCGCCTGGAGTTTCCTCCCCGTCACGTTGTATAACGAGTTCTCCTTCTTCTTCAACATGTACTTCCTCCTCGTCGCTCTGTCGCAGGCCATCCCCGCGCTGCGCATCGGCTACCTCTCGACGTATGTCGCGCCGCTGGCGTTTGTGCTGGTCATCACGCTAGGCAAGGAGGCGTATGATGATATTGAGCGGCGGAGGCGGGATAATGAGGCGAATTCGGAGGCGTACACGGTGCTGCAGTTTGAGGAGCCCGGACGGGCGGCAGCTACAACAACGAGTGGGCGGTCGATCGGCAAGTTGAAGTCCACGCAGGTTGGGAAGGGGTCGAAGCGGTATACGGCTGTGAGGGATAGGTTGTCAGATATACAGGAGGAGGAGGAGCAGACGGAAGGGGATGGGCGGGGGAAGCGTGCGGTGTGGGTGGTGTCAGAGGTTGCGAAGAAGTCGCGTGATCTCAAGGTCGGGGATGTGTTGAAGCTCAGTAAAGGGGATCGTGTGCCGTCGGATGTGGTTATTCTCAAGTGTCTGTCGAACGACCCGGCGGCGCAGAAAGCGGAGGCAGAGACCGAGCAGGCCGCTGCGCAAGAGCCGTCGCTGTTGCTGGATGATGATGCGGAGGATGCGGGCGAGGGAAGTGCGGCTGCTGCTGCTGAGGCTAGCGCAGGGGCTGCGGAAGGGGGGTCGAACGGGGAGACTTTCATCAGGACGGATCAACTGGATGGCGAGACGGATTGGAAGCTGCGGTTGGCGTCCCCGCTGTCGCAGAATTTGGCCACCGAGAACCTGGTCAGACTGCGGGTGACGGGCGGGAAGCCGGACAAGAAGGTGAATGAGTTTATTGGGTCTCTGGAACTACTGCCGTCGCGGCAGGATGCTATGGGGCTGGGTGCCATTCTTCCCGAGAACGAGGATGACGATGCGGCCAACAATGCGGACGTCAAAGCCCCCCTGTCCATCGACAACACGGCGTGGGCCAATACAGTCATCGCATCACACGCCACGACCCTAGCCGTGATCGTGTACACCGGCCCACAGACACGCTCGGCACTCTCAACATCGCCCTCGCGGTCCAAGACGGGCCTGCTGGAGTACGAGATCAACTCGCTGACCAAGATCCTCTGTTTCCTCACACTAGCCCTCTCCATCATCCTGGTGGCGCTCGAAGGATTCAACAGCACCAAGGGCAGCATCTGGTACGTCAAGATCATGCGGTTCCTGGTGCTGTTCTCGACCATCGTGCCCATCAGCCTGCGAGTGAACCTGGACATGGGCAAGAGCGTGTACTCGTGGTTCATCCAGCGCGACCCGGGCATGCCGGGGGCCGTGGTGCGCACGAGCACGATCCCGGAGGACCTGGGCCGCATCGAGTACCTGCTGAGCGACAAGACGGGGACCCTGACGCAGAACGAGATGGAGATGCGCAAGATCCACGTCGGGACCGTGTCGTATGCGAATGATGCCATGGACGAGGTCGCTAGCTACGTGCGGCAGGCCATGACTCCGCCTTCCGGGTCGATAGCAGACACCCAAACACTCGTGACGCCCGCGACGCTGGCCTCCGCGGCTGCTGCGCATGGCGGTGCTACGCGCACACGCCGTGAGATCGGTTCCCGCGTGCGTGATGTGGTGCTGGCGCTGGCGCTCTGCCATAATGTCACGCCGACGACGGAAGAAGACGACGACGGCCGACTGGTTAACTCGTACCAGGCCAGCTCGCCCGACGAGATTGCCATTGTGCGCTGGACGGAGTCGGTTGGTTTGCGGCTGGCGTCGCGCGACCGCAAGAGCATGGTGCTCGAGTCGACGGCGCTGGGCCGGCCGGTCGTGCAGGTGCGCATTCTCGACATCTTCCCCTTTACCTCGGAGGGCAAACGCATGGGCATCATTGTACAGTTCCTCGACACCTTGGAGTCCAACGTCTCGGGGTCGAGTAACAACAACGGCGAGATCTGGTTCTACCAAAAAGGCGCCGACACCGTCATGAGCGCCATCGTCGCAGCCAACGACTGGCTCGACGAGGAAACAGCCAACATGGCGCGCGAAGGTCTCCGCACCCTCGTCGTCGGCCGCAAACGCCTCTCCTCCGCCGAATACACCACCTTCTCAGCCCAACACCACACAGCCTCCCTCGCCCTCGGCAGCGGCCGCGATGCCGGCATGCAAGCCGTAGTCTCCCAGTTCCTCGAGCGCGACCTCGAACTCCTCGGCGTCACGGGTGTCGAAGACAAGCTCCAACGGGACGTCAAACCCTCCCTCGAACTCCTCCGCAACGCGGGCATCAAAATCTGGATGCTCACCGGCGACAAAGTCGAGACCGCCCGGTGCGTGGCCGTCAGCGCGAAACTCGTCGCCCGCGGGCAGTACATCCACACCGTCGCCCACTTGCGCCGCAAGGATGCCGCACTGGAACACCTCGACTTGCTCCGCAGCAAACCCGACGCCTGTCTGCTCATCGACGGCGAGAGCCTCGCGCTGTATCTGACGCACTACCGCACTGAGTTTGTCGCTGCCGCGGTCAAACTGCCGACTGTTGTTGCCTGCCGTTGCTCGCCAACGCAAAAGGCTGAGGTCGCCCGGCTGATCAAGACGTACACGGGGAAGCGGGTGTGCTGTATTGGGGATGGCGGGAATGATGTGTCGATGATCCAGGCGGCGGATGTGGGCGTGGGGATCGTGGGGAAAGAGGGGAGACAGGCGAGTTTGGCTGCGGATTTTTCGATTGAGCAGTTTTTTCATTTGACCAAGCTGTTGGTGTGGCATGGGCGGAATAGTTACAAGCGCAGTGCGAAGCTGGCGCAGTTTGTGATTCACCGTGGGTTGATTATTGCGGTGTGTCAGACTATGTATAGCATTGCGCTGAACTTTGAGCCCGAGGGGTTGTACAAGGTTGGTTTTTTTTTCCTTTCTTTTCTTGCCCATTTCATCTCTATCCGCTTCTTGTTTCACTTACTAACGGTCACCAAAAAGGACTGGCTCATGGTCGGCTACGCAACCGTCTACACGGCCATGCCCGTCCTCTCCCTGGTCCTCGACAAAGACGTCGACGAGAACCTCGCCAACCTGTACCCCGAGCTCTACAAAGAACTCACCTCAGGCCGCTCGCTCTCCTACCGCACCTTCTTCGTCTGGGTCTTCGTCTCCATCTACCAGGGCTGTCTGATCCAGGGCCTGTCGCAGCTGCTGACCGAGGTGGATGGCCCGCGCATGGTGGCGGTGAGCTATACGGTGCTGGTGTTGAATGAGCTGTTGATGGTGGCGATTGAGATTACCACGTGGCATTGGGTTATGGTGGTGTCGATTTTGGGGACGTTTGTGTTGTATGTGGGGACGGTGCCGTTTTTGGGGGGGTATTTTGATTTGGAGTTTGTTATGACTTTGTGAGTTTTTTTCTCTCTTTCTCTCTCTCTGTCTCTGTCTGTTCTTCTCAAACATCACCAAGCCGCGAGCTAACAAACCAAATCAGGGGCTTCTACTGGCGCGTGGCTGCTATCGGGGCCATGTCGTTGATCCCAACGTACGCGGCCAAGGTTATCCAGCGGAGGTTGAAACCGCCGTCGTACCGGAAGGTTCAGGGGTAGTAGGTCTCGAGACTCGGACTCGGACTCGGACTCAGCATGGACGGCGTTGGCGGCTTTAGCTATAGCATGGAATGTTATCATTGGATTTGATTTGTCTAACGTTCTGGCTCTACTGCTTGCTCTCCTGCTCTGCGCTATCAATCACACTTCCATACCCCCCTTATCCCCTTGTCCTCGTATCCCCGTTCTCAGCTTATCCCTCGATCTTTATCATACACCCTAAACGTCTCTACAAAACTACTACATCTTCAAAACAAGCCACTCGGCCCCAAACCTCGCAGTCCTCTCCCTTAACCCCCCAATCACCCCCCCAACCGGCCCTTGTCGCTCCTTACCGCCCTCCCAGACCTTCTCCCCCGCAAAGTGCTGGATGAACCCGTCCGGTCCGGAGAGCAGCAGCAGGTTCTTGCCGCCTGGGACAGATGCACCCGTGGCATCTTTGCATTGGCATGATGGGCGTTGCTGCTGGGTTTCAGGCTTGGTTTCTGTAGCTGTTGTCGGGTCGTGGGCGTCGGCGGTGATGAGTTTGGCGGGGGAATGGTAAGTGCAGGCGTCGGTGTTGATCACGCTAGGGGTGAGTGGTGTTGTTGTCGTCTTGTTACCGCTGTTGTTGTTGCTGTTATTCCCGCTCGGCCACAACCCCTTAGCCCACACCGTCCAAGCCGTCCACGACATCCAACGAGCAAGCGCCCCCGGCTGAACCAGCCCTGTCGCACGCAAGATAACCCCCGCGTCAATAAACGACCCCTCCTCGTCAACAGTGCACGAGTACCTAAACCGGCCGTCATACCGCTCGCGGAATGTCTCCAGCAGCGCAATAATCGGGCCTTGCTCTTCTCCTTCCTTCGGGCAGTCCTCCCGCCGCCGGTTCGCCCAGACCACCTCCATCTCGACATCCGGCTGGTCAAGCAGTGCCTTGGCGGCTTGCAGCGCGGGGGCGATACCTGTGCCGCCGGCCAGGAAGACCACTTTCTTTTTCTCTTTCTCTTTCTCTTTCTCTTTCCCAGCCTTCTCCTCCCGGGCCTTCTCCTTCTCCTCCTCCTTCTCCCCGTCTGCCGTCTCCTCGCGGATCCGATCAACCCCCAACCGCGCCCGTAAATCAAACCCCCCCCACGGCCCCCTCAAATCCATCGCCTCTCCCACCTTCAACCTTGCCAGATACCCCGACACTTCCCCGCCATCCATGCGTCGGATATAAAACCGCAGCGTCGTGTCCTCTCCCTCTCCACCCTCCTTGTTCTCCCCACGTTCCTTGTTCTCCCCACCCTTCTCACTGTCAGCAGTAGACGACCCTGCCACCGTAGGCAGCGGGGTATACTCCCTCGCAACCTGACACTCAGGCTGTCGCACCTCCAACGCCCACAACCCACCCTCCCACGCCTTTTCAATCTTAGCTAGAGTCTGCTCTTGGGCTGGGCCTGTTGGGGTAGCGACGGTGAGGACGAAGGCGGTGGGGGAGATTTGCTCGCGGGAGAGGATGGTGAAGGGGGTGAAGGTTGAGTTGTTTAGGGGTTTGGAGGAGGAGATGGTGGGAGTGGGGGTAGAGGGGGAAGAAGGATCGGTGGGAGTGGAGGAGATGAGGGAGGGGTAGAAGTAGTAGAGGAGGGGGACCAGGACGGCGGCGGCTGCGGCGAGGGAGTATTGGATTGTGCGGTTGTTGTTGGTGGAGTCGTGGGACTGGTTTTGTTGGCCTTGGCCTTGGTGTTGGTGATGTGGTTTTGAGGTGGGGGTGTTGACTAGGGGTCCTCGGGGGGATGAAGGTGACCGGGACGACTGGGGTTTAGCAGCGGTCTCGGCTTTGGTGAGTGGGATGATCGGGGGCGGTTTGCGGCGGCGGTATTGGGCGGGCGTGATGTGGAATGCGCGATGGTGTTGAGCCGCGGTGAGAGAGGTGAGACTGTTGAGATTACTGAGAGAAGTGAGGGCCGAATGAGCCGAGGTTGACGATAAAGGGCGCAATAGGCCCGCCCCCGCCGGCCGGGCATGAAGCCGAACAATAGCTTGTCTCATCTTGACTTGGCGCGGTCGACGGGCAATACCGCGCCGGCAGTTCTCACTCGGGGTCAAGTTGCGGGTGTTTAAAGTTTAAAGTTTTAGAGCGAAGCTAGCTTGGCAAAATGGAGGTGGGATGAACTGTGGAATATGCATCTACAGAGGTACAGCCCCGTCAATGGCAAATCACATGCGTTTATAAGCATGCCTCTATAACCCATCGCCGACGTCCCAAAATAACAGAAAATATTGATACAGATCTATAACCGCAGCATTGCCCCATCCTGTCGAATCCCACCCCTCAACAACTCCTCAATCACCCGCCCCTTGCGGATCGTCTCGCTCACGATACCCTCTACATGCGCGGGCTCCACCCGGCCATACCAAATGCCATGCCCCGCCAAAGGATGAGCCCCACCATCCTCTGTCTTGAGCGTAGGCGGGATGTACACAATCACATTCCCAGCAAACTTGTGCCCGCCAATATGGCTGATCTGTCCAACCCGTGCCGCGTAGCCCCCTTTTGGGGTTTCACTAACCCCTTCAGCGAGGACCTCCACCCCCTGCTCCGGCAGCCGTTTCTCAAACTCGGCCTGCAACACCGGTCCGTACAGCCCACACCTCTGATCCCGCCCACCATGCCCGCAAATAAGCACCACCACCTCAGTCACATCCCGCACACCACGCAGCCGCTCCCGGTATTCCGGCTTGCGGACCAGCTGTTCCCGACGGGCGGTAGGGAAGTCATCGTACTTGGGGTGCAGGGTCTCGGGCCGGAGATAGCCGCGGACGAGCGCCTCGAGGTCGTCGGGGGAGCTGCGGGAGAGGAAGGGTATGTATTTGAAGGCGGGGAGGATGTAGACTGAGGTGTTGGGTGTGTTGGATCGGGCTGGGGGTGCTGTGGGAGGGAAGGATGAGGCGAGTGTGGAGGTGTGGTAGAAGGGCTGGAACAAGGCCAGTCAGTATCATCGTTCAAGTCAAAAAACATCGTTTAAATAGAGCCGAAGAGAACGGGTAGGTTGACATACATCACTGTAATCCCCCTTAGGCCCAATCAACCTCCCCAACTTCCCCACCACCCCCCCAATATCATCATCCTCCTCAATCCGCTTCGCCCAGTCACGCTTGCCCGAGCAAATCAGGACATGCTGTGCATAGCTAGGAATCGCTCCGTTTAACGGCGCCTCGCGGTCAATCTGTAAATCGGTCGGGAGCTCGGGCGGCGAGGCACATGCGCATGTCGGCGCCGGACAGGTCCGTATTACCGGGAAGGGCGGAGGGGTGTTGGATTTGATGAACAATGTCCGCGTGTTGCGTGGATGTGTGGCCGAGAGCACCTGGCGTGTCGCGGGAAATGCTAGCCGGAAACTGGCTCGTGCGGCGAGCCGGGGAAGTGTCATGGTGGGCGGAAGGTGGAAGGCATCTTGGAGATGGGTTGTGATGGGTGTGCTGAGGGAGTCCGAGGTTTAAGAAGAGGATGGGTCGTCGGCGATCGACGACGGGGCTTAACTCCGAGATGCGGTACTGGGGTGTGTGTATGGGAATGAATACTGGGGCATATCTGATAGATGAATATGTCCAGAGGAATGATTCGGAAAGCCATCTTGCTTACCTGTTGCTTAGATGCATAACAATTTCAATGCTCAACGACTTCAACAATACAATAAAACTAAGGCACGGATGAAATGACAACCTAAGGAGACGACCTATTTAAGGGACATCTTAAAGGACATTTTACGAAATGTGAAACTATATTCGGACTCGAGCAGTGTTAGGCGTTCAACAATCTGGTAAGTATTCACTCCATCCTTAAGATAATTCTACATTTGGTAACCCCATTTTAGATATTATATAACTAAGAACAACTAAGAAATAACAGGAAAATGCCCCGACTCCCACCCTCCCTCTTCTGGAGAGCGTCCAAAGAGATATCGCCCCTCGCGGCCCGGCTCCTCCCAGTCTGTCGGGATCTCCAGTCGGCCGCCAACGAGCTGCGCTGGATCCGCGAGCATGTGAAGAGCACCCAGTCGCCTGTCCCGGACGGCTTGCGTTTTTGGAGTCTTGTCGAGAAGCGGGCGACGGGTGTGCCACTGCAGTATGTGCTTGGGAACCAGCCATTTGGGGATCTGGATATTCTGTGCCGGCGGGGTGTGTTGATTCCTCGGTATGTTTGTTTACTCTCTTTTTTATCTAAAAAAAGAAATTTGCAGAAATATTTCTTGAATATCACTAACATAACTGCTAACAAACCTAGCCCCGAAACAGAAGCCTACACCCTCCACATCGCCAACATCCTGACAAAATCCTCATCAACCCCCCTCAACATCCTCGACCTTTGCACAGGCACCGGCTGTATTCCCCTCTTACTACTACACTCACTCCTCGCCTCCCCGTCCGTCGCAGGGCCCATTTCTCTCCACGGCGTCGACATCTCGCCGCACGCCGTCCGCCTCGCACGGGAGAATCTCGCCCACAATATCCGTCTGGGCCTCCTCCCTGCGTCGATCCAGGGCCCGAATTCTTCCTCCCTAGGGAGTGGAAATCCAAGTCAAAATCCAAATCCCTACTACACGTTGAAATTCACCGAGCAAGACATCTTCTCCCCTTCTTTCCTATCCTCCCACTTCCCCTCATCACAACAACCGAGTACACAACCCAGTACACAATCTAATCCCCAACCTACCAGCAAAGACATGCCGAAAAACGACCTCGACCTCCTAATCAGCAACCCCCCCTACATCTCCTCCTCAGCCTTCACCTCCCGCACCACCGCCCGCGCCGTCCGCCAACACGAACCCCGTCTAGCCTTGGTCCCCGATCCCATCTCTTCGCTTCTCACCGCTTACTCCCGAGAGTCTTCTCACTCCGGAGGGTCATCTCAGAAGGTGTATGAATCATGCCACCCCGCGGACGTCTTCTACGCCCGGCTGGCCGAGATTGTGGGGATGGTACGGCCAAAGAGGGTGGTGATGGAGGTTGGAGGGTGGGGGCAGGCGATGAGGGTTGTTAGGGGGTTTGTGGTGGACGGGTGGGGGAGTCATAATTCCTTCTCAACTCATAATATGAGCAGTGGGGATGGTAGTGGTTACGAGAGTAGTGAGAGTAAAAGTGGAAGTGGGAGTGGGAGCGGGAGTGATGGCCTGCTGGGATCGGGCCGAGGCCAGGGGGAGTATGAGATCGAGGTGTGGCGGGACGAGCCGGCTGGGGAGAATGATGCGAAGCATTGGGCGGTTGTGGACCAGAGGGAGGTGGCGGTGCGTGGGAGGGGGTTGGCAAGGGTGGTGTATCTTGTGAGGAGGGATTGTTGGGAAGAAGATGAAGGGAGGAAAGGTTAGTTATTGTCAGTTAATATCAGTCGAGTTAAAGTCAGTCAAAGTAAAGTGGCGGTTGAAATTGAGGTCAAATAAAGTTGGGGAGTCTATTTTCGACGCCGTTAAATCCATAAATATACACTACACTACACACACCGACACACACACACACACACTCTCTCACTACCCCAGCACGAAATTCACACTCTCCCCCCGCTTAACCACAATCACCCTTTTAGCCCGCGTCAAATTCACCCCCGTCTGCTCCACCTTTTTCTTCACCTCCTCCGCCTTAAAGACCTCACGAACAAGCCACTGCTCCATCAGCTTCCCACCCAACCGCTCCTCGGGCGTCGCAATATCAATCTTGGCAAACTTCTTCCCATTCACGCTGACCTTACACATCTGTCGCCGCGACTTCAGCACCTTCAGGTTCAGCGTCCCGTCCACTTCTGGAAACTCCACGCGACCGCCAAACAACTGATTCAGTCCGGTGTGGGACATACCCAAGAGACTCCAGCATTCCTCGGCAAACGCCGGGGTGATGGGCGCGAGCATGCGTATGAGGGCGGATAGTGAGGCCCGGAGGATGAGCTCGCTTGTCACGCCGGTGTTGTTTTGGATGGTGTTGGTTAGGGTCATGAGGTCGGAGACGACGGTGTTGAGGCCGTAGACCTTTTGGTATGACTCTGTGACCGACATGATGGTCATCTGCACTTTGCGCCAGAGCCTTATGTCGATGTCTAGTGTCTCCCTCATTTCAACTACGTTTTCGGCCTTGGTAAGCCTTCCAGTACCTGTAAGCCTTTCCGCCATTCTCTCTAGGTATTCTCTCGCGTCGGGAGTATCCGGCATTCGGATGGCTGGGTCCAGCTTGGAGACGAGATCGTGCACGCGGCCGAGCCAGCGGGTCACGCCGACAATCTTTTCGCTGTCCCACTCGAGTACCTCGCTGACGGGCGCCTGGAAGAGAATGTGCGCCCGCGTTGCGTCGGCGCCGTGCTGGGCGATTACGTCTGTCGGGTTGACGCCGTTGTGCTTGGACTTGGACATCTTTTCAAAGGTGACCGCTGCTCGTTCGCCCGTGGCGGCTACCTTGGGTTTGGCGGGATCGGTGAGGTCGACCTCGTCCGGCTTGAGGAACCGGCCGGTGGACCGGTCGGTGTACGTCTTGCCGTGGACCATGCCCTGGGTGATGAGCTGCCGGAAGGGCTCGTGAAGCGTCTCCCGGGCGCCCCCCTGCCGCAAGGGTCCTATTGTTTTTTTCACCAGAGCTTTGTAAATAAACCGCGCGTAGAGGAGGTGCAGAATCGCGTGCTCGACCCCTCCAATGTAGATGTCCACCGGTAGCATGGACCGGGCCTTGTTCTGGGAAAACGGCGCGTTCTGGTTGTGCGGGTCGATGAAGCGCATGTAGTACCAGCTGGAGTCCACAAACGTGTCCATAGTGTCCGTTTCCCGCTTGGCCGGCCCGTGGCATTTGGGACAGGTGGTGTTGACCCAGTCCTCGGCCGTCGCGAGCGGGTTGCCCGTCTTCTTCCCGACCCAGTGCTCCTGCGCATCGGGTAGCACCACCGGCAACTGGTCATCTGGCACGGGCACTGCGCCGCAGGAGCCGCAGTGGATGATCGGGATGGGGGTGCCCCAGTAGCGCTGCCGGCTAACCAGCCAGTCTCGGAGCCGCCATTTCTCACCGCGCGCGGCCAGTTTCGATTCCTCGAGTATCTTGATCAGCGTCTCGCCGGTTTCTTCCGACGTGTTGCCCTCAAACAGGCCGCTATGCTCCGTCATAATGCCGTGGTCGAGGAAAGGTTTGTTTTCAAAGGCCGTGGTGGATTCGTCCTCGGACGCGGCCAGCACGAATCGGATCGGCTCGTCCTTGTGGTGCGTCTTCCAGAATGCGTGGTCGCGCGTGTCGTGGCCCGGCACGCCCATCACGGCACCCTCTCCGTAGTCGCCAATCACATACGGGGCGACATAGACGGGAATCGATTCCTTGGTGGCATGGGGCGTATTGTCCTGGTAGGCCAGCGGGTTGACAGCGCGGATGTGAGGGAGCATGTAGCCGACCTTGGAGTCAGGCGGCAAGCCCGGCAACGTACACAGGAACGCCTGGAGCTCCGGGTCCTGCGCGGCCAGCTTCTCCACGACCGGATGTGACGCGGCGAGGGCCAGGTACTGGACCCCAAACAGGGTATCCGGGCGGCTGGTCCAGACCTCGATGGCGGAGTGGGCGGACTCCACCTCTTGGTCGAACGCGACCACCGGGAACTTGATCGTGGCGCCGACCGACTTGCCCAGCCAGTTCTGCTGCATGGACAGGACCCTCTTCGGCCAGGCGTCGTCCTTGGCCAGCGTCTCCAAGTCCTGCAGCAGCGACTCCCGCATCGCCGTGATGCGGAGAAACCACTGCTTCAGCTTCCGCTTCTCGACCTGCGCACCCGACCGCCAGGAAGTCCCGTTGGCGCTGACCTGCTCGTTCGCGAGGACCGTCTCATCGACAGGGTCGTAGTTGACCTCGGCCTCGGCCTGGTACGCGAGCCCCTTTTCGTGCAGCCGGAGAAAGATCTGCTGGGTGTGCTTGTAGAAGCTCGGGTCGCATGTCGACAGCTCGCGTGACCAGTCCCACGAGCCGTTCATCAGCCCCAGCTGCTCCTTCATCGCGGCGATGTTGGACTTCGTCCAGCTCGCCGGGTCGATCCCGCGCTCGATCGCCGCATTCTCGGCCGGCAGCCCGAAGGCGTCCCACCCCATCGGTAGTATCACATTCTTGCCCGTCAGAGCGTGGTATCTCGCGATGGTGTCCGCGATGGTGTACACGCGGAGATGGCCCAGGTGGAGGTAGCCGGACGGGTATGGGAACATGGGCAGGATGTATTTGAGCGGGGCCGGCTTGTGCTCACGGCGGGACGAAGCCCACCTTGTCCGCCATTTTGCATCGAGTGCGGGGAGATCGAGTGGTGTCTCGGACTGACGACGATGCTTGGAGCTAGAAGCTCGGAGTGAACCGCCCGGGCTACGCCATGGTGTTGTATTGGAGAGTGGGCGGCCAAGGCCATGACTGATGGCTGGGCTGAGCCGGAGCGGGTTTAGGTTTGGCAAAGAGCGGCCAATACACCGGGTGTAGAGAACTGGCATGATCATCACATTGTCGGTTGGTGGTGAGGGTTGGTGTCCAGCCTCAACCTCCGTGGGTCATAGACTTGAAAAATCGTGAAAGTGAGCTGTAAATTGAAGCACTTGCACAGAAGCTGTGGGCTCGGGAGCTCAAAATAAAGTGGGTCTTCAATTAAGCTCCGCAGACGGCACGAGCCATTCAAACTGATCGATGTACCGTGTTGGTACTCTGTATTTGCTATGCGTATCAAGGAATTTGTTGTTTCCAGTGCATATTTCTTGAGATAACCTCTAGCATCTCGTGCCTGTCCTGGCTTGCCCGGGTGAAACAATTCTTTGATTTAACTTTCTAGAAATCGATCTGAATTCGGCAAAAGACGGCACGTGGACGGCACTCAATGTGGGACGCGCACGGGCCCATATATCTTGGCATTTCAGTGCTGTCGAATGTTTGCCAACCGTTTTGTTCCCCTTTCTGGATCCCAGCCAATCTTGAATTGCTTGAATCCAACTCCACTGCAACTTGTTGCTCCCTCCTTTTCCTTCTTCTTTTCGCCTGCATGATTTTTCAGTTCTTGGCAATTCCCACGTATAACACCGTATACATTTAATTCACGGTACTTGGCTTTCATTATACATTCGAAAACCACCTCGAGACGTCCGTGTCGTCTCATCTGAACCGAGAGAAGCCGAAACCCTCGACCGCAACCAAAACCCACGACGTCGCAAACTTGACCGCAAACTTCACCGCTGCCTGCGTCGAGGTCTCTTTTCTACCTCGCCCTCCATACCGTCCGCCTGCGACATGGTTTCCGCGGGGACGAGCATAATACAAACATAATATCGACAGGTCGACCCCTCGAAAGGGCTACTAAGCCCACTTAAAGAACCAAAAATAATAAAACAACACCATGCCACAACTCTACTCCAACCTCCCGACAGCGCGGGACTCTCTCGAGCTCGCCTCCCTCGCCAGTTCCAGCCCCGACTCCGGCGCCAGCGCCGACCGAGACGACGACGACGACGACAGGTCCGACGGCTTCTCCTCGCGCCCAAGCCTCTCGTCCTCGCGGCGCGCCTCTCTCGAACGCGACGACCCCCTCGACGATCACCACCCGGCCGCCGGCGGCCCCCGCAGCCGTCCAGAAACCCACGCCCGCTCCTTCTCGGTGTCGTCTACTTTCGACTTTGCCGCTAATCTCTTCCCGCTTTCCAGCACTACGGGGGCCGCAGGGGCAGGTGTTGGGGGGTACGCCCCGCTTAGTGCATCGGCGTCGGCGGCTGAGTTTGGAGGTGGTGGTGGCGGGGATGGGTTGTTGGGTGGGAGCAGTAGCCGGTTTGGGGGAGCTGGTACCGGGTCGTTGGAGAAGCACAAGACGCTGACGTATCTGAATGGGCTGTCGCTAATCGTGGGGCTGATCATTGGGTCGGGTATCTTCTCATCGCCGAGCCAGGTGAACTCGAACGCGGGGTCACCCGGGGCTGCGCTGATTGTTTGGACGGTGGCGGGGGTCCTGGCGTGGACGGGGGCCGCGAGCTATGCGGAGCTTGGGGGTGCGATCCCGCTCAATGGCGGGTCGCAGGTGTACTTGTCCAAGATCTTTGGCGAGCTGGCTGGGTTCTTGTTCACGTGGGTGGCGGTGCTGGTGCTGAAGCCTGGGAGCGCGGCCATCATAGCCATCATCATGGGCGAGTACCTGGTGCGGGCGGTCATTGGGCCCGAGGCCGAGACGGTGAACGTGTGGGTGAACAAGTCGGTGGCCGTGGCCGGGCTGGCGCTGGTGACGTTTCTGAACTGCGTGTCGACGCGGCTGGGCACGCGTATCAACGACATGCTGATGTTTCTCAAGTTTGTGGCGTTGCTGGGGGTGACGGTGATTGGGATTGTTGTGGCAGCCACGGGGTTCTCGGCGTCGGGACAGCCGGCGAACCGCGACTGGAAGGACCACGCGTGGTTCGAGGGAACGCACATGGATGCGTCGGCGTGGGCCGTGGCGTTGTATGCTGGTTTGTGGGCATTTGACGGCTGGGACAATGTAAGCGGCACCTGTTACTCGCTATTTCTGTTACTCCCCCTTTGACCTACTCTCGCGATCAAGACTAAGTAACAAAACAAACAGACCAACTACGTGGTCGGCGAGTTCCGCAACCCCGGCCGCGACCTCCCCCGCGTCATCCACACAGCCATGCCGCTCGTCATCGCCGGCTACCTCCTCGCTAACATCGCCTACTTCCTCGTCCTCCCCCTCACCACCCTCAACTCCACCAACACCGTGGCCGTCATGTTCGGCCACAGAGTCTTCGGCCCCGTCGGCTCCCTCGTGCTCGCCCTCATCGTTAGCGCCTCCTGCTTCGGCGCCCTCAACAGCTCCGCCTTCACCAGCAGCCGCCTCGTCTACGTCGCCGGCAAAGAAGGCTACATCCCCTCCATCTTCGGCCGTCTCGGTCGCGCCACCGGCACCAACCCCTCCAACAACATCCACACTCTCTCATCCTCCCGCAGTGGCACCACCGTGGCCCGCCGCTTCGCAAAACGCCTCACCGCCCTCGTCGGCGATGACGACCACGGCCTCTTCTTCACCCCCATCCCGGCATTACTCCTCAACGCGGCGCTCACCACGGGGTACATCGTTGTCGGCGAGTTCGGCACGCTAGTCACCTTCTACGGCGTGGCGGGGTACACTTTTTACTTTCTCACCGTGCTCGGCCTCATCGTGCTGCGGGTGCGTGAACCCAACCTGGAGCGGCCGTACCGCACGTGGATCACGACGCCGATTATCTTTTGCTGTGTTAGTTTGTTCTTGCTGAGCAGGGCTGTGTTTGCCCAGCCGCTGCAGACGCTGATTGTAGTGGGGTTTGTGGTGGCTGGCGTGCCGGTGTTTTACTGGCGGGTTAGGGGGTGGGGGAGAGGGAAAGGGAGAGGGAGAGGGAGGATAGGGGTGAAGGCTGGGTTTGGGGGGGAGAAGGAGAGGCCGTGGTGGAAGTTTTGGAAGAGGCGGTAATGGGCAGTCTTAGTCAGATATGCAAGACTAAAGCTGGTTTTTGCTTGGAAGGGAGGTTTGAATATTGGAATTGGGAAGTTAAAGTCATGGATTGGCTTTGAAGCATTAGGATTCATTCAGCATTGGATTGACGCCAACTGCGTATAGGCATGAAGACGCGACATGATCCGGCGTCGATACGTAATAATACCAATTCACCGACCGCTACGTTTAGCCGGGCGGTCTTAATACGAGGAATGAAGATCGATCAAAAAGAGAAAATAAATCAAATAAAACTAAATTCAATAAACAACCTTCAAAATATCCCAGCTCGTGCCTTTGACTCCGGACACGCGCCGAAACGGTTTATTGTACATAAATATTCCCAACTACCTCAATAGGTGAGTTCATTGCCCCCCTTTTTTTCTCTTGTTTTTCTTTTCTTTTATTTCCCTTTTCCTCAGAGTGGGCCGTTTAAGACTTCCCCGTGGCCGCCTCGCGCAGCCCGTACGCCTTCGTCGCATAGTCACCACCATGCACAATCAGATCCTCCGGGCGGTAATCCAACTTGCCTGACAGATAGCTCTCCAAGATCGCCTTAGTCCCATCCGCATACCGCTTCTGCGCATCCAGCGACGTCCCCGACATATGCGGCACCATCGCATTGCCACCGCCAAAGGGGTTCTTCGCCGTCCGCAGCACATGGTCCTGCGGCGCCGGCTGCGGGAACCACACATCACCTCCATACCCGCGCAGGTGGCCCGATTTCAGCGCCGCCGCGACATCCTCCTTCACCACGATCGCCCCGCGCGCCGTGTTGACGAGCCACGACCCGGGCTTCATCTTGGCGATCAGGTCCTTGTTGAACAGCCCGCGCGTCTTTTCGTGCAGCGGGCAGTTGATGGTCACGACGTCGCACTGCGCGAGCATCTCCTCGAGATCATTCACGCGCCGGCAGCCGATCTCCGCCTCCTTCTCCGCCGACAGCGGCTGGTAGTCGTAGTACAGCAGCTCCTTGCAATCGAACGCGCGTAGACGGCGCAGTACACGCTCGCCGATACGGCCGACGGCGACGGTGCCGACGACCTTACCCTCGAGGTCGAACTCGTTCTTGGCGGCTTCGGCGACATCCCAGCGGCCGGCCTCGATCTGTTCGTGGGCGGGGACAAAGTTGCGGACGAGGACGAGGATGGTCATGACGACGTGCTCGGCGACGGAGACGACGTTGGAGCCGGTGACTTCGGCGACGGTGATGCCGCCGTTGGTTTTGTTGGCCGCGTTGAGGTCGACGTGGTCGGAGCCGATGCCGGCTGTGATGGCGAGCTTGAGGTTCTTGGCTTTGGCCAGGCGTTCGGCTGTGAGGTAGCCGGGGTGGAAGCTGAGTACCTAATGTTAATTTCTGTATTCTTATGTATTCTCAAGGTGGGAGTATATCTTACGGCGTGGTGATGATGATCTCGGCGTCGACGAGCTCGCGGTCAAAGGTCGAGTTCTCGCCCTCCTTGTCGGACGTCGTCACCAGCGTGTGGCCCTGGTCCTCAAGCCACTTGCGGATGCCGAGCTCATTTTCGGTGGTTCCCAACAGGCCGGGGACCTAAGATTGTTAGCATTCTGCTCGTTTTCTTTGCTTTTCTTCTTATGCTTTATTTTGTTTTCTTTTCTTGCTCCCTTTCCCCGCCCCCCTCAGCTGACGGGTGCCTACACATGAACACCCAACCCAGCATCAGGGCGAGAAGCGCAAGGGAGACAAAGACAGACAGGAAATGAACCACCAAAACGGGGTGAAGTGAGGTCAACAGGAGAAAGTCCCGAGGTGGGTCGTGAGTGGGAGGTGCATTGCAGTGTTACATGCAGCATTCCCCACTTCCCCGAACTCCCCCCGAAGTAACCCCTTTATTTTCCCGAACTCCCCTCCTCCCCCCAAACCGTGACGCAACCAACTCCACGGTACCCCGCATCCCGTAACCGCATTTGCGTCGCGTGCACATTCGGCAGAACAAAGTCTCGGTAGATATTTGTGCTGTCTAGACTTGGGATGCGGAATGCGTACGGGATGAGAGTTGGTTGTCGCCCGGCTGGTTGGTGGCTGGTGGAATGACACAAGGAACGAGGACGGACGAGAAAAAAGGGGAAGAAGAGAAAAGAAAAAAGAATCTTACCTCCTCGGCGTGCTTACCGCCATCGTAGAGAACAGCCAGGACTTTGACCTTTTCGCGTTGGGTGGTTAGCAAGCGTTTCGTGGTGGCTGACATGCCGGTTGGTCCCATCCCAAAGCCGACGGTGGCTCGGCGTAGGACGGACGGAGAACAGCTGGCGCGGGCATTGCCATAGCTGGTGCGAGTATGGAAGGCAGCCCGCCAAGGGCTAGAACGGGGCAAGGTGGACGAAAGAAGGGAGGAGGGGGCTCGAGAGGAGAAGAGGGCAGCGGGACGAGCTGTAAGTACCATTTTGATGATTGATGATGATGATTAGAGAAAGATAAAAGCTGATGATCTGGTGATCAAGACGAGGAATTGGTCGAAGGGGCCGTGCTGTCTTATACAGGTCGGCTGGGGTATCAGACGGGACGAATTTTATGTATGTAGGCTGAGTTTGGATGATAAGATGGGACGCTATCTGCGTGCAAGTGTGTTGGTGTGTAGATGTGAGGTGTAAAGACAGAAACCACCCTCGAGACGGAGCAGGTTCGGGGTTATTTATACACCCCATCCCTCCTCTCCTACTTCCTACTTCCTACCTGTGTCCAAACATCCGTACCACCGCGGCCGTGTACGGGATTCGGTCTCCCGGCTCGGCAGTCGCTCGATTCGCCGTGGACACTGTTCGGGGAGTACGGCAGGTCTGGTCATTGACTCGTTGAAAGCCGAGCTCTATCAGCACAACGACGGAATAGGAATATCTCCACCACTAATTCAGGAGGCACTCGATTCGTGCAAAACAGCTGCATACTCTCGGGGTTCATTTGTCTCAAGCATCCTGCGGTTAGTGGGTATCGTTCCCATTCGCCAATCGCTCGCCCGAATTGGCACCCCGCAGAGGCCCAGCAACGGCCGTTTGACCTTTTGCCCGTTTGGTTGCCATGCCTGCCATGTGGTGCAGGTCACTGATCGACAGCATGAACCTGCTTGGGAACCCGTAACATGGCAGCATTACATGCAGGTTGGTGAGGGGTCTGGGGACATTGGGATCTATGACGGATGTGCGAAGCGGCTGATGGAGGGTGTGTTGTGCCAATGGCCGATTCAAAGCGGGAGGTTTGGTCTGAAAATTCGATCAGTTCATGTAGTGTCGGTCGTAGGTGTTGCACCTTGACGGTCGAATAATTCACACAGGACATCACTATCCAACCAGCCAGCTCAACCGTCCCCATCAAGCCCACCCAACACCCAGACAAACAAACCCCTCTCGGGAATAATCACCCCTTCCCGTTCCCCTCACACGGACACGGAAAGCTCCATACATCTGCCAACGACCGAGCCCCTAGCTCTCGAGGTCCTTCGGGACTTGTAAAACGCGCGGGCAGCCGGGACGGGAACTTCGGCGATAGTTCGGGATGTACCCCGGGGCTGACGAGCGGGGTAGGGGTATGTATGTACATGTACTCCATAACTCGATGGGAACATCATGCAACCTAGCTTCAACAACATCAAAGAATAATAGATAGCCTTGACGAGAATATCTTATAGGGTCTTGCCTGTCTCGTTAAAGTAGGCATCTTCGCCAAATCTGGTCGCCAAGCAACGGATGACGTTCAGTACAGTACATGTACATACCTTCAGTCAACCCTCAAGAAGGGATATAGGCGCATTGCTGAGAAATATTGACCGAATGCCTTCATATCCCCGAGCCCCCGTCAACCGAGGCCACCACTTCATCTCGGCGTGTTCTTGCACATCCCGAGCGGTCCCCGAACCGAGAAACGGCTCATCCCGACGGTTATCGGTTTGATGTGCGGGATGCCGAGTGTGTAGATATCGTATGCGGGACGTCGATTGTGTATCGTGGAGGAGCGTGCTTATCTTTCTTCCCTGGGGGAACAAGACGGTGCTGAAAAGACTCAATTTCTACAATGCAGTCCCATAACGCTGACCTATGCCCCTAAATGCCCCCAAACTATGAGACTGGGAAAGAGAGGAGGGATAACAAGAATCTACCTGTACATACAAACATACCCAGACAAGATGCAAGAATCATCACATCATAACTTCATCCTGACACTTCCCCCAAGCGCATCCCATGACCTTCTCGACATGAGACCATCATGATCATGAAACCATCCATCTACCCCCAAACCTGACCGGCTAGTCACAAACTATACGGCGGCGGCGACTCGTTGGTTTCTACCCTCGGCACGCCATGCGCAGGTTCGGCCGCCGCCGAGGCTGCTCCCGACGTTGTAGTCGCACTCGAAGCCGAAGCCAAAGCCGGCGTCGTACCCTCCGCGGCCAACCACCCAGCGGCCTTGGCCATCATCTTGGGAAAGTACTGCTGCACAAACGATTCCCTGTATGCATCACGTTAGTAAGTTGACCTAAACAACATACGTAAAGAAAGGAAAGGAGAGAACCCACGAGTAATAACTATGCTCAGACCCATGCACCGACACCAAATTATGCGCCAACTCATGCGCGACCACCACCCACCACCACGTCGTAGCCTCAACCCTCCCCCTCCCGCTCTCACTATAATTCCTGCCCCCATGTAACTGCTCCCAAAACCTCAAATTACAAAACACACTGCCCCCCCTATTAAACGCCACCGTGCCCCCGCGCTCATCACAAAATATATGCAACGTCCGTTCACTCAACCCATACACACCCGCCACATCCCTCAACAACGTCTCAAACCGCGCGATTCCCTCGGCATGCGTGGTAATAAACTCCCCATGGCCCGCGGCGGCGCCCTGGTATTTCTGACTTAGTCCGCGGTCGAGAAACACGCGCATACCCCGCGGCGCGTCGGCGGCGAAGACCAGGTTCTGGGCGGGAGTGCTGTCGCAGTAGGAGGTCTGTTCCTGCACCGTGGTCTGATTGGGCGGGGCGAAGAGGGTGGTGGAATCGTGGGCGCGGGTGGAGCGGATGGCGTTGAGGAGGTTTTGTTGGATGGTGGCGGGGGAGGTGACGCGTTCGTCGTCGTTGGGGGGTTTGGGCGTTGTTGGTGAGGTGGGCTTTGTTCCCTGGGGAGATGGAGGAGGGAGGAACTTGTCGAGTTCCGAGTTGGATGACGGCCGACCGTTGTTGTCATGTTCGTCGTGATCATCGCTGAACCCCAGACGCCTAGATAGGTTCGAGAATAAACCACCACCACCGCCACTGCCCGGCCATCTCGGCCGGTGGGTATGCTGCTGTGGCTCAGGCAACGCCGGGGGGTGAGCATGTTCCGGCGAGTCGTCAAAGCTCCCCGGCATGCGACCCTTGGGGCGTTCAGGCGTCGTAGCAACAACATCCTGGGTAGGTTCCTGGGCCGCCCACTCTTTCTGACGCTCCCGAATGCGCGCCTGCTCGGCCTCGAGGGCCTTGCGCCGCTCTTCCTCAGCCAGCCTAGCCTCAGCGGCCTTGGCACGTAGAATACGGTCGACATTGTAACCCCGGGCGCGCAAGTCCAGCAAGCCCAGCTTCAGAAACGGCTCAAAGAAGAAGTAGGCCTGCTGGTTCGGCCGGGCCAGCAGCAACTGGCAAATAGCCATGCCGACCTGATACATATCGGGCTTGTTGTTATCCCTCCCGTCGTTATCGGCCACATACAGCGTATACCCGATGCCTAACTTTTGGCTAGCCGCCGAGCGCTTCTCCTGGTGTGTCTTAGCATTCAGCCCGCCGGCTCTCAACGACCGCCGCAGCCCCAGCGATGACACGGCGATCACCTGCAGATTCTTGTCAAGCCACTGGGCGTCATGCTTGACGGCGTCGGACAGCTTGTCCTTGGCGTACTCGTGCAGGAACAGCTTAGAGCGCTCCAGCACGTGCTTGCGCAACCAGTCGGCGCCGCGCTGGTCCCGCGCGCGCTGGCCGACGTACAGGTCCTCCTTGACCTTGCTGCCCAGCGTGGCCGCGCCGAGGGTCGTGTAGAATAATTCGAGCTGGTCGTCCTCGGGGGCGCACAGCAGCGTGTCCTTGAACAGCCGGTAGCTGATGTAGTCGTCGAGGATGACCATCTCGTCGGCCTTGGCCAGCTGGTAGTGCTTGATGGGGGGCGTGTCGTCGTCATCATCGCCGTCGTCGTCCTTCTCAGCCTTATTACCGCCCAAGATTCTGGGAGTTCTGCTCTTAGCAGGGGCTACCTCGCGAAACCCCAGCAACCACGCGTTCGTCTTCATCTTGCGCACCAGTTCGCGGTCCCCCTTGAGAGTGCCAAAGTCCTCGGCGATCGACCGCAGCAGGCCGAGGTACTTATCCGGGCTCTGCAGCACGCTGAGCAAGCGTGCCGGCTCGGAGCACGCCATCTGTGCGATCTCGTGCTTCGACGGCTCTGTCTTGGCTCCGCAGTGCGCCAGGAACGCGTTGCCGTCGACGCCAAAATCGACAAAGTCGAAGATATCTTGGTACGTGGCCGAGCTGCCCAGATAGCAGTGCGCTGGGCGCACATGGGTGACTGACTTTGACCCTTCTGCTGTTGAAGTCGCCCCTGAATTCGACCCAACCTTGAAAATAGGCACAAACGCAGCATCACGCAACCGCGTCCGACTCTGCTGCCCAATCTCCCCAAGCCGACTGCGAAAGTACGCAAACAGCGTCACAGCCATCACCCGGTCCCGCGGCGGCTTCGCAATCAGCCGCTCGACACAGCCAGGCATGGGCGGATCGCGCGCGACGCCCAGCTTGTCGGCATGCACGTGCAAATCCCGGCGCAGGATGGAGTACCCTAGTACGGCGGCCCGTTCGTTGGTGTAGCACGCTCTGGGAGACACCAGTTTTTGTTGTTGTTTCTCTTTATCGCCCTTGTCGCCCTTGTCATCCTTGCTGTCGCTGATGCTACCCTCCAGCGGCAAGAAACACTTATCCGACGTCGATAGGTCCACGTGCGAGTACTCATTATGCCGATGATTCGACAGGAAATACTGCATCGCGCTGGTCCGCAAGCCCTCCTTATCCGCCCCCGGCGACGCCATCATATCCACCAAATCCGGCACAGACGGATACGGACGCAAACCGAGACTATACAGAAACCTAGCCTCAACGCTCCCGCTGCGAAAACTGCCCGGCGGACCGGGCCAGTGCAGGATAGGCAGGCCCAGCACCCGCAGCGAGTCCTTGGGCTCATACAGCTCCGACACGCGGTACAGCCGGGTACTGCCGCGGGTCGGTTCCATCCCGCGCGGGCCGGCCTCGGCCGGGCACAGCGGCGACCCCCGCAGCTTGGTCATGTCGGCGCTGGGGATGTCGTTCTGGACCGAGGCGAGGTACTTGATCAGTTCCATGTGGCTCCATTTGGGACGGTTGTCGCCGGTTGGCGAGGCAGTGGTAGGTGCAGGGCTCAGTAGGCGCGTGAAGATGGTGTCTAGGTCGACCGTCTTGCGGACCCCGAGCGCCACCAGGAACTTGTCCTTGAGCTGGGCGCACCCTTGCAGCGTCGGCAGGTCGTCGAATAGCTTGACCGTCGGGAAGAAGGACTCGGCTGGTTTCCGCATGCCCGCTTTCGTCGGCATGACCGTGAGCTCTTGTAGCGCCGACACCACAGATGCCTTGGAGCTTTGGCTGAGGTTGTCCCAATTCTTGGACAGCACCGTCAGCACCCGTAGAGCAAATTCGTCGTTCTTGGTCAGGTTCTCCGCGTCAGGATGGCCTCGAGATGCTGCCGACTGGATCAGGAACCGCAGCCAGTCCACGACCCCGAGCGGTTGCCACCCGAGCGCCTGCAGTGACGTCTCAGGGATGCCGCCAATGTACGCCATCGGGATCGTCGTGGGTGGGAAGGGAAGCGCCGGCGGGATCTTGTTGTTGGGATAGTTCCGGATCGTCCCGAGCGCGATGATCTCCCCGACATCGCTGCCTGCGGTGCTTTTGTCGCCTGCATTGGGTCCCGGAATCGTAGCCACAGCCACGCCCAAGAGGTCTTGCACGCTGCGCGGGTCGAGCTTGTTCGTAGACGCGCCCTTGGTGATCCACTGCAAGAAGTGTACAAGCTGGTCCCGGTCCAGCGCCTTGGCCCCAAGCTCCTGGCAGATATCCTGCACCGTGGCATCCTTGATCAGCCCAAAATCGATCAGCCGCTGGATGAAAGGGTCCTGCTTCATCGCCTCCAGCACCACGGGGATGCCCGCCACAAACTTGGCGATCTCGTCCGACGACGTGCGCACCTGCGACGTCGACAGCACGCCGCGTGACGAAAACACGTCCATCACGGGGCGTTTCCACGCCGTCCAGAATGCCTCCTCGATCACCTGCGATACCTGCGAGCTCGGCGTTGAGTCCTGGAACGTGTACGTCTTCAAGATGTGCAGCGCCTCGGGTATGCACTTCTGCACGTCCGCCGCCGAGATATCTTTCTTCTTTCCGCTACCCCCAGACATCCTGCGCAGCTTCTGATCTAGCTCTGCCATCTCGTCCGCAAACGCCAGCCGCGACATGACCCCCGCCGCCCGCAGCATCTCCATGTTCCACGATCGCACCCACCGCGCGTTCAAGTCGATCGCCTCGCGCTCCACCGTGGGGATCACCGACGGCGCCGAGATGTGCATCCCACCTCCCGTCGTCTGCGTGGTTGGAAACCCAATAAAGATACGGCCCCCGCCTGGTTTCTTGCTGGGCAGCACCGACGCGAACACGTCCGCAATCTTGGCCGCATCGTTCGATGTGTCGTCCGACGATGACGATGACGATGACGCTAGCGTCTCTTCATACGACGACGTCAAGATGGAAATCTTCGGTGCCTTAGGCGGCGGTTTCTTGGTCGCCCGCTCTAGCTCTTTAGCAAACTGCCCACCCACGGTGGCTGCTATCTGCGCTGACGTCACGCGGAGAAAGATGACCGACCGAGACAAGGCCGTCAGATCCTCCGCTATTGAATCTTGAATCGCCTTTTCCTCTTTGGCCGCTGCTGCCTTCTGCTTCGACGCCGCCGATAATGACGAGGACCCGGATGTGAGCCGGGAGAAAAAGCTTTTGAGGGACGGGAGCTCCGTCGAGTACGCCGGCTCGTTGTTGTTCGACTTGGCCGTGCCTGTTGTCGACGCCTGCGGCTTCCACCCAATGACGCTCATGAACGTCGCGTCTATCTGCACCCCCGTGCGGTCGGCCGATGTAAGCCGCATGATCCCTTCCTTCGTCCTGGTCTCAAGGTCGCGCGGGATGTCGATTGCCAACGCCGGCGAAGCCTTCTTCTGCAGCGACAGCACTTTCCAGTCATCAATCCAGAACTCAATATTCTGCAGCGCCACAAATGTCAAGCTCGTCGCCAAGAACTGGCTGACCGACAGCAGATTCGGCAGCGGCGTCGTCGTGCTCCGGTAGTCCAGCACAAACGACGTGTCCGGGCTACCCTGCCCAGCCGGCAGCGTCACCTTCCTCGTGAACAGCGCATTCGCTTTCCAGTAGAACGCCATAGCCTCCTGCCCGGAGCTGACAAACGGCTCCTCGCAATCGGCAAACACACTATAAAACCCCACGCCAAACGCCCCGATCTTGGTCTCGTCCGGGTTGCCCTCGGCAATCTTCTTCAGCCGGCCCCAGTCGGTCTTAGTAAACGGCATGCCGTTATTCGTCACCACCAGCCGCTGCAGTGTGTGGTGGCAGAGCGTGTGCTTGATGAGCTCGGTCTGGTTGTTGGCCGTGGCTGCCGGGACGGGTACTTGTGTTGACGGGAGCGTCTCCCACTTGACTTTGACTGTCGTCGCTTGGGCGTCGGCCGCATTCTGGATGAGTTCTCGTAGTGTTGTCCACTCGCCCGAGTACCGCGCCAGGACTTTGTCGATGAGCGCCCGTGTGTCTACCGTGACCGCTTCTTCCTCGTCCTCGGCGCTCATCGCGGCGGCGCGAAGCCGAGTGTAATCCATCTTGGTGTTTTTTTTCTCTTCCTTTTTACTTCTGTATTTTCGGCGGATTTGCAAGTAGTATCGTTCGAAAGTAGTAACGTCGAGTAGTTCGGAAACGACCGAATTCCACCGCTAAATCGGCGATGAGATTCGGAGTCGTAAAATCCTCAGATGCAGGTTCGAGGACCGCAACTCGTCGGTGTTGGAAGGATGTATTAAAGCCGGCCCACGCAAGGCCTACAAAGCCAAGAAAAGTAAGTGCCGGGAATTCCACGTGAAAGAAAGTGCGGCCTTGCCAACATCGCCCCTCTCTCCCGGCGGTATGTTGGAGGGGAGACGGGGGTCAAAAGCGAAAGTGTTTCGGGGGTGTTTACGGCCGGCACTGCGGACGTATCCGGACCCCTTGTTGTTGTTAGTCCGCCTCAGCCGCTTTTACTTAACCCTGAGGGTTAGCTAAGGAGTTACACGACGCTCGAGGCTGCAGCGTGACGTTTCCTCTCGGGACCTTGCCCCCACTCACTCCGACCCCTGGTCAGCCTTACAGGTGGCTTATCTTATCAGTTGCCGCAGCGCTCCAACCATGAACGGTATGCACGGCGGATCCCGGTCTCTGTTTCGTGACCGAGCAAAGGCTGAGCGGTTAGACGTCCATAACAAAAATAAGGGGAAACAGTCAGTTGGCCCGTCGGGCGGCTCACGAGGCGAACACGCCCTTTGAACTGTCATATCGTCTGTCGGTGTTCAAACCAAGTATCCTTAGCACGGCATACACGGCAGGTGAACCCATTGTCGTCCGGCAAGATCTCGGTCGTTGTGCCCAGCTCTTCTTTATTCCACCTCCTGTAATACGACTTCATTCTTTACCTTTTCCCCGATACATTGTTCCTCTTTATTTGCTCTCATATTGATCCCGATTTGGTTGGGGTTGCGGCGATTGTAGTATTCTTCGGCTCTCCCAAACTTGGGTAGATTTTCTAGGACTGTCGAACTCCAAGGGCTACAGGAGCACAACGGCAAGATACATCTCTGGCAACACCTTCTTATGCCGCGTATCAAGGTCCCCCTCCTCTCGTCCTGAACTGGGGTACATTGTGCCTAAGCCATTCCAGGGTTTCCTTGATTCTTTCCTCAACAATGGAAGCTGAAACTGCGACGAGTGAAGGCCTCTGCGGCCCGAAGCGTTGCAAGAGCCTCCGGGTCAAGCGCCTTGTCGATACAAAGTAGGTAATTGATATGCAGGATCCTGTACTTTACACATAGGTTACCTTCAGTACCACCCCCGAGGTTAGATCCACCGTCCTTCACCACATAGCCGACCGCGTGGAGAACCTCGTGTCGGCGAGTCGCGGGAGTTGAAGCGAGGCCACCTTCACGTACGGTTTCATGACTCTCCGCCATGGTAGCATTATTCGAGATATTAAAGCCTTCCAAGCGTAGAGTCAGCCAGGATCGGCAGGGAGACCGGCAAAACATAAGCGTTATTTAACCTCCGTGTTGTCGTCAAGGCCGCTATATTCAGAGAGCTCATTTGTGGCCCCCTCGCCTTTCTTCCCGGCCGTGGCCGCGCCCTGGGCTGCGGCTCCTGCTCCGCCTTCGATGGCTATGACCTGCTTTGTCGTCGCGATTGCCATGCCGCTTCTCCCTGCTCCGGCTGCGCTCACGGTTCCGGTATCTCTCTCCGTCACGTTCTCGATGCCTGTCAGGGCTCCTACTCCTGCTCCTGCTCCTCCTCCGGCGGCTGCGCACTTCGTTGTCGTCAGCGCCCTCGCGCCGTCTCTCCCTGCTCCGGCTGCGGTCACGGTCGCGATCTCTACCCCCTTCGCGATCCCGCTGCCGATCACGGCTCCTATGCCTCCTCCTACGCCGGCGGTCCGATTCCCTGTCCCGATCCGAATCTCTATGCCTGTCTCTCCGTGACCTCGGCGCTGAGGCCTCATTTGGTTCCTCTGTTGCAGTCTCAGCTGGCCGACTCGGTACCTTCGACCCCTCCACCTCCACCGCATTCGCGCCCGTCGCGTCTCGCGGTTTGATAGGTAGTCCCAGCGCTCGTGAGATAGCCTCTTCCTCGGCTTCTTTAATCTTGCGAATTTCCTCCCGTCGCTCACGCGCTTCCCTCTCTTCCTCTGTCTCGTTTGAATCGGCCGCTGTCGGATCCGACTTGGCGTACCAGTTCAGGTCGCGGCCTTTCGCCCAACGCCCAACGGGCGCTTTGAGGCTGTGGCCAAGGTAGTTTTCGCGGTATTGGGATGTGGCGACATCGTCCCAGCTGAAGTTGACACCGCCGCGGGAGCCCGTTTTGCGGACCGTCGAGAGAAGATCCATGCTGGAGGTTTAGATGGTCATTCGTAGTTCGCAATTAGGTTCGATCCGAATTACGATCGTGGTTCCGAAATGCTTGAATCGCGCGAGTGGATGTAAGATTGGCCGTTGGTGTGAGGGTTTGGTGTTCAACTCCGTCGCTGGTTGAGTTGAAGTTGCGGCCGAGCCACTGCAGGAGATGCGGAAAGCCCCTGTAGCCTCGCTAAAAGGTGCCCCACACCACCCAAACGGGCCCCTGCAAACTCGCGCTGTGGAAGCTCCAACTTTTGAGCTCCATCATGCTCCCCAAGACTCCAACAATCCCGAACTGACAAACTCCCCCACACAAACAACAACCAATACTCAGATCGCTACCACGGGAGATTCAGCTTATTTATCGACTAGCCAACGTAATCGCCCATCATGGCCGCCGCGCCGCTGGACGAAACCGTCTGGGCGACGATCCCTCAGTACGAGATGGGCTTGCACAGCAACAGCGTGCTCTTCTATTTCGCCGAGTCCATGTTCTATGACAGGACGTCCAACAACGAAGTCCTCTTCCAACAAGGACTCGCTAACCCCCACCTTACTCCGTACCTAGCGACCCGCGAGATGTTCGAAGGGCGTCTCAAGACCATGTCCGGGCTCGAGTTCCTCGTCGCCCAGGAGCCTGCCGAAACAGGACCCGGCGCGGGTACCGGCGTGTGGGTGATCAACAAGCAGATTCGGAGGAAACAGTCGCCCCAAGACGAGATTACCGTGCTCGAGACGTACTATTTGGTGGGGGAACGTATTTACATGGGGGCGAGCTTCGCGGACATCATCAGCTCCCGGATCGTACGTCCTTCTTGTCCATGTCCTCTCATTAGTTCAACCGAAGCCGAACCTAACACCTATCAAATACAGGCGTCGATGTCCTCAGCGATAGACAAACTCCTCCCCATCTCCGGCAGCGCACAAAGTTGGTCTCCCTCCCAAGGCCGCGTCTACCAAAACCCTAGCACCAACACCAACACAACAACAACAACTAAAGGCACCACCCCACTACCCCCCGAGATAACCACCACCAAACAACCTACCACGGCCACGACAACAACAACAACCGCCGCTACCACCAACCTCCCAACCTCCCGCCTCATCGAAGAAGCCCTCAGCATCCACCAACAGTTCGGCAACCACTACATGGACGAGAACCCCATCACCGGCAAGCCAGGCGACTTCCAGCTCGCCTCAACGGGTCGCAAGCCCGTCAACCTCTCAGCCGCTGGTGCACTCCAAGCGAAGAAAGCAGCCTTAGGCGTGCCTAACCTCCCGGCGCTGAACACCACGAAACTTGGTAATGGCAGTGATAACCCGCTGTCAGGGGCGGCAGGGGGACGACCGACGGGGAAGGAGACGAAGAGTCCGAAGACGCCGGGGGGTGGGAGTATGCAGAAGAAGAGGAGGAAGGGGAGTAAGGCGGCTGTGACGCCTCAGTGATTGGATTGGTTAGGTTGGTGGTGTAGCAAGGTGTTTAGTAGGAAGGGGGAAATGATAAGAGCCGTGGGCGTGTGTGTTTGGGGGGACTCAAGAGGGGCTTTCTAAGTTCGGCGTTATGGTTGCGTGGTTGGTTTTTTTTCTTAAACAATTCATGATACCCGGGTTTACTACTAGACAGCAAAAGTAAAGCAGGCAGGATGCATCTTAGCAAGACCATTTCACGTTCACATATACCAGTGATAATTGTGTAAATATAATTGAATTATTTGGCCATTCCGACCCGGGACAGAGCTCTATTGGCTAGTTCGACCTGTCGTCCTTTTACAGGAGTTAGTTATGCACACAGCTCCTAAAGAGGACGGTTGAAATCGGGAGGGGTAAACAGCAGTTCCAGCGCCTGGTTCAGAAAAAGAACAATGTAGGTGATAGTTTATAATCATTGGAAATCATAAACAGCCTCTTGCGAGAAATTCATCATGATGGCGGGAAAGGAGGTGAGAGACACACAGTACAGAATAAAAGAAGTGAAACTTACTCATGACATGGTCACTCTGCCACCCAGCCCTGTCCTGGGACCCTCTTTTGCTTGATCTTCCGCATCGGAAGGGGCCTAGATGATAAAGTCAGTAACAGGACTAATAACTCTAGGGCACTCATGGTATAAGGGCAAGAAAAGAACGTACCATCCCATCCCACCACCCGTCTCAGCCCGGAAATACGGAATCACCCACACCTCCCGTGTATTCCCATCCCCTCCAGCCGCGGCCTTCACCTCCTTCACCGGCTTGCCATACGTAAGCAACGGCGTCCCCTTAGCGACATTCGCCAGTTGACTACCCGTCAAATCTGTCAGCGCATGCATCCGAGTCTTGGGCCGCTTGCCGCTATCGTCTACGCTACCACCACCACTTCCCCCGGCCCGTTGCAGGTGCCCGTATACGACATACTCCGGGCACTCCTGCGGGCTGAGGTGAGCGAGCGGAGACGCTGGGTGGATGTACACTAGCTTGTCGGCTGGGTCGACAGATGTTGGTGCTATCCGGTCGTTGTCGAGAGGAATGAGGGGGAGGTAGGGGACGTCGATGGAGCGGCGCGGTTTGCGGTACATTTCGGGTGGGTTGGGGGCTTTGTCGGCGCGGATGGCGACTTGGTCCACAAACCCGGCGGCGACCATTTGCTTCAGGGCCTGGATCTGCTGGGTCGAGGGCCGTGGTAGCGTGTCGGGGATCTTGAAGTGGGCGAAAGCACCGGGCATATTGGTCCTGACGATGTGGGCGAGCTGGGTCTGGAGCTGAAGGATCTCCTTGAGAACCTTGAAGCGGACGAAGTGGCTTTCGCACCACTGCTCGGTGGGTTCGTGGGCAAACTCGCCGACGACTTGGAGGATCTTCATGGCGTCCGACTTGTCGTCGAGTGAGCAAAAGTTTCGGTGGACCGAGTTGAACGCCTTTCGTATTGATGCCCGTTTGTCCTCGGCGATGACTTCCTCGTTGGTGCGGAAGTCTTCGTTCTGGTCTAGCGCCACGGGGATGGCTTGGGTCTCGGGCACGAAGAGTTCGCCAGCGGAGAGACCGGCAATCATGGCGATGGTGTAAGGCAAGCAGTCGTGGAGGTGCCCGACAAGGAGGATTCGGGCAAACCGGGGCGCCAGAGGGAAGACAGACATGCTCGAGCCGACCGGTGTGATCTGCCCACTCGGGGATATTGCGGACAGGTAGGTCAGGAGCTTCTCGGCTTTGACGATACTCTGCCGGTCTGGTGGCGTTGGGAAGGGGAAGTTGACCACATGTTGGAGATTCATGGACTTCAACTGAAGGATCACGCCTTCGATGGGCATCCGCAGAAGTTCAGGGGCTGAGAACTCGGGGAAGTCTCTCTCGTACACCGCCGAAGAATACATCCTCCAGCAGTGGCCTGGGCCAGTACGACCTGCACGGCCAGCCCTTTGCTTCGCGCTGGCTTTGCTGATCCAGTCGATCTCAAAACTCTGCACGCCGCTCACGGCATCATACTTGCGTTCCTTTGACCTCCCGCAATCGAAAACATATCGAATACCGGGAATTGTCAAACTGGTCTCGGCCACGTTGGTCGCCAGGATAACGAGACGCGAGCCTTCGGGTGGCGGTTCGAAGACTTTCATCTGCTCTTTGGTGGGAAGCAGCGAATACAACGGCAAGATGTGCATCTTTCGAGGACCTGTGCCGGATTCTTCGTCTTCCAGGTCGAACTCCTTCTCCTCCTCCACCTCCTCGTCTGAGTCCATCTCGATCTCGTCGTAGCTGTCGTAGGCGTTTCGGTCGTCCGCCTCCCCAAAATCGATATCCTCGACCTCTACAGGTGCTTCACTAGCAGAGATACGAACTTTTGGGCCCTCAGCAGCAGTCATCCCCCCAAAGGAAGCTTTAAGGCGCTTGCTCAACTGCGAGATCTCGCCTTGACCTGTCAAGAACACAAGCATACCTCCAGGAGGCAACTTCCGGTGCCCCTTGCTGATCTTCCGGAACGCGTCCTCGATGTAATCAGGCCGTGTTTTCCGTGAAAAATGAAGCGTGACCTCGTGCTGTCGGCCCTCCACTTCAATAACACGCGGTGGTATCTTGAACAGCCTTGTGTTTGAAGCGAACTCTTCCACTCGAAGTGTTGCAGACATGATGACGATCTTCAACGGCTTGATCGATGAGTCCTCCTGCATCAGCTCTGCCCGTAGTTTAACCACTCTGCTGAGAATGGCAATGAGGATATCTGTGTTCACGCTCCGCTCGTGAGCTTCGTCGATGATGATCGCAGAGTACTTCTTGAGGGCAAAGTCCTGTGCAACCTCACGGAGGAGAACACCGTCGGTCATAAACTTAAGCGCAGTGTTGGGATCCACGTTGCCTTCAAACCGGATCTGATAACCAACAACGTTGGAACGATCCCCAAGCTCTTGAGCCACACGCTTGGACATACTGACGGCCGCCACTCGTCTTGGTTGTGTGATGCCGATCATGCCTGGTGTTGGCCCGTTGGGTGATCCGTAGCCGGCTTCGAAGAGAAACTGCGGTACTTGGGTGGTCTTTCCGGAGCCAGTTGCGCCGCAAATGATGACAACATCATTGTCGTGGATGGCCTCCATGATCTTCTGCTCCTCAGCAACAACCGGCAACTTGTACCGAGCTTCCTGAATTTCAGGGTCTCTTGTTACATTGACAGCGTACGCCTTCCTCCCGATATTTCTTGTCGGCTGCAGTTCAATCGGTAACGGATCTTCCTCAATCGGCCTAGGCGTGAAATTTTCGGGTTTAGGGATGTTGAAAGCTAGGGAACTGGAGTCGACCGGCGTGTATCCCAACGCTTCGTTCCTCTGCTGGTGAGCCCAGGCTTTGAACGCGGATGACCGCTGCTTGCGCTTCTCCTCGGCTGCTCCCTCCTCATCAGACTCTACATCCCCTTCTGAGCTTTCCACGTCATCGTCAGAACTGTCATCTCCCTCCTCCTCTTCACTGCCATCACTTTCTTCACTTGCCCCATCATCAGATTCATCTCCACTCCCATCTTCCGACCCATCGACCGAGGATTCGCCGCTGAACCCACCCCAACCCTCTGATTCTGATTCATCGTACATAACAGGTTGTACCACTGGGGTTTTCGTTTTGACACCTCCGCGCTTCTGTCGTTTTGCAAGAACTGGCCGGCCCGATCCGTCGGTCTCCAGGGGGCGTTTTAACCCTGAGCCAACTGTCGCAGGCGCTGGTTGCGCTGATGCTTGTATCGAAGACTGGGACTTTGCTGGCACCGTCACGGAGGAGTCAAGAGCTGCTCCCTGCTCCCCCGCATCTCCCTCGTCATCTTCCGACTCGCTCAATGTCTCGTCGTTTGGTGGTACAGCTCCTTCTGTATCCTTCCGGCGCTGGTAGAGGAGGTTTGCTGCCGACTTGTCCAATGTTAAACCGGCATGCTGCTCCTTGATGGTGCGTCTCAAAGCCTCTCGCTTGGTCTCCTTGGTCTGGCCCAGGGACTTGCTGCTGGAGAAAAGGCTGGTGTCGATCTTGTTGGCGGCAAGCTTGGCGAGTAATTCGCGGTTCTCGTCCTTCTTCAACTTGTTTTCGATGTACTTTTCAAGTCGTTTAGCTTTCTGGCCGCTGACCTTGGTGCCCTGTGGCCGCAGCTCTTCACGAAGTTGGGCCCTCCTCTGTTCAGCCTCAGCCTGTTGGGCGGGCGTGATTTCGAGAGCATTGGTATCTGGTTCCGCTTCGTGGCTGGCCTTCTCTTGTGCCCGTTTCCGGTCGAGAACCTTCCGCTTCCGCTCACGGGGAACGAATTTCTTAGCTGGCGCCATCTCAACCCTCCCCTACTCTGTGATCACCAACCGAATCAATCGACCCGGTAATGGATGAAATGAAGGAATTGCTCGCCCACTCGAACACCCCTGACCATGGGATAGAAACGATAAAGACGATTGAAGCTTGAAAACAGGGGGCAAGTCCTGTCTGATTCAAGAGGTAACTCGTTTCCAGGTCGCCGGTCAACAGCGACGAGGATACGGACCTAGACGTGGAAAGTCTGGGAAAGGCGGCGGCGGCCTAGTGACGAGAACTGCGTTGTCTCGTGATGAGTGAAACATCAAAACCCTTCAACTCAATTTCATGTCACCGCATTGAACTCAGCCCTCCCCAAGATCTTCACAGAAGTGCTGAAAAACATTGCTCGTGCAGGGAAGTTTGAAGGAGACAAAAATCTTGTCCGCCTGGCAGAATTGAGTACGGGCGCTAGATCAGAAACGGCAAGTGGGGCCCCCAAAGCATGCCCGTGAGACAGTGCGAATAACGTTAACTATGACTTTTGAGAACTGTCATTGCAGCCGTTGACCAAACTTATGCACCTTCCCTCCGCCTCGAGGATATAAGTCCCCCTCTCACTGCTCCTGTCACCATCTCCTCCCAATTGAAATCCAAACACCGGTTTGGCTCAGTGGTATTGGGAGGAGCGCTGGCCCCGCCATTTCCGTCGTAAATTGAAATGGTCCCGGGTTCGATTCCTGGGACCAGCGAAGGAAAAGCCCCCAAAGGGGCTTTTCGTAACCACCAATCTCTATCCCTCCGGACGGGGATAGGGCTTGGTGGTGAGCTTTTTGCTTTTGTCCCCAGGAGCTAGGTAGCTTGGTAGTTGATCCTTCTTTCTTTGCTTTTAATTCTTCCCTCTCAGAAAAAGAGAAATTTACATTTTCTGGCGCAGTGCCAGAGACTCGCCTCGAACCGTTATCTGGATTATAGACGATGAAAGCCGTCTTATCCAAGATATGATTTCGGTGACACGACAAACAACCTAACTCGAGCTTCCGGTATATATTTCGTCAATGTTTTCAGTTCAACAGCTCCCTCAGGAATGATGCATTCTTGTGACGGAATACAAATTACATGCATTTTGCCCACGCGTGATACTACTTTCCATCAACCGAGTTTTGTATTTCTTCACCTTCGCTGTCATTTCCATCGTGGAAAAGACGACGGAGAGAGAGAGAAAAGAAAGAATTAAAATGAAACAACTAGCATCCAATGGAAAGGGGGGGGGAGAGGAGGAGGGGTTCATGCTCCCTCCATACGAATGAAGTGACGATTATACACTGCTAGCAACACATCCATTCGTACCTTTACCTACTACCCATTCTACCCTTGCATAGTCCCATGCTTCGTTGTCTACCACCTGGGGGCAGTTGCAAGTTGTGCTCAAAGTCTCACCTTGACAACTTGGAAGAGGTGAGGGCTGGTTGTCTTTATCTGATTGCCCCTTCTACAACTAGAAGTTCAATTATAATTTTATAAGACTTGTAAGATTAACTCGAGCAAGTCGTAGAATGCTTCACCTCCACCTTCGACCTTCTCGAGCCCCAAACCCAAAAGCAGCGTTCTCTTTTCCTCCGGATCGCGCAAAGCTAGATGGCTTGCTATCTGGCTGGCGTAAAGATGACCGAGAGTCTCCCGATCTTCACTACCTGCGCCAACGAGTGTTTTGGGTGTGAGATGAGTTGAAGGCAGTGCGCTCAATCCTGCCCCTGGTAAAGCCATGTCTACGGACGCCGATGATGGTGCAGACAGTGGTACTTGGATCTTTGGGGTCTTTCTTAGCGATAAACTTTTGAGCTTGCTCTCTGAGTTTCAACACTCACCCATTGGGCAAGCCGGCCGCCTTGAGAGACGGTCAGCAAGATCTTGTCTGAGAAGTTTGAGATCTCGACCTCGGTGGAAACGCCATTGACGGTTCCCACTGTTTTCTTAAACGGAGCCGGGAACGGCTCTGGTCGTATTGAATCTCCGTTCATTGTGAATTCACTTTTAGTCCTCAGGACTTGTCTTGCTGTTACACCTGATTGTGACCCGGGCGAGCAATTGGTTGAGGTGGGGGGTTCTGTTTGGTAGGGAGCATGGAACCCTAACCCCCAAACTATTGATTTGGAAAGTGTGGCTTTGTGGCTGTTGTGGCACAGCCTGCGGCTAATTTTGTGATTAGCTAAGCTGCACTTTCTGTGCCCACCAAAAAAATACCCAGCCCTAAACTTCGCTCGGCGGGACCCGAAAACGCAGACCTTCAAGCATCACCGTCGAGGAACTTGAGGCTTCATTCGACACTAACCAGCAGCCACCATGGTACGCCAATTGCTACCTTTGAATGAATGCATAGAGAAATGCTGACTTTCGCAGCCTACCCGGTTTTCCAAGACGAGAAAGCACCGCGGCCATGTACGTCTCCTCCTTGTTCCCGTTGCGCTCCTGCACGAAATGCTGACTTTTGTTTTCTCAGGTGTCCGCCGGTAAGGGGTACGTTTCGACGAGCCGACCGACTACTACGAATCCGTATTGACGAATCTTTCCAGGCGTGTCGGCAAGCATAGGAAGCATCCCGGTGGTCGTGGTATGGCCGGTGGTCAGGTACGGCAATGGGCGATTTGAAGGTTTTGACAAACATGGACTAACGCGACGAAAAGCACCACCACCGTACCAACCTCGACAAGTGTATGGCGCCCCCGCCCAGAAGCAGTTTGCGCGTGTTGGAGAAGGAAGACTCCTTCGAGGATCTTCGATTTTCACAACCTGCTGCAGACCTGCCGCGATCAACCCCGATGACACTGGCTAACATCAAATAGACCACCCTGGTTACTTCGGAAAGGTCGGCATGAGGCGTACGTACCCGGACACCAATTGAAGACTGCGTCGGGATTTCTGGGGGCTAACAGATGAATTAGACTTCCACCACCTCCACAACCACGACTGGGCCCCCACCATCAACATTGAGAAGCTGTACGTTGCGCACCGAGCTTGGGTAGGATGAATATGAGCTAAAATTTTGCAGCTGGTCCCTTGTCCCCGTCGAGACCCGCGACAAGTACATCAGCGGCGCCAAGTCCGACTCTGCGCCCGTTATCGACCTTCTGTCCCACGGCTACGCCAAGCTCCTCGGCAAGGGTAAGAACCGCCTTGCTATTTGTGGAAACGGAGAATGGAGGATCGTGGGCATTGGAAATAAACTAACAATCACTCTACAGGCCGTCTCCCTGAGGTTCCTTTCGTTGTCCGGGCGCGGTACGTCAGCGCGGAGGCTGAGCGCAAGGTGACTGAGGCTGGTGGTGTTATCGAGCTCGTTGCTTAAGTCGGACGCGGTTACGGTTAAATTCAAAGGCTAGCGATTTGGCATTTTCGGTTACGATGGGAAAACCGGATAGTGAACCCAATGGCAATGGATCAGACGGTCAGAGCGACGTCAGCTATGAGTGCTAGGTCCCGGAGTCCTGGTTGGTTCCTTGGGGTAGTGAAAAAGGCACACCCCGGTATTGCAGCATTTAGGGAATGGGATGTTTATTTGCATCATCCGGGGTGCCTGACCGTCGTGTGTTACATATCCATGTTGAGGGTTCAAGCAATTGAGTGAAGGTTCAGAATCAGCATGCATGTCGCTTCTCTGGGACCAATGTTGGTTGGTGAAAGCTAGAATCTGCCGAGTGTGTTGTTGCCAGGACGAGCCCCTAAGTTCAGCGTATAGCGGCGACTCAGGGAGATGCTTCAACGACGGTGACCATAGGCGGTCCTGGCCTGGAGTGGTGCCACGAAAGTAATTTGTGCCTATCTCGTACCCGAAGATTTTGCTAAGCCCAATATGCTCTCACCTCGAACTCAGACTGAAATTCCAACTCACCCTCTCACCACCGGGCAGCAGGACGCTCAAACAACATGAGATTTTATCCCCCGCTACAATCATACAGAAACGGATCAGCTCATAACCCAGGATGTGTTCGGCAAATCAAGCAAGGACCAAAACGGCGGTCGGCCGAGTATATTCACCACGGACCAAGACCCTTAGTCGGGCGTGTATTGCCATTATAACCGTTGCCAAAATCAGACGAAGAGAAGACCAAAGACGAGACGATAGAAGAAGATAGCTGGCCATATATAATCCCGCTCTTTCCGGACCGTTGTTCCCACGGACCACAAACCCCTTTCACCAATACCGCTTCCTTACCCCACGGCGACGACTACTTCCGCCCAATCTCCCCTCACTCATGCCTAATCCCACCAAGGCGTACTCAAAAGCCGGCTAATGATGGTGTCCTTTTGTAGATGTGGCATGCTAAGGGTGGTGTATTCAAGGGACGGTAATAAAACCCAAAGAATGGAAACATTGACGTGAAGCCCCCAGTCCTTGGTGCTCCGGTTTGGTTCCGTTCCGTTCCATTCGCCGTGCCCTTAAAATTGCGGAATATTCCCTTGGGCGTAGAGTGCAACCGCCGCCGCAGTAGATATCATGATAATCATCATCATTATCATCCGTTATCATCAACAACATCCATCATCCGCACTCGTTCTCCAACGTACATATCTTCCCTGAAGCGCGTCTCCAAACTTTCTGTAAATCGATGTATTCGACGGTGTTCGGAAATCAAGCTAAGGAAGGCTCCGCATGCACGACTCTCCCATTACCGTTTCCGGTCACTAAGGCATTGTATGTTAGCTGTATTACACTATCAGGATGGAGGATAGGGTCCGATGAAAACTTACGTGCTCAACCGCCTCGACAGCGACTGCAACTTCTTATCCTGCTCGGCCTCACGCGCAGCCCGTTCCAGGGCCTGGCTACGCTCCTCGGAATGTTGCTTCTGCACTTCCTCCGAGCTAGGCGGCAGCCGTTCGTTCTGCAGATCGACCTTGCGGGCATCTTCGAAGGTGTTGATGGCGTTCTTAATACCCTCAGCGCCGAGCATAAGAGTGCCAGCGGGCAGACGACCGCCCGTCGCTGTCTTGAGCTCCGTGACGCGCTCCGACTCCTCACGAAGCACCTGGAACACACGGGACAACCGGCCGATGGCGAGGATCTTGTTCTTAAGGGCGCGTCGCTTGAACTCGATTGACTCCGGGTCTTCTCTAACCCCGCTACCGGCGGACGGCAGCGACGGCGAGATCGGGCCGGGCGAGGTTGCCGAGGAGTCCTCCCGGAGCTCCTCCTCGGAGCACGTGCTCAGGATGCCGATGAGCATGTCGGTGATCTTCTCACAGACGAAAGGCAGTGACCAAGTGAAGACGTCCATGAAGTTAGGGAGCCAATACGGGTGCGGAGTGCAGTTGAACTGGCGGATGTTCATGACGTTGTTCTCATACTTGAGCACAGCAGCCTTGTTGTTGTACACGTCGAGGTAGTTGGGCGCGGAAAAGATGGTCATGACACTGGGGAATCCCGTTGTACGCGTCTTACGGTACATGCGGTACCCGGCATCCTGAGCCTCGTGGGCGCGGATAATCGAGAGCAGGTTGTTTTTCTCGAGAAAGTGGCAGGCGGCAGGGTAGGAGAAGAAGTACGAACACCCACGCACGTGGTTGTGCAAGAAGTAGTCGGTTGTCTTTTCCTGGCCGAAATCCTCCAAGGGGTCGGCCCAAAGGATATCACACATTAATCCCTGGGTTGGGGGTTCGCGGAACCTATCAATCTGTTTTGAATGTCAGCCGCGGGCGCCACGAGGTTTGTACTGGAGGAAGGGATACAAACATTTCTGAGGTCGTCGAGAGTGTGAAGCTCGGGGCTGAGACCGCCATGGATACACAAGAACTGCTTGTTCATGACCGCCGCCAGCGGCAGGCAACAGAACGACTCCATGCAGGCCTCGTAGATGGCTTCGGAATACTTGTGCTTGCATTCCAGCTTGAACGTGAAATAGTCGGTCAAGTGACGGCACTCGTGGTTGCCGCGCAAGAGCCAGAGGGTCTTGGGGTAGTGGATCTTAAGCGCCCACAGGTATAGCACGCACTCAATGCTGAAGTAGCCGCGGTCGACGTAGTCGCCCAAGAAAAGATACCTCGTTTCGGCCGGGTCGCCGCCCACTTCGAACAGCTTCATCAAATCGTAGTATTGGCCGTGGACGTCGCCGCACACCGTGATGGGCGCATCCATCTCGAGCAGGTTGGGCTCGGCGCGCAAAAGCTCGGTTCCCTTCCTCAGAATCCATAGCGCCTGTTCATCCGTCAAACGGCCCTCCCGATAGAAGTGCTGCTTGAGGAACTGGATATTGGGCTTCTGCTGGGTCTCATCCTCGAAGAACTGCTCGTCGGTGGGTTTGTACATGGCGGGCGCTTGCACGTCTGTGTGGGTAAGGGGAACATGGTCAGTCTCAATCTCAGCCTTGCGCACTTGTCGATGGGGTCATTCATACCTTTGCAAACCCGTTCCATGGTGCTGACCTGCGTCCCGTCCTCCATGGTGTGGATGGTGAAGTCGATCTCGGGCAGAGGCTTCTTGTGCTGTATCGCGCGGATGGCATTATCGACCTGGAGCTCCTTGGCGTGGCGCTCGTCGGGCGAGACGACCACAGTGACCTCCTCGGAATCCATGTTGTCGTTTGTGTGTTTGTTGTGATTTTTTGGAATTATTGATTTTCTCCCGGGACTCGGCGAGGTGTTGCGGGAGCGAAAGGGGGAATCCTTCGGCGGGTGGCCGGTACGTAGTTGGCAGGCACACAGGTGGTTGGCCCTTTGATTGGTTTGCCGATGGTGAACGATGGACTTGTCTGCTGTGTCCCGCACTGAGCGAAAATGGGCGATGGAAGGTCTTCGGCCACAACCGCTAATATTGGGTGGTCGCGTCGCTCAACGATATGGGCCGCTCACGGGTCGTAATACTATTGGAAATCGGCCGTGGCGGGGGGGCAGAGACAAGCAAAACGGGTAGGGCTGAGGGTTGGGCGGCCGAGGGTCGGGAAGGCAAACCTTTGCAAGGCAACCTAAGTCGGGATGCTGAGCTCCAGAAAGCTGGGTGGGATGAGCGGGGAGGGGTACTTGGGATGTTTCACCAGTTCGCAGCGTCAAAAGGTAGTAATTGGCTGGTAAATTACAGGGCACGTGGGGTCGAACGGCAAACTTTCAGTTGTGTACTGTATGTGCAACACGTCCCTCTCGTTGGGAATTAGTGTTTGAGTCATGACACATTTAACTCTAAATTATGCATATTTTCATAATCATATATTGTTCGATGCATGTTGCGTGAGAGTGATGAAGAATGACATTGTCCTGCATATCACACACGGATTACCGCGATGCCTGTATTGCGTACATCAGACGAGGAGGGCGTAATTATTACGACCTTTGGCAATAACTTACACAGTACGGATACCGGAGTGGTGCTGACAGGGCGATTCAGGGCGTCGTGGCCGAAGCCAGGGTCTAGACCATGAGACACGGGACGGATGGTACGTTACAGAAAAGCCCTGGAGCCACGGCGCCCACCTTGAAAATTGATTCAGCTTGTGCGGCTGGGAAATCTTCCGCGGGTGGTGGTTGGCGGTGTTCCATTTCTCAACAATGAGTTTAGCAGGGTTAGGGTTGAGTTACCGAAATAAAATACGTTAAAGGCGTTGTTCGTGAAACCATTCATCATTGCTCATCTGGGCCGCTAACTATCCCTGGCAGCTTCCCGTCTATCCCAACAACGCATTCCAAAGGTCGCAGTCAATAACAACCACACCGTTCTGGTATCCCAAAATGTAACAGCAAGTGGCGTTCACCCGACTCCCAACGACTCGGTTCTATGGCGCCGAGTACCCGCCGTCGACCGCGATATCCGTCCCTGTGGTGTACGACGACGCATCCGACGCCAGATAGAGATACGCTCCCTTCAGCTCACCCACCTCGCCCTCACGACTATTACAGGGCGTCAGCAATCGCGAAATCATAAACGAGAAAGGGAAGAAGAGGAGCGCAGAAGCTTACCCCATAGGGATCTTGTCCTTCCACGCCTGCTTGGTGTCAGCGTCGCAAAACTCGGAGATGCTAGTAATGATGTAACCCGGGCTAACAGTGTTGGCCCTCGCGAAGCTAACCCACTCGACCGCCAAGCTCTTGCACAGATGGATGACCGCGGCCTTGCTGGCGTTGTACGAGGCCTGCAGTTGTGGCACGTTGACGATGTGTCCGCTCATGCTAGCGGTCGCGATGAAGCTGCCCGTCTTAAAAGGCGGGTCGAGCGGGCGGCCCTCGATATCAGTGCCCTCCTGCTTCTGCCGGCGGAAGACCTCGCCCGCCGCGCGTGCGCTGTAGTAGGTACCGTCCAGGTTTGTTTGGACCACCTTAGAGTACATGTCCAGGGGTCCGTCCAGCATGGGGCCGGCCGTCCAGGCAACGCCGGAGTTGGCGACGAAGATATCGAGCCGGCCGTTGAAGGACCGCACGATTGAATCGATGGTGGCTTTGCATTCGGCGGGGGAAACGACGTCGACTTGGTAGGCTTGGCCTAGAATTCAAAAGCAAAAGGGCCTCTTGTAAGCATATGGAGAAACGACAACGGTAGACTTCACCATATATGAGCGTGGGGCGGAAACTTACACTTGACGCCGTACTCCTTCGCGATACCCGCCGCGGCCTGTTCGGCGGCCTCTTTCCTCGTGTTGTACCAGATGGCAACATTGGCACCGGCCTCAGCGAACGCCTGGGCGATGCCCACACCGATGTTGCCGGAGCTGGCACCCGACACAATGGCCGTCTTGCCCTTGAGGGAGAAGAGGGGCAGCACGCGGTCCGTGTTGGGCGCCGTCGTGGCGTCGTGGGTGAACTTTCCGCCTTGCATGTCGGCCATGTTTACGGATGGATGGTAAGGGGTCGAAGAGAGTATATTCCTTTAAAGAGTATGAGTCGTTTTAAAGGAGTTGTCCCAATGATAAATGAGACAAGATGACGCTCGACTTAAACAGCCGCAGATGCTCATACGACACTATGTGAGGAGGATAACGAAGGTATGAAATACGTCAAAAAAGAAGCACTACGGATTCACGCAGGAGTCAACGATACAAGGAGAACTAGAAGAAGAAGGGAGAGGGAAAACAAGGACGGAAACGCTCGATCTATATCTTTTTATGAGAAACAGCACTGCATCAATTCACGCCCCGCCTCGGTGGCCCCGAGCCCGGCCCGTCATAAAAAAACGCCGCGGGGGAGGGGCCCCGGGCAACTGCGCACCCCCCCTCCGCTTAAACGATCTACAAACGAAGTCCGGGATACTACGGGGATAGGGCGGTAAAGCGGATTGAGCGGCTCAAGCGGCGGACTGATTGCCAGGTACAGGACCAGCCGAGTAGCCGAGCCAACCGGTGGCCAGCTTTGGTTCCAAGTTTGCCTTTCTGCGGCAAAGAGATGGAAGGAAGCAAGATCAAAAAAAAATTAAAAATTGGTTTGCGTCGGACACGCGCGCTGCAGGCCACTCACCTCGGCCAACAACAAAACGGGAAGAGGACAGATGGAGGAAAGGGTGCCTGTCGAGCCTGTTTAGTGCCCCTCCATTCCGCAGCGAATATGCAACCTGATGACATCAGTGGGACTAGTTGTAGTGGGGTTCTCAGCCGGGCCGCGCGACTTTCGGCGTCAAGCCCGGTCAGCCGAGGGGTAAAGAGGCGGACTGGTGAGTTTCATGGCAGATATTCGGGAAAACACAGGGGACGCTACCTATACTGTGGGAGAATAAGTAGGTGTGGTTAGTTGGTTAGGTACCTACCAGTGAGTGATAAAATGCAGCAAGGAGTGGGCAGGTGGATAGCAAAAGTGGAAAAACTTATGCTAAGTGGCATCTTGAAGAGGTATGTCCGTTGTATCCAGTTACTAGGTAGGTGTTTACTTTTGCAATGCCGCCCTGTGTATGGCGCGGCTTGGCGGTTTACTACCACATTGGGGCAGTCCGCGTTTCCCTCAACCGTCTCACGCCAGAGTGGAGGACAAGAACGCGTGGCGGGAGGGAAACACTCGCTCCAGACTCCCCCGAGACGATAACAACTCCTTCCGAATGCATCGGTCTATCGGCGGGGTATAGTGGGGCACGGGCATTTACTCGGAGGACCCTCAGGGTCACAAGTTTCTGGAGACGAAGCCGTGGAAGCACAAGGCCAGAAACGTGGTGGTTTTGTACCCGCATAGCCCCGCTCACTCCGCTCGGTGAGACCGTTAACACGAATGCGAAATGCGGTATGTCCAGTGTTGGATCAGAATGCAGTTCAGGGCCGTTAATAGGGTGACCGGAGCACAGCAGTTAGATAGGTAGCGAACGCTCCTTTCTCCACTACCTAGGGGGTTATTGGGAAGAAAGACCTGCAGCCGTTAAGCCCCGTCATTGCTAATCAACTAGGATTTTGTCTTCAGTCACCCCCATCGACGCTGCGGCCGGTTGACCCTACCCCCTGACCCTCTTCAATGCTTCCTCCCGGGACCAGTTGGTGTTGGTGAATCGTGAGATGAAATCATCCCGGTTTACTAGTTGGAAGGGCAATGTCAGTATCAACCAATCGCCAACATACAAGACAATCGCCACGGGATTTCATCTGGATATCACTTACAGTATCCTCCACAGACTCTCCGAGAACCCGAAAATGCTGTCCGGCTATGGAGCACTCGCCAATTGTCAAAGACTAAATGGGAGTTAACCTCGAGATCAAGGACAAGTCATAGTTCAAGAGGCCCTCCGTAGGGGTTTACTCACACAACACCTGCCCAGGCTGGAGACGAAACCGATATTGAAAGCTTGGGTTGTTGACAATCCGGTTGTACTCCGCAGCCGCCGCATACCAGTCCTGGACGGAGTACGTTTCACCCGGTTTCCTCTTGGTGAGGAATGGCACCACCCCTCTATCGGTATTGTTCCACCGCACCCTCCATAACGGGCCCCTCGAGCTTTCCCCGGGCTCGCCCTCCAACACCGAATACAGCCCGTCCGGCCCGATGGTGATGCCCTCGTTGCCACTAGCATGGAACGGGAGCCGGATCATTCGCAGCACTTTGTACGACTTTTCGTCCAGAGCAGATGCCGCCTTGAAACCATCCACGAGTACTGTCTCGCCCCCTTCGAGCGCGGGGGTTCCGTCCTCGTTGAGGTGGTGCAAAATGTGCAGCGCCTGTACGCCGACAGGATCGCTGAAATAGGTGGTGTCCGTGTGGAGTGGCAAGGCCTGGTTGGTGTAAGCTGTGTCGGCCTTGGCCAAGTCGGGCTCGAAATCGTAAAAGCCGCCATAGTGCGTTTCCCGAATGAAGGCGATGCGCTCGAGGAGCTTCTGTGTGGCGTCGGGGGTTTGGTGCGGTGTGTCTTGGACGATGCAAAAGCCGTATTGGAGCTGTCCTAACAAGTCAGGATTCTTTCCATGATGACAAAAACATCAAGAAGCTCGCCAGGAAGAAGGGCCGCAACATACCGTCTTGCTGGTTAACTCAGCGACCCCAGACTCCTTCTCCAGCACGTCCGTGTACTGGACTACCGGCGGTGCCCCGGCTATCTCGTTGTCCCACAGGCTCTGCTTAAGTCGCAAACTCCGGTCCTGGCGATTCTTGTAGATATAATTCTCAATGAAGTCCCAACGATAGGAACTCTCGTGCCCATCCGTCCCTATGTGCCGTCAGTACACATCATCTAAGACCCTCTGTCTCTGATCACGAACGAACGACAAAACTAACACTTGATGTGAACTCCGCTAGGATCTGCTCGTTGCTCGACAGCAGAAATATCAGAAGGTATCTGTCATCACTGTTAGAAAATCCACGATGAAACGGGGCAGGCTGCAACATCATGGAGAGCGGAACCCACTGCGTACCTGGAAGATGTCGAGGCTCCGTTGCTCTGTGTTGGGGTCGACACAAGTCGAGCAGCGACAGTTGTCTCTATACATTGTCCAGCCTGATTCAGCAACCTAACGCTTCAAGTGACAGGTATGGGCCAGCTCGGAAGGTCTGGGAAGACTCACCGTAACCAAATATACGGCCTGTAGAAGTCAGCGGGCATATAACAAAACCGTCCAACATGTGTCTTACAAACTCTGGCGACGAGGTGTTGAGCGGGGCCTAGAGTTGGCTTTTAGTGCTTGGGGCATGTTAACCACCAAACCATCCGAGCCCTTGCCAATGACGCTCCGCCAGTCGACTGACTCCAGAGACGCTGGTTTCTGCGGCGTCTTGGCGTCTTTCCATGGTAATTGCCTCCTCGATGGGGTGGTTTGAGAAGTTGAGTGGGACCGGGCGTGTCTGTTATCATCATCAGCCTCTAGAATGTAACAATCTGTCATAAAGCAAAAATTGACATCTCTAAGGCTGTAGATAACTGGTGGGATACATCCATCGATCTATCTAGAACTGAGAGCTAGAGGTAAACTGTACTCACCCTGTGACAGCACAAGGTTGAGCCACAACCGGCCGCAAGACCCGGAGGAGTCCCACGTTCCGCATCGGGCCAGCTTTTGAAGCCAACATTGCAGTGTTGGGGATACCTAACCGCTAGCGTTCACAAACCTGTTTATAAAATTTGGCTTGATTTGGGGGATTTGCTGACTTCCTGTTCGTGCAGCTTCGAGCTACAAGCTGCAGGTGACTTGATGCTGCATGTTAAAGCCAAAGTCCCTGCAGCCGAGGGTTTATTTGTGGACGAACGGCCACTGCAGAAGATCTCCCCCGCAGCTGCACGCCAAGAACTGCAGAGCAACAAGCAACCTCGGCAGAAGGTGCCCCTTTCGTCTTGCATCTCGAACGCAACGAAGCTGGTTCTAAGGACACTAGGGAAATAGGTGGGAACTGAAGAAACATAATATTCCTGTCAATTTATGTAAACCAGCAGTAACTCCAAACCACGAGATGATTGCACCTAGATCTTCACACCTAGATTTAGTACCAGAAACCCGACCCTCTAACCAACATTTTCCACTACTTCTCTACATCAACAACTATTAGACGCCTATCCACCAATCTTGAACTTATCCCAGAACGAGCCGGACTTGCCACCATCGGCGACCGGCGGCGACAGGATAACCGTATTCCAAACTTCCTCGCCGTCAATATACAACCGGTACTTGAGACTACTCTCCTGCCCGCCCTCCAAGTTCTCAATGGTAATAGCCCCGAACTTGGAGTTGCCCTTATTGATGTACCTGTACAACGTTAGTTTATCTTCTTAGCAAAGAAAAAGAGGGAGAGAGAGAGCGAAAATAAAGGGGGTGACTCACTTCACCATAACATCCTGGTCATCCGTCTGCCGATACGTCGGAATCGGCGAGTAGAACTGGCTCAGCGGGCTGACCGAGAACTCCCACACCGCCGCCGTTTCGTGCACCGCCGCCGTCTCCTGCGACTTCTCCTCTTCCTCCCCCTCCACAGCAACCGACGGCGGCGGGAACTTGGTCGCAGCAAACTCGTGACGATCACCGGACAGCACAACAACACCAATCCCGCGGTTAGCCACGTCCCACATGGCTTGCAGCAGCACGGCACGCTCCTCGAGGAACCCACCCCAGGTATCCTGGGTGTTGACCCGCCAGTTCTTGGTGAACGGCACCGAGGAAGCGACAATCTTCCACTTCACACCGCGGGGCTCCGGGCGCCGCAGCCAGGCGAGGAAATCGGCAAGCTGTTCCTCGCCCAGCATGGTCTTGCTCTCCTCGTGGGCCGGGAGCTTGTTCGGGGAGCGGTAGGAGCGGGTGTCGAGGAGGAAGAAGCTGGCCGGGCCCTGGGTGAACTCAAAGTAGGTGGTGTTGGCGGCGCGGGCCTTGAAGCCGCCTGCTTTCTTGGCCGGCGGCGGGTTGGCTGCGGCCTGGTAGTGGTGGTACGGGTCGACCGCGGTGTGGTAGACGCCGGTTTGGTTCGCGGACCAGTCGTTGGCGATCTCGTGGTCGTCGAGCACGTGGATCCAGCTGAGGTTTTGGCCGACGGCTGGCCAGTCTGGGGAGGCGTAGACCTGGCGGTATTTCTCGCGGTAGTAGTCGACGGATTTGTCCCAGTACCGCGGGACGTCGGCGTAGATGAAGTCGCCGAGGAAGAGCATGAACTGTGCGTTCAGCGAGGGGAGGACTTTGGCAAGGTGCTTGAACCCCGGGATCGAAAGCGGGTGGTCCAGGGGGTTGTAAGGGAGACGCGGGACGATGCAGGAGGTGGACAGGAATGTGAATGGGCCGTAGTTGGTGTCCTCGGCCTGTCCCACGGGCGGGGGCGTTGTGAACTCGCCCGAGTGGTTGTTGGAGGTGCGCCATTCATAGGTGCGCTTCTTGGAGTGGCGCAGGGGGATGGACAGGACGCCGGTGTAGTCGGTCTCGTTGGTTGTCCACTTGATTCCACCGGCGTCCTGCCACAGCGGGTTGTCAAAGGGCGGGTGGGGGTCCTTGAGGTGAACCTCGACGGTGACGGGCATCTTGGACTGATCAGGCTCACGGATCACCAGCCTGGCCTCATTCTCAGAGACGTACCCAACCCTCACAAAGGACAGGTCTTGGCTTGGGTATGAGCGATCACGGAAAAGGCGGTCAGCGACCATGCCAACACAGAGGCCATTGACCAGAAGCGTAGCAAGAGAAAGCGCCAGGCTGCGCGGGTTCGGTGCTCCCGTCAACAGGGTCTTCCAGAAGTTGAGCGGCCGGTCCTTGATAGAGATAGTCTCCTTGATGGTGACATCCTCGGCGACGACGTCCTTGTCGCCGTTGACGGCAACCTCGCCGTTATTTGTTTGGGAAGCACCTTCGCCATCGACGACGGTTTCCTTGACCGTAACATCGACCTCGTCGACCACGTTATACTGGGGCTCCTTGCGGTAGCCTGAGATGAATGCGGGAAGGTAGACCGCGAAAAGGGTGAAAACCAAAGCGGGCATAATCTCCTCGTTGTTAGTTCAAGAAGCTTGGCCATAGATTCGGCGCTTGCATGTGCAAGCGGGTACTCACAGGAAGTAATGCCTAAATTTTGAGAAATTATTAGGCCATTTTTGTTCACTTCATCTCATTTCACCCCTTAAAAGATTAAAACTTACCCATCGTAGGAAGAAGTAGCTGAGCAGCCGCAGGCCAATGGAGGCCGCGGTTGCGACTTTTGTCTCCGTGATGGCCATGCGCGCGATCTCGACTTTGTCGAGGCACAGCACAAACACAATGTTTGGAAAAGTGAGTTTGGGCGAGGTGGTCATTAAAGGATCATGTTAAGGTATTCCGTATTGTTGGGCTTGGGTATCGAGATCGTTTCGTCGTAAAACGTCAGGTTGTAACAGGCCCAGCCCGCAAGATGCAAATGGCAATTAAAACGTGTGTAAAGTCTATTGAAGAAGCCGAGATGCACAACACAGCTAGATTTTTTTTATTTGTCGAGACGCAGGCTAAGCTTAGCTGCCAAAGGGACACCGGAGCAATCCAGCGAACCAGCCTCGTCGGTCCTGACGCAACCCGGCACTTTGTTTCGAAGTCACTGATGTCACTGGTCGGAAAGGTATCCGACTCGAAGGTTGGCGAATCCCAGCAGCGCAAACTGGACGCGATGGTAAGGAAAAAGAGCTGGTGTGGGCCAGCCGTCCGGCAAGCTCAGGGGGGCCTTTTCCTCCCGATCCCGCAGCACAGGCCACCCGGGCTGAGGAGGACGGAAATCGAGTGGCCGGGGCCGCTGTTGTTCCGCTGAAAATTACAGTGGGGCCCCTGAGGCCAGCGGGTGGATGCTTGGCTCTTCAGCATTGGATCCGTGGCTTTTGATGGGTCGCCGTCGTCGCGACACTTGGCGAGCTTGTCCCTGAAGAACTTCCAGACTACGAACAACCCTCCATTTCATTCCCGCCCGCCCGATTGACCGACCACCCGGCCGAAACAATCCCACACCACTGCGCACGATGCAACTACCGCTCTTGTCGTGCGGCCTCTGGGGCCTGCTGGCCGCTACCCAGGCGGCTGCCACCGCCCTGACATACAAGATCAACGCGAACGAGGAAGCATGCTTCTACACGGCGACGCAGAAGAGCAACGAGAAGATTGCCTTTTACTTCGCAGTATGCTATCCGATTACTACGGGGTAGTTGAGTGAGGGGAAGTGTGATGCTGACTAGCTTTACTTCAAGGTGCAATCTGGTGGCTCGTTCGACATCAACTATCGCGTGACCGGACCTAACGACAAATACATCATGGACGGTGAGAAGGAACGGCAGGGCGACTTTGTCTTTACGGCGCAGGAGGCGGGTGAGTACAAGTTCTGCTTCAACAACGAGATGAGCACCTACACGGAGAAGTTTGTCGACTTTGAGATTTCGGTAAGCACCACCCAAACCAACCCCAATGGCTATGATATCGCGCAGCGTTCGCTCCCCACAAGACTAACCCATCACCCGATAACAGGTCGAGAACGAAGCCCGCGTCAGCCTCCCCTCGAAGCAGGGCGCCTCCCCGGAACAGACCTCCAGCCTGGAGGAATCATTGTTCAAGATCTCGGGCCAGATGTCGACCATCACCCGCAACCAGAAATACTTCCGCACGCGCGAGAACCGCAACTTCAGCACGGTGCGCAGCACAGAAGGGAGGATCGTCAACTTCAGCTTGATCCAGATCGCGCTGGTCGTCTGCATGGGCGCTCTGCAGGTCTTTATCGTCCGGTTCTTCTTCCAGGGCGCGCGGAAGGGTTACGTATGAAGGAGAAAGGGGGAGGAAAAGTTAGCGGGCGCATGGAGTGGAGGATACTACTGCTATGATGTGACTGTCTTTGGGTTGGCTGGGCGTAATCTTTTTGGCGAGAGCTGGGCATGTGTTGCATGAAGAATTTATGTATCATTATGCGTTATGGATGGCTCATGGGTTCACGACGGATGGTCCGGGGAGCGTCTTTGTTGATTCTGGCGTCGTAACTGATCTGTAGGTGCGTTAGACTGGAAAATTAACTTTTCTGTGCCCGACGCTGTATGTTGCTCTACGTTTATAATTATTCTTGCTTGTCTCGCTAGCATTCTCGATCTCCCCCATAACCCAGCATTGCTCAGGGGTATCATTGCCAGATTCAGCACGTCGAGGCCCATACGTCGTCTGCGTGCATACGCCCCGATAAGCCAATAATTCTGGGGCCGCCCAGGCCACCCCTGTCGCGCCATGGTACGCCAGCCAACTGCGTGACGGTGCTCTGGGAGGTCGCCTACAACTTTTCCAGACCAGGCGCTAAGTCCCCACCGGGAAACCGTGAACAACCATCTCCAAACTGCAACAACCACAACCCAACACAACCGACGAGCAGCGATGGCTTCAATAGCATCAGGCCTGGCACGGGCCCTCCCGAAGCCTCAGCACAATTCAGAATACGAAGAACAACGGACGCAACAACGCGGCCCGCGGATTGTCGCCGCTGGTCAAATCGACGAGACCCAAATCGTGGTCAAGGTTCGTGACTCTGCAGCCTCTTCACTTTTTACTTCATTTTTCGAGTAACTCCAGAAGCACTAACCAACTTTTCCTACAGAGAGCCGGCCCACCTCCATACCCCAACCGATCAGGTTGGCGCCCTCGAGCCCCCGAAGACTTTGGCGATGGCGGCGCGTTCCCCGAGATCCCCGTAGCCCAATACCCCTGGGGCAAGCAAGACGGCTCGTCCAAATCCAACGCCCTCGTAGTCCAAGTTGACGGCGACGGCAAAGTGGACTACGGCGCCATCGCGCGGCAGGGCCACAGCAGCGACCGCATCATCCACGCGTCGTTTAAGGACCTGATCCCGCTGCGGCAACGCGCCGAGGCGGGTGACTTGGACTTGTCGCGCCCGAGCGAGCAAGAGGTGGCTGAGACGGCGGAACGGACGAAGAATGCGCTGGCTTCGCTGGTTAGTGGTGCGCTGGCGGCGCAGAAGCCGAAGAATGTGAATGCAGGCGGACGGCGGGATCCGACGTTTGTGAGGTACACGCCGTCGGCGCAGATGGGGGATAATTCGAAGAAGCAGGATAGGATTATGAAGATTGTGGAGAGGCAGAGGGGTGAGTGGTTTGCCCTAGTTGCTCCATGACATTTGGGGGGAGATGTTTGATAACAGGACCGCTCGGCTAACTGATGTACAGATCCAATGGAACCGCCCAAGTTTAAGCATAAGAAGATCCCGAGAGGACCGCCTACTCCTCCCCCACCGGTACGTCTATCTGGCTGTTTCATGCAGGTGCAAGAAAAGACATGTGCTAATTCTGGTGCAGGTCATGCACTCCCCACCAAGGAAACTTACTGCGGAGGACCAAGAAGCGTGGCGCATCCGTAAGTCAACACCTATCTTGTATCATGGGGAATTACAGCATCCGCTAACTTGTTCACAGCACCACCGGTGTCAATGTGGAAGAACTCCAAGGGTTTCACTATCCCGCTCGACAAGAGGGTAGCGGCCGACGGGCGCGGTCTACAAGATGTTCAGATCAACGACAAGTTTGCCCAGCTTTCCGAAGCTATCTTCATGGCGGATCGGCACGCAAGAGAGGAGGTCCGGCAGCGCGCCATGATGCAGCAGCGGTTAGCAGAGAAGGAGCGGGCAGAAAAGGAGGACCATCTCCGACAACTTGCTCAACAGGCACGCGCCGAAAGGACAGGTGGCGGTGGTGGTGGCAGCAGGCGACGATCGGGGTCCCGGTCTCGGTCCCGATCCTACTCATACAGCGGATCCGACTCCGGCTCCGACTCCGACAGCTCCGAGCGAGAGCGCCGCGCAGCACGCAAGGACAAGCTCCGCGACGAAGAACGCAAACTGCGGCAGTCACGCATGGGCGCCGAACGCCGGGCGCAGGTGATGGCGCGCGAGATGGACCGCGACATCTCCGAGAAAATCGCGCTCGGCCTGGCCAAGCCGACACAGTCGTCCGAGGGCATGTACGACTCCCGGCTGTTCAACCAGTCCAGCGGCTTCGCCAGCGGATTCAACGAGGACAACCCCTACGACAAACCGCTCTTTGCCGCGCAAGACGCCATCAGCAGCATCTACCACCCGCGGGCCAACGCCGAGGACGATGATGAGGAAGGGGCCGGCGACCAGGAGATGGCGCGGATCCAGAAGGGTAGCCGGTTCGGCGAGGCGCTGGGCCGGGGCACGTTCAAGGGTACGGAGGAGGCTGAGAAGCGGGAAGGGCCGGTGCAGTTTGAGAAGGACTCGGGGACGGCGGATCCGTTTAATGTGGATAAGTTCTTGTCGGAGGTGCAGCAGGAGACTGCGACGGCTAGGGGTGGTGCGTCGTCTTCGTCGGGGGCGAAGAGGGGGTATGGGTTACAGGAGGAGGGTGTGAGGCAGTCTAAGAGGAGCCGGGTTGATGATGATGATGATGATGAGTAGTTGGGGTGTGTGTGATATAGGTGTTTGCGGGGGTAGATAAATCAGGTTAGGGGGAGAATGAGATGGAGAGTGAGAAACCCAAACCAATCCCAATCCCACAAGTTAATCACACGAACCCAACACCATCCTTCTTCCGCTCGCCTACAAATATCTTGAGACCACCCTCGCCGGCAGCACAAGCCCCTCAGGTTAGATAGAAACCAACCAATGACCCATTAACCTAAACGCCGAAATTCCCGTTCTATCTCCCGCCCCGAGCGTGTTTCGCTAACCGATAAGCGTATTCCCCGGTTACCTAGCTCCCCGCCGATGTATCCGGATCCAACGGCGGATGTTCCCTCTTTTAGGTAAATCGTTTGGTTGGTCCGTTTTCTCGAACAGACCGGTCTAGAGTCCACATGGGGTGGTGGGAAATCCTAAATAAATACAACGCAGGGACCTTGTGCAACATTAGCGAGGTGAGAGAGCAGGTTCCCCGCGGACAGATGGGTAGGAAGTTTAAAGGAATAAAATAACAGAGGGAAGAGGACAAAATGGGATGAGAAAAAAAGGAATAAAACCGCTCGTTACGACCCTCTTTTCAGATTTGGTCACGCCTTTCCCGGCCCGATACGACTCGGTTACGCTGCGGACTGTAAGGTGTGGACGGCAAAACCGGGTTCTTGGTTCCGTTTCCCGCACAATCCCACGATGGATGCCGCGTGGTGTTCTTGGCCAGCGGGTGAGTCAAGCATGAGGGGGGAAAGAATTGGGGGCCGTAGCCTTTTTTTTTCTGGTTCCTGCAGTGGATTGATTGTCCGTCCGTCCTGCAGGGCAGAGGTCTCAAAGAAAGTATGGGGGCAGTGCATGTATGTGCGGGCGGGTATAAGTGGCCGCGTGTGCATTGATATGAATACGAGATGACCCTCGGATGATGTCTTTTGGTGGAACTTTGCTGGATCTTTTTAATTCTGGTTGTAGACAACCCACAGTTGTGAATACGCCGTGATCTTTTGATATCTGCTTTTCTGTTGTTTAGTTGTTGTTTCGACCGGCCGATACCCCTTTTCTCGCTCTGCGATGAAGGACAGCGCTGCCACGGTCTCTAACCGTGAGATCGGGCCTTATTCTCACCCGCCGCAACCGTCCCGTTGGAACCCTCGAAACTGGACGAGGAGAGGATGGCTCATCATGGTGACGGTGGTGATTCTGATCGTGGTGGCCATCGTTGGGGCGGTCGTTGGTGTCAAGGCGTCGCAAAATAATAGTGCTAATAACAGCGTCGACTCAAGATATCCCGACTACTCGAAGCTCAACTACACCTTGGTTGACACCTGTAAGCTGGCTGATGTCCCAGTCGAGATTAGACACAGAAAAGGCTAACTCGACACAGATTCTGGGGTTTCCTTTTTTGACAAATTCACCTACTTTAATACCTGGGATCCAGGTTCGTACTGCAACCGCCCTACCACCAAGATAGCATGATGAGAGTTAGGTTAACAAGTTATTTGTAGCCGCCGGCTTTGTCCACTACGTCGACGCAGCGTATGCCGCACAATACGTAAGTTCGACTCGACTTAGCCTCCTTCACCCCTTACTCTGGGCAGCCACCCATCTAACACACCCAGAACCTCACCCACGCTTCGGAATCCTCCGCCATCATTCGCGTCGACACGACAGTCGGGCCCGGCTCCGACCCCGACGCATCCACCGGGCGCTTTTCCGTCCGCCTCGAGTCCAAGACTCAATACGGCCCGGGGCTTTTCCTCTTCGATGTCAAACACACCCCTTACGGGTGTGCCACATGGCCTGCCCTTTGGTTGACTGAGTGCGTACCGTCACCCCCGATTCTTGTTGTTTGGTTCTCTCTTCGCCCCCTATCTTCATATGCTCGAATACCCCTCCCCTTTAAAATTTAAAAGCCTAACATACCCCCCAGCCCCAACAACTGGCCAACCAACGGCGAAATCGACCTCATGGAATCCGTCAACCAAGCCACCTCCGGCACCAACCTCGTAGCACTGCACACCACCGACTCCTGCGACATGACCAACATCCGCCGCGAGATGGCCGGCACCGCAGGCCAGGGCGACTGTCACAACACCACCAACGCTAACACGGGTTGCATCGTGACCGGCCCTCCTGCCACATACGGACCAGACTTTAATGCCGCGGGCGGCGGAGTGGTCGCGCTGGAGTGGCGGGTGGAGGGGATCCGGGTGTGGGTGTTTCCTCGGAGTGGTGGGAAGAGTAGTGGTGGGATCACGGCGGTGCCGGCCGGGAAGACGCCTGATCCGAGTGTTTGGGGCCAGCCGTTGGCTGATTTCCCTGCGACGAATTGTGATGTGGGGAGTCACTTTCGGAATCAGAGTATTGTGGTTAATATTGATTTGTGTGGGTATCTTACCGAGGCTGTGTGGGAGGATTCGGGGTGTAGTGAGTGCTCCTTTTCTACTCTTCTCGCTATTTATTGTTTTCTTTTTTGAGGGGGGTCGAGATACTGACTTTAGACAGGCACCTCGAAATGCACCGATTATGTTGCCAACAACCCATCAGCCTTTAAGGATGCTTTCTGGGAGTTTGGTGCGTTTGAAGTGTACCAGGCTAGATGATACAAGAAACCTTCAGACCTGTTGCGTACTGAGAAAATTCCACATAATTAAGCGGAGTGTATCGTATCATACCGTGACGTCCATCGTCAAAATCCTCTATACATCCATCCATTCCGCTAGATGTTTCCAGCCCCCCTAACCCTGTCCCCATCTCTATGTAAACAAGCCCCTGAACGCCGTTGCCATAGATGCCACAAACCAGGAATCCCGTCTACAGCTTGCCCATCCGCCCAGTCAGAAGCAAACACACCTAAGCCAAACACATATATAATACACCGTCCCCGAACCCCCCCCAAATCCCCGCTCATCTGGCACCTACTCAACTTCAATCCTCATCCTTCGGCATCCGCATCCACGCATCAATCGCCGCACTAAACGCCGCGAAACCCGCACACCCCACAGCCGCCGCCTGTGGCCCTCCATTCCGCGCCAAAATCCCCCCCGTCAAACACCCAGCCGCAACCCCATTTGCCATATCATTCTTCGCCCGCAGACCCTCAATGCCACACTCAATCCCGCTGAACAGCGCGCCCACCGCGCCAAAGTTCTTGGCTGTGCTCCACGACCGGTTGCCCATGTCCTTGAACCCGTGCGCGAGTTGTTTGCGCAGCGGTAGCGATGCGATTGTGTTGGCGGATCCGGCGGCGCCTGGTGCGCCGGGGGCGCCGGGGGTGTGGAAGGGTGTGTCGTATGCCATCTATTGTTTGAGAAGAAGCCCTCGCGCGTTAGTCCCATAATTCAACACTAACCCCAAGGAAGGCGAGCCAGAAACACGGAGAAAGAATAACAAGGTAAGGGAACGAACCGAGGCCATAAACATCCCAAACAACCCACCCAGCCCAAACCCCATAACACCACTCATCACCGTCTTCGCATAGCACGACTCCATCGCATTCGTAAGCTAGCCCACAGGCAACGTCAGTCTCCTTCTCCAACAAATCAACAGAGTAAAGGTAGGGGCACAATGAGGAGCAGTTTAACTCACCCACTTCACATTGGGATCATTCGGGTTATACCCCGGCGGCGTCGAACCCCCGGCGCCTCCCAGAGAGCCAAGCCCCCCGAACCCATTACCGCCGGTCCCAGGGAAGTTCATGGCTTCTTCTTTTTCTTTCTTATTCTTCCTCTAGCGTTTGTTCCCTCCCTTCTATGCCTCGTGAAATCGACCGTTCAAATTTTCAGTTCGCTCGCTGGTCGTCTTGTCCGAGGGGGCTACGTCGCGCGCAAAACAATCGCAAACCCACCACAACGAAGAGAGAGAAAGAGTGAACGAATATGGTCTCTCTACCGCCCTCCGTAAGACCCGGTTTCCCGTCGGCGCGTTCGAACGAGAGGAAATACAAACAAGTTAACGGGTGGCGGGGAAGGTCGGGGTGGTTTTGGTTTCGAGTTTCGGCTCAAGTCGAGTGAGTTAGTTATCGGCGGAACAAGGGCCGCCCCTCCAGCAAAAAGTTCCTTATCGGCCGTGGGGGCGGGTTTTGCCAGCCGCCACCGCCCCGTTGCTTGTAATGGACGTAAATTACACACCCAATACACCTGTTCATGACCAGTATCGTAATTTACGTAGAGTTCCATTCATGGAGTGCCTTTCAATAGAGTTAACGTTGTTAACGTTACCGGAGAAGAGACCGCTTAGGGGGGCCGGAATCTTGATAATAAATGTACACTGGGTGCCTAAGGTCCGTAGGCATGGCCTAAACGGCACGCCGTGAGAAAGATTGATAAGTTTGTCACCAATATATGGTCCTTCAGCTGAACCAAACCTCGAAACCAATTCTTGCTTTGATCCCGCCCCAGACTAACGCTACTGCTCTTCTTATGCGTACCATCCATCATCACCTTCCATCCCTAGTCTTGAGACCATACACAGCCTAACACCGCTCCTCTTGTACGTAACGAGCAACCCGCGGAAAGAACCAAAGAACCCAAAGTTACCAAGGGAAAACTGCATCCCAGGGTCACCCAACCAAGGGTACCACTACCGACCGCTTTTGGCTAACGAACCAAATCCGCTTGCCAGGCGCCATGATATAACGAGATACACAATGCAGGAAGCCGGTAACCCGCTGAAATGATGTACACTCCCATAGAACCCCCCCGGATCCCCGTACCGACCTGCCGGGGCTCAGCCTAGCCCTTGAGAAACAGGTCCCCGGCACCGTTTCTAACTGACCTTGTCCGGTCTGGGTGATCCAATCCTAGGCAATCGTCCGCATTCGTCGCCACATCCCAAAGGATGTCCTCTGTAAATAAAATAAGTCAGTTTCGGGTCCAGTTGCCCTCTTATACCCAACAGGGTCCAAGGAGTACTCACCATCTGTCAAATATTGCGGCCTCGAAAATTGTGCCCTCCGGACCACAGCAAACTTGAGCTTCTCGAAACTCTTGCCCTTGAGCCCCGTCCGCTTCTCCAGCCGCTTCTTGGTCTCGGAAAACAACTCGCCTTCTTTAAGAAGGAATCGGAACGGGATGCCATGTGCCCTGCTAGGTTCGCCATGGAATTGGAATACCGATATGAAGTGGTTTGAATCCTTATTCACCTCAGCCTCTTCGGGTGCTATCCGTTCAGCGATCACTGTAGTGTAGTCGTTGATACTGATGACGGGGTAGTTGCGCTCGAGTTCCCGGAAGAATTTGTGGTTGCTTATCTCATAGATCCGAACCGGCCCGGCCTCTTCCTCACTAGAGATCTTGGCCTTTTTGATCAGAGAGACGATGAGATCCTCCACTAGGCCGTTCTTGGAAACAAGAACATCATGTTGCTCCTAAAACAGTTTTAGTCATGGCAAGCCGTAGAATTTGCCTCCAGCAACGTACCTCTTTTGTGATTCCTTCGCTCAGAAGCGTAAGCTTGATGCTCTTCTTGGTGTCAAGTTCGGCAAGGCTCATGTCCAGAACCTCGAAGAACAACGCATCGCTGCGCTGGTTCATGTTCAGCTGGCCATAGCCGGCAGGCACAAGGATGTTTTGTAGCAGTTGATTCTGGTTTCGTTTCACGGCCGTCCTCGGATTGTTGGAACTGGCATTAACCGTGTAAAACCGGAGGTGTGTGCCGTCAACGCCCAGCTTTTCGCCAACCTTCTCTGACAACCCATCGTAGGTCATCTTCGAGTTCAGAAGCAGGTCAAACGCTGGGTATGCGTCTGGATCACATCTCTGTGGATGCGCTCGGAACATGACGTTTTTCTTGTGGAGGAGGAAATCGTAATATTCCCGGGCGTCATCAAAGCGATCAGAGGATTTCCTAGGATAAGAGCGTCAGAATCGCCGCGCTGACGGAGAACAGATTCAAGGGTACAGAAACTTACGCTTCCTCAGCGGCCTGTTTGTCAGCCTTTTCGGTCAACCCCAACCTTGATTTCCGATCTTGTACTCGCTGGAAGCACACGATGTCACCATCCTGGAGCTCCGCCGCCTTAAGAGACTGCTTTCCTTTGAGGTTCTCAATCATGTTGGGTTTGATCTCCTAGAAGAATATAGTCAGAACTTTGTCCACGAGGAATGCGCGCGTATCGTTCTTACCTCCCATAGTTGGATCCGCTCGTCGCTGGAGAGCTTTTCCCATCCCATCTTCTTCATGATGGTAGGGATCAACTCTTCAACCTTCTTTTCTTTACTGACGTACACATGTCCAACGCCCTTCAACTCCTGGGCCTCAGCATCGAAATGCTTCAGGAAAAGCAAGATGAGGTCATTCTTAACCACAACACCGTTGGCTAACCCGGGCCCGTATGTCGGCCAAACAGCGGCCCCGGAGGCATTGACCTCTTCGGCAACCTCAACCCACACTCGTAAGGCCTGATCACGGTGGGCTGCTGCACGGTTGTATGTTTCTTCAACCGTCGGCCTAAGATCCATCACAGGTTGGTCCGGACGGATGGTTTTGTTTTGCCGGTTGACCATGATCCAAAGTCTCACTCGCTTCGGGTCTTGGCCGATATCCGCCGCAACTTGATCGACCAGTTCTTGCATCGTCGCAGTCCGGAGGAGGCGGTAAAACCTGGGTGCTGCCGGATCTTCCTCGGGAGTCGCTTCAAAGTTGGTGAGGTCAGTGCTGCCATGCTGCTGGAAGGTCGCTTCGGTAATAGCCTTCACGCCAAGGTAGAGATGCTGCTCTTCCCTCTCTTTGCGCCGTGCTTCCCGGGCGACGTATTCCTCCTCAAATCGCCTCTCTGTAAGGTGTCAGTCTCCACCATACTACATCGCTCGCGGATCATCAGACTTACGGAGATGCTCGGGGGTGTCTTCCTCGGTGACGGGGCAGAGCACCTTGTCGAGCTTAGACTTCCGGATGTACACCAACATGTACGCACTGTTAGGTCTCATGACGGGTCCCTTTTTGCTACCGGCGGCCCGCGCTTGCCCGTTCGGCAACTTGATCGGGCCACCGAAGTTCTCCTCCAAGACCTCCCTCTTGGTAGCCTTGGTAACTTTATCGTCGTCGTACTTGTACCACCAGCCCTCCTTGTTCGGCTTGATGAAGGCATAGTAGTGGCCAGCGTTAAGGTCACCACTGTGGACCAACACACCGTGCAGCTGGTAATCCCAGGATTCCGACCTATCCGCCTCCTTATCCAGATACAACGAAGCGTCAAATTCCTCCGGGAACTCGTAACGATCGTTGATCTTCATCATGGCGTCGCGTTGAATATCGTACTCGAAGCGTTTCAGCTGTAGATGCAATACGTCAGGAAACCCCTGGAAGATAACGCCCTTGTTGGCGTCCTGGAGCTTGTACTGGTCACCAGCGAAGTACTGGTTCTCTCCATCAAGCTTTTCGACCTGGATGTAGTCCTGGAAGCTGTCGAGAAGGTTCTCGTTGCCGCTCACGTTGAGTTGAACGTCCCAAAAATCTTCGATCCGGCTCGATTCGTAAGGGACGTTGATGCAAGATATGTACGTCTTGATCTTGCCACTGAACATCTGGGGCAGTGCCTTCTCAAACTCAGTGCCCTTCATCTTCTCTTCCATGCGTTCCATGAGCTTCCGAGAAAGCTCTTGTACGTCTTGCTGCTCAAAAATGTGGCGTGTTTCCCAGCCAAAGGACTTGGTCAGCTCCGCAGTTCCCACAGCCGCTGGTGATGTTTGCAACTGATAGAAGAGTCGTTGTAATGTGTAAGCGCTGTTGTTCATGCTCTCCTCTTCCTCTGTAGGAATACGATAGATGGCCTATGACAATAGTTAGCTTGCCCAAAACAACGTCCATTCCGGCCAGAGAAGACGGTCCGGGGCGAGGGGTGAAGGGGGGGGAGCACGAACCTTCCGAAAGGCGTTTGTGAAGTATAGTGATTGGAGGAGGGAGTTGAGGTAGCAAGTTGCGCCCTGATTCTTAAGGCCAACGTAACCCGTCTCTTTTTTAGAGTCGTAGTTGTTGAAGTTATGCCACAAGACGCCCGTCTCATCCTCCACAACCCGGACATATGCGCTGATGTTGGCGCAATCGTTTTCGATGAGAGGCCGATCGGCGTTTTCCCAAACCGTGTTGAACATTTTCCGTGTTTCGAGGAATCTTGTGAAACCCCAATCGCTCTCCTCTTTTGTGAAGCGATGGTGGGCAGAATGCTGGAAGTGGATATTCGGGTGGTTCTTGTTCCATAGTACAAGCGCAAACTGTACGCAGCAGCTCCAGTCGTCGGGAACGTTGTTTGCTTCGAATCCATGTTCCAGGTAAATCGAGCACTGATCGAGAACGTTGTTGCCGAATGGGAACAACAAAATCCGCCTATTGTAGTGTTAGTCAAACCCCATAGTAGAGATGTGGTGTTATACGGATACCACGAACCATGGGTAGCCGCCGGCGTGGAATAGCGGGCCATGTTCCTTCTTCAAAAGTGCACGCCAACCTTCCACAGACCATGTGTGGACCTGATCTTCTATGATTTTTGGCTCTTCTACCAGCGGTGGGAGCACATGCTGCTTCATGGCCTCATCTAGGACGGGTCAGCGCGTGCGGGGGGTAATCGTCGGCGGGAACGAGCTTTGTGGCTGGGAAACGTACAGTCGTTTGCGAGAAGGGGGGTGTCAGTCTCCACGGTTTCGGGGTTGTCGGTGGAGGCATCCTCGGCTTCAGTGCCGTTCGCTTCGACGAGGGGTTCCTCGGGCGCGTCGACCATCACGGTGTTAGGCGACGCAGCCTCGGGGTTTTGATTCTCATCCTGGAGGGCGATGTTAGTCCGGGGGGTACTTGAGGAGGAAGAGCCGTTCATATTGGGGTTGGTGGGAGGAGGATGCCGGCTAGTTCAAGTTCTAACGCCAACGGTTCTAGGGGGAGTTGTCGCAGGGCGGACTTGAAGGAGAAAAGCAGGCGGGGCAAGAGAGCGAGTTGGGAGGTAGAAACTGTCGCGGGCCGAATCGGCGTCTGCTGAAGCGACTCACCATTCTAGCGGGAGTAACCGTGTATTTACTGGAAGGTTGGAGGCCGGCGATGGCAAGTCAAGTCGGGGGGCTCCTTCTGCACGAAGGATGGAACTGGGTCAAGGCCACTGGTCGGCCGATCCGGCAATAGGCCGCTTGGAGGGGCAAATTGGGGGAAAGGCCGATTAAAAGACTCGTGATGGGCCTTCAGAGGCCACTAGATGTTTTGAGGGGCGAAGGGGAGAGGTTGTAAGGAAGGTGAGCCCGGCAAGACAACAAGCAAACAAGTCAACCTTCAAAAGGAGGGTGTCAAAGGAAACCGAGCGAACCAGACGAAGTGCCCACTCTGTGCTGGTGTTGCTTGGAAAGATGGCGCAGCGAAACGCACGCAGCAGCATTTGCCTTTACGCACCACTTCATGTGGGGTACCTGGAGCCTCGAAATGTTAGCGGGAACTTCTTTATCTGCATTTTAAGGCGGTGGGAACAATGGCATTAGGTACCCTGTTAGCACACTATCGCTCGGGCGACGGCGCTTCCATCGACACGCACCCCTCCAATGACGTGGGGTACCGCTGCGGGTGGCCATGCGACCGTGTGAGAAGGAAGCTAGGGGGCATGTTGGATCAAAAAAAATTCGAGGAGTGATCAAGGATCGAAATTGATTTTTTGTTAAGCATACATGGAAACATTGTGCAGCTTGAGGGCGGTGATTTTCAAGACTCGGGAACAAGAGCACCTGGGTCCCGATTCCAGCGGACTACTTAGTACCGGAACTAATGTTGATCAAGCATTCCAGCCCAGGTTCTGTGCTGTGAGGAAACCCGCTTTGCTTCCTCGTTGCAAACTCCCAAAGCAGCACAACGACAAGACTTTTCAAGGGGAACGGCGGCGTTCCCGTAGGTATTCCGTACGCGTCTAGGGTTTCATCGACGGTTGTACTATTGTGGTCAGTGATTAAAGAGTACTAGCTATAATGCTGCATCCCCCGTGGAAGAGAAAATTTCATGCCTCGACGGGCTTGCTAGGGAGCAACATGTGTGAGAATTTCCAGGTTGCCTTGAAAGCCGGGATGTCGCTGATGACTCGACCACCCTAGCTACTCTGTTGCCCGGGGGGCTCAGGGGGTTTTTGAGTTCTCATCAGAGCGTGTTCGTCCCCGCTCTGCGCACATGCGAGCGCCCTGCTCGCAACAATGTGTGGGGTAGGTAGGTCGGACGCGCGCTGCGAGCATCGGGCAACCGAGCTAGGTAGGTCTATTGGGTGCGATATCGCAGACACCAAGCATGCAACCTTGTCTTCCTTAGGGCCTTCGAGTACGGCATCGCTGATGGATGAGTGCTATGGTGTAATTGAGTCACCGTAGCGGGATAGGTTACCTATCGTTCGTGCAGATATATTTACCGATGCTACCTAACCTCACTTGTTACTCTCATCCCTGAGACACTCGGTAAACCTTTGCCAATCCATCTGCCGTCGAGGCAACAAATCTCCAGGGCGCCCCTTCCACCAGTCATCGTGAAACACCAAGCACTCTTTTTGTACGATTAAGGCCGAGTTGCGTTTTTCTTTTCCACGCATGGCGGCAGCGGGATGCGGCGCTTTTCGATGCATCATGTCTCGGCATCCGCCCGGTTGACGAGCTTCAGCTTCAGACGGTCAGACATGGCAGCAGGGGCGCATTTGTCGACTCATCCTTTGAAATCAACGGTGCGATGTTCACATAACGTTGCTCAACATAGCCCTAAATGGCGGCCTGTTTCCGTTCTAGACGAGTAAGTTGAATAGATATGGCATGAAGCCACGAATCAATTCTCAACGACATGATTGCTCACGTTCCGTTATAGGTGGGTTGCGAGGGAAGCTCGTCCGATCAGTCTCCGCCAGCTCATGGTGTTCGGCCGCTCGTTGACAGAATCGAGGCTGATCAGCTCGGCCAATTATGTCCGCACCGAGCTCCCGACTCGGTAAGTTTGTGCCAGTGATATCGATCACAGCTTTTCAGAGGTCGAGGCATAATACTGACTTACACGTCGTTAGAATTGCCCACCGGATCCGTGATATGCAACAGCTGCCATATGTCGTCGTCACGAACCCCCACTTTAACGAGGTCTACGACCTGTACTACACTGCGTTCGACACTTTTCGGAAAGTGAAAGAGATCAAAACGCCTGACGATAATGATCGCCTGTGCAAGACGATCCAATCCATGCTCAAGGCCCACTTGACTGTGATCCCCAAACTGGCAATGGGCATTTTGGAAAGTAATGGGCTCATGGACCCAGCGCAGTTGGACAAATTCATGAACACGATCCTACGATCCGTTGGTGCCCCCTCGACTATAGTTCTCAAGTCATAAAATCTTTGCTCACTAACACCACCTATGCAGCGTATTTCTCGCCGTGTCATTGCCGAACAGCATCTCGCCCTAACCGAAACGTTCCACGCGCCCTGGTTTTCCCCAGGAGCCCGCCTCTCCGAATCCGAGTTCATCGGCCAGGTCTTCCTGAAATGTGTCGCCAAGGACGTGGTAATCCGCTGCGGCGATGCCGTCCGCGAGATTCTACAGCGCTCCTACGGACCGGACGTGGCACTCCCGGAGATCCGCATCAACGGCCACCTCGACGCCAACTTCCCCTATATCCTCAGCCACCTCGAGTACATCATCGGCGAGCTCCTCCGCAACTCGGTCCAGGCCGTCGCCGAGAAGCACCAACGCCGAAAGGACAGACACACAAACCCAGACCGGCTCCCACCACCCATCGAGGTCACCATCTGTGAAAGCCACCAGCACGTGATCATCCGCATCTCCGACCAAGGAGGCGGTATCCCTCGCGAGAGCCTACCATACCTCTGGTCTTTCAGCAAAGGCCCATCCAGCGGCAAGATCCTCGCCAACCTCGGCAAAGTCCCCAAGATGGCGGCAACCATGCAGGAGCTCCAACTTGAAGGCGACGATACTACCACCACCACTACTACGGACAACAACAACAACACCGACGAAGACGACCACCCCCACGAAAACCGCAGCCCCTCCGTCGAAGGCGGCGAAATAGGCCGAGACCTAAACTCCTCCCTCGCCTCCCTCTCCAGCCGCCCACCCAATCTCCGCCTAGGCATGGGTCTACCCTTGAGCCGAGTCTACGCAGAGTACTGGGCAGGCAGTCTAGCGCTGCACAGCCTAGAAGGGTACGGCGTGGATGCGTTCTTGCAGATTTCCAAGTTGGGGAACAAGAACGAGCAGTTGACGACGAGGGCGACTATGGATGCTGTGTAAGAAAGAGGAGGAAGGTTGGCGGGAGGGGGGGATTGGGAATAGCAATATCCGTGAGATTTGGGAACAGGGGATGGAAATGGAAGGAGGCGTTTTGGTGGAACGGACAACAACGCTTTTCGTTTTGTTCCGGGCGGGCGTTTTCGTCGGGGGTTTCTTTTTCTGTTCCTTTTTCATTTTTCGCATCTGTTTAGTCAGATATCCCGGATGGCTATCTCCAGATGATGCGGGCCGTTTCAGGTGTCACATTTCCAGGGCAAAGGTCAGAATAATCCGTCATAATTCAAAAACACCAACACACCAAGCCCCAATATTCTTCAAGACGGTGCAGCCTTTCTCATTATCTGGTATCATGAAAGGGGCGGCCTAAATTACATCATTCCTAAGGGTCGAAATAGAAAAAAGAGGGGGCGCGACTCCGGAGGGAACCAAAATCGGACGACGAGAAGGGTATGTCAGTCGAGAGCACAAGAATCCTTCACGAGGCCCCTGGCAATAATCCCCCAAGTCCCTCTCTTGTCTCCTCCAAAATAAAAATAACGGCACAGCTTTTCCCGTCGACTATCGAATAATTCCAAACGGGACGGGGGAGTATAAAGGGGTAAAAAACTGACACAAAACCGGAAAAATGGCGGGAGGTGCAATAACCATATGTTGGCCAGTCGCTGCTCTCATCAACGTATGTAGGGTGCCTCGGGTATGAACGCCGGAGATACGGGAAAAGAGGCGGAGGTAGTCAACACAAACGCCGCGGTCAGCGGGAGGTTAGTACCTCGAAGCAACGGTCGTTCCCTAGCGGCGGCCGTGGCTGCGAACAGCGGTGCCTTGCAGCTGCTCGAGCTCGCCTTCAAGCTGCTTAATCTGGGCGTGCGTCGTCTCGAGGTCCTTGTTAAGGCGATCCCGCTCAGCAATGAGCTTCTGCTCCCATTGCCTGAAACGCTGCTCTTCAATCTTCACCTGTTCCGTGAAGCGCTTGCGAAGAGCTTCCTCCTCCTCCTTGAACTTGGGGTTGTCCAACTTTCTCGGGCGCGCTTCGCCGAACTTGCGGGTCTCCATCTGCTGCGCACGGTAGGCCTCGTAGTGCAGCTCCTCGGTAGTGTGGATGAGGTCGAGCATGTGGGTGCGGATCAAGATCGACCGAAGCTTCTTAAAGTCGCAGTGGTCCTCGTTCTCGACCTCAGCCACACCCCACGAGTACTGGCGGCCCTTGACGATACGTCCGTCGTTCGTCTTAACGTCCTTCTCGGAACCTATCACGGCAAAGGGCATGGCGGCCATCAGGCTCCTGGCGTGCTGGGCGGCGGCCTCGTCGTCCTCCTCAATTGGCGGCTGGTAGATCTTAATGTTCTGAGCCTCGATAACCTGTTGAATCTGTCAAGGTGAAACCGTATTAGTACAACACGAAACGGATTTCCAAAACGGTAGGTACTGCCGAAATCTTACCCTGGACTTGAACTTGGCCAGATCCGCAGGGCTGAGGGTATCAGCCTTGGCAATCACTGGGATCAGGTTGACGCGCGAGCACAGCCTCTTCATGACCTCAATGTCAAGGGGCTTGAGCGTGTGGCCGGTGGGGCGGATGAAGTACAAGCAGGCGTGGACACGCAGGTCGATCTTGTCCTGGCGACGCGGCTGCTGCTCCTGGAGCATGTAGGACTCATGCTGGTCGTCGAGGAACTCGATAATGGGCATCCACGAGTCGCGGTTGTTGACATAGTCGCCGAACCCGGGGGTGTCAATGACGGTCAGGCGGACTAGGCGGGGGTCAGCACGGTTCTCTCACAACTCCAACTCACCCCTCCATCTCAACAAGTTGCCCGTGCGTACCCTTGAAGAACTTCTCCTCCAGCTCAGCCTTGGTGATCTCGATCTCGACGGTCTTGTCGACCTGCTTCTGGTGCCGGCGTTTGTGATCCGCGTAGTTCTTGATCGTGGTGGAGAAGAGCGTGTTAATGAAGGTCGTCTTGCCCAATCCGGACTCGCCAGCAACCTAGAGAAAAAGGTCAGTCCCGCTAGAACATGATACACAACCGCAGTATCGTTTAGGAGTCCGAACCATAATGGTGAAGGCGGCACCTCTCTTCGCGACAATCTTGTGCCGCTGGTTGGGCAGATTGGCAATGCCAATGGGCGACGCGCTCTCGGCAGCGGCAGGAGCCATCTCGAAGTTAAGGATGGAGCGAAACGAAATTAGAACGGATGAGGGTATCAAGAGTTTACGGCCAAGATAACGGCACGTACAATTGGAGAAGGGGGTGTAGTGGGAGCAAGAGAAGAGTACTGGGTTGAAGTTCACACCGGTACGAAGAAGTCGGGGTCGGGGGGAGCTTGTGCGCTTCTTCAGGGGAATTTGGCTGGCTGCCCATCAAATTTCCAGACCAGCGAAGCTGCCGTGCACGGGCCATCTGCAGCACGGCAACCACTCAAGACAAAGTGGGTCGTACTCCCCTTTTCCAACTCCCACCCACTTTCCCCAGAAGCCACCCAAGGGTCCCTGCCGAGCACGCCAATCCTGGTCTGGACGCAGCCCGGAGGCTAGGAGAAAGAATTGGCCGAGAGGCCCCGCTAAAAAGTTACCAAAATTTTGGCGGCGAGGACTGGCGAGATCCTAGGTTTTGGTGATTGGAGCATGCTGCAGGCCGATCATCTTTCTTGGTGTTTGGCTCGAGATATGGACCAGCGGCGACAATGAAGACAGATTTCAAGTTCTCCAACTTGCTGGGGACCGTTTACTGCCAGGGGAATCTCTTGTTCAGCCCCGACGGAACGCACCTGTTCTCCCCCGTGGGCAACAGGGTCACCGTCTTCAATCTTGTCGAGTACGTGCAATGCGCTTCTCTCCACGGGACCCTGATAATCAAGCCCAATTGAGATGTGAAAGACCTATAATGTGCTAATGGCTCCCAGCAACAAGTCGTACACCCTCCCGTTCTCCCACCGAAAGAATATTGCGAGACTCGGGTTGACCCCGCAAGGCAACCTGCTACTATCGATCGACGAAGATGGCCAGGCCGTTCTAACTCACGTCCCCCGCCGGGTTGTCTTATACCATTTTTCTTTCAAATCGCACGTTACGGCATTATCATTTTCACCCTCAGGGCGACATTTCGCGGTGGGATTGGGGCGGAAGATTGAAGTCTGGCACGTCCCATCAACACCAGACGCCGATGCAGCCGGCGAACTCGAGTTTGCGCCGTTTGTGCGCCACCACACCCACACACAACACTTTGACGATGTACGGCATATCGAATGGTCGAGCGACTCGAGGTTCTTCCTGAGCGCATCCAAGGACCTGACCGCGAGGATATGGAGCTTGAACGCCGAGGAGGGTTTCACGCCCACCGTCCTGTCAGGCCATAGACAGGGCGTGGTGGGCGCCTGGTTCTCCAAGGACCAGGAGACAATCTACACGGTCAGCAAGGACGGGGCGGTCTTTGACTGGCAGTACACGACGAGGCCGGGCCAGGATGAGGACGAGATGGTGGACGAGTCGGACCTGAAGTGGAGGATTGTCAACCGCCACTATTTCATGCAAAATTCGGCCAATGTCCGATGCGCTGCGTTTCACCCGGAGTCCAACTTGCTCGTTGCCGGGTTTTCGAACGGGATCTTTGGGCTGTACGAGATGCCGGACTTCAACATGATCCATACGCTGAGCATATCACAAAACGAGATCGACTTTGTGACGATCAACAAGAGCGGGGAGTGGCTGGCATTTGGAGCCTCCAAACTTGGACAACTTCTAGTGTGGGAATGGCAGTCCGAGTCGTATATCCTCAAGCAACAAGGGCATTTTGATTCGATGAACGCGCTAGTGTATTCACCCGACGGACAACGGATTGTCACGACGGCAGACGACGGCAAGATCAAAGTGTGGGACATTGAGTCTGGGTTCTGTATCGTCACCTTCACCGAGCACACGAGCGGGATCACGGCATGCGAATTTGCTAAGAAGGGCAATGTACTCTTTACCGCGAGTTTGGATGGATCGATCAGGGCGTGGGACCTGGTCCGGTACCGGAATTTCAGGACATTCACCGCGGGCGAAAGACTGTCCTTCTCCTGCATGGCGGTCGACCCCAGCGGTGAGGTCGTTGCCGCGGGCTCGATCGACTCTTTCGATGTTCACATTTGGTCTGTCCAGACCGGGCAATTACTCGACCGGTTATCCGGCCACGAAGGTCCGGTGTCCTCGCTTGCGTTTGCCCCGAACGGCGGACTGCTAGTCAGCGGCAGCTGGGACCGCACAGCGAGGATATGGTCCATCTTCGACCGGACGCAAACCAGCGAACCTCTACAACTACAATCGGACGTCCTAGATATTGCGTTCCGGCCCGACTCGCTACAAATCGCCATCTCCACGCTAGACGGCCAACTATCGTTCTGGTCTGTGTCCGAAGCCCAGCAGATATCCGGCGTGGACGGGCGCCGCGATGTATCGGGCGGGCGCAGGATTACGGACCGCCGATCGGCAGCCAACGTGTCGGGCACCAAGAGCTTCAACACAATTCGCTACAGCATGGACGGGTCCTGCCTCCTAGCGGGCGGCAACAGCAAGTATATCTGCCTATACTCGGTCACAACCATGGTGCTCCTCAAGAAATTCACTGTGAGCGTCAACCTGTCGCTCTCGGGCACGCAAGAGTTCCTCAACAGCAAATTGATCACCGAAGCCGGGCCGACGGGACTCCTGGACGACCAAGGCGAAGCATCCGACTTTGAAGACCGCATTGACCGTTCCCTACCCGGCTCCAAGCGCGGCGACCCTTCAGCGCGGCGCAAGACGCCCGAGGTGCGGGTAACAGGCGTGGCCTTTTCACCCAGCGGTACCTCGTTCTGCGCAGCCTCGACCGAAGGCCTGCTGATCTACAGCCTCGACAGCACGGTGCAGTTCGACCCGTTCGACCTCAACATGGAGATCACGCCGGCATCGACGCTGGCCGTGCTCGAGCGCGAGCGCGACTACCTGAAAGCTTTAGTCATGGCGTTCCGGCTCAACGAAGCCGGGCTCATCCAGCGGGTGTTCCAGGCCATCCCTTACACGGACATCGGGCTTGTCGTGGAGCACTTCCCCACGGTGTATGTGGCGCGCTTGTTGCGGTATGTAGCCGCGCAGACGGAGCAGTCGCCGCATGTTGAGTTTTGTCTGCTGTGGATCAAGGCGCTGGTCGATCAGCATGGCGCGTGGTTGACGGCGAACCGGGCTAAGGTGGATGTGGAACTGCGCGTAGTGGCGCGGGCGGTGGCCAAGATGAAGGATGAGATCCGCCGGCTGGCGGACGAGAATGTCTACACGGTGGATTACCTGCTTAGCCAGGCGGACCGGGAGGACAGGCCAGCGTTGACGACGGGCGAGATTGAAGGGGGTGATGGGATCAAGGCGCTAGCCTCGACGAAGGAAGTAACAATACACGATATCATGCGGGAGGATGAGAGTGAGGAAGAGTGGATTGGGCTAGAATAGTGGGCATAATACTACAGGCGTACTGTTACCGGCGTTACGCGAAAATACAGGTTGAGAACGTTCCAATTTTGGTACATCCACGTACCCCAGCGTTATCCAAACAAACTTGTTATGTACGCCACAACTGATCACCTCGAGCTGGTCACAAATTCGGAACCTCCTACACATCGTTAGCCAACTACACCCTCGTAAATCCCACCAAGCATACAAACTTACCTTCCACGCCTCGTCGAACCCGCAACTACGCACCCAGCGCGGGCCCGGCGCCTCAACAGAGTCGACAATCAAATGGCACACCTTTTCCCAGACGTCGTCCCCCTTGACCTTGAGCCAGTCAGCCTCTGTCTCGTATGGCTTACAAAGCTCGCGGCAGATGACAGCCGCCCGGCCGAGCTTGATGGCGTGTCCGTCGTCGTGGACGGTATGTAAGCGGCGAACGATTTCTAGAGGGTATCAGCCCTGGAATAATCACAGCAAATACCAACAGAAAAGAGGGACGGTAACTAAAGAGAAAGACTCATACCCTCCAGTGAACCCCCCACATCAGGCTTCCGCGGCGTATAGTTGACTAGTTTCTCAAGTGACAGCTCAGGAGATCCCCGGGCTACATACTGCAGCAGATCCATGCGGATCTTCCACTCCAGCAGTCGCGCCTTGGCCTCGACGGGGATCCAGTCTTGCTGGACGAGCGTGACAAAGAAGGGGCTCGCGTTGACGTGGTGCCTTTTTTGTTGTCAGTACCATCACCACGCAAACAGGCCCTCCAGGGAAAGTAGAGAAAGGGAGGCAGATAAGGGAGAAAGAAAACCTCACATCAAGAAAAAGTCAAACTTGGGCTGTTTCTCCCCCTCCTTAACCAACGCAGCCGCACCCGCGACCAACACGGCCGCATCAAACATCTCCGCCGTCCTCTTTCGAACCTCCCCTTCCTCCGGCACAACCCTCACGCGCGCCGCAATAGCCAGCATCCTCTCCCGCGCCCGCGCCAGCACCCCGTCGCGTATCTTATTCCCGTCCTCGTTCCGGACCGACCCGACCAACTCCTTGTCTGCGCGTACCGCCTCCAGCAGATCCACGATGCTCTCCCCCTTATCCTTGGAAGATGGAGTAGTAGACGTCGAAGACGAAGCAGAAGCAGCAACAAAAGCAGCAGCCAACCTCTCAGCAGGCAGCAAATACCCCTCCCCAATAACCTTCCCCTCATGCACAGCCGCCTGCGCCAGCCCCTCAGCAACAACCGCCTCCTGGGACCATTCCACGCCATACATCAGCTGGATGAGTGGGTGCAGGAGCCCAGCAAACAGCCGGGTGTACAACTCGTCGCCGGTTTTGTCCGGGGAGAAGAGATACTTGGATACTACCGCTTGCCAGCTGTTGTTGTGGGACCGGATCTCGGACTGGAAGAAGCGCAGGAAGTCGGGGTAGTAGGTGCCGTTGCTGAGGTAGGGGGCTGCGGCGGAGGGCCAGGGGTGGAAGGTGGGGGGTGCGGTGGGAGTAGCCGTAGTGGTGGTGGATGAGGTGTGAGGGGGTAGGACAGGCCGTTGGTAACTGGTGTTGTCGTCGTAGGCGGCCTGTAGGGCGGAAGGGGACGCGCCGGTGCCGTAGAGGGCGAGGATGTGGTGGGGGATCTGTAGGGGTGGGTAGGGTGGGTAAGGTATGTGTGTAAGAATATATGACAGGGAGAGCTATGGGCGAGATTGGATGCGATGGGAATTTGGGGGGGGG